AGCTGCCCTGCCCTGCTCTTCCTGAAGGCAATGCTCTCAGCAGCGTGGTTGGTGGGTCAAGGGGCCGTGTGCTAGCACCTCTTGACATAGAGCATATGTGGAAGCCGGAAGTGCTGTGCAAAGAGAGGGTGGCCGTGTGGCTCAGAGCGAACCCAGAAATACCTTCAGAAGGGAGKCATTGTACTCCGGCTCCCAGCAGCGCTCTTGCACTTCCTATTGGGAGTTGGCCCTTCTTGTTCTGTAAGCTGATGGAGGAGCCACAAAGACATTGCCTCYACCTCTGCCCATAACATTAGGTGGCTCCCACCGTCCCGTCATGAGAGGGAGGACAGGGTAGCATAATGGTTGGTGTGAAATAGCATGGGTTTCAACCCACCACTTACACATGGGACTCTGCACAGTTACTTGGGCTCTCTGAGTCCTAGAAGTGTCATCTGTCAAATGGAGATAGCACTCAGCACCTAGGGCTGTGGGGGCTTCATGGAATTCATCCAGGGCAGTACCTGACCTTTCAAGTGCTTATCCCGCATTACCATGCTGGTTAGGCCCCCCAGCTGCTCACCAGCCTGATGAGCTCAGCCTCTCCCTCTTTTTATTTATATGACCTCTGAGGTTCCTTTAGGAGATAGGTCTGGGAACATATGGCCCCAGAAGACAGTAAACTCTGCTTCTGGAGATATCTGCGAGCACAGAACACCCCACACTGACTCACTGGACTCCAGCAGAGCAGGCTGATACCTACAGGTGCCGACATTTCCTGTTGGAATGCCAGGAAGCCCCTAGGACAAGGCCAGCTGGACCGTGCCCTTGTGGATGAAGGGTGCTCTGTCTCTGCCTCGTCCTGCTCTCCAGGGCTGCCCAGAGCATACTGAAAACCCAGGGTCTACTCCCACACTGGCACTYAGTGATCCTCCTGAGTATAAGACACTCGACACAGAGCCTGCTACTGGTGTCAGTGGCAGCTTGGTGACCAACCAATCAGTCAGCTGGACTGATGCCTTTGTACTCCCAAGAGGCAAGCGGAGTCTCCCAGACTGACACACCTTCATCCACCTGAATCATGCCAGGTGCATCCTAAGGCCAGCCAAACAGACATCCCCAGGGACAGGGAACACGGAAAGGAGAACACATGGACGTCAGGCAGTGGATGAGAGATGAGCTTCCACGTCCACCAGGCTGGAGCTTGGCTTACTGCAGGGTGACCTTGATCAAGTCYGTCACCACTCTGACCCCCAGCATCTTCATCAGAAAAATGAAGATAATCATAGTGCTGTCATGAGGGTTAAATAAAACAGTTCACWGTGCTTTGGAAAATGCAGGGCTGCACACAGCCATGTGGGCTCTAGAGATTAGTCTGTGTCATTATCATCATTTCACACAGAAGTTCCAGCTCTGCTCCTCATGGGGGAGAGCCAGGACAGATGGAGCATCCCAGGGGATCCTAAGCGTCCCAGGCATCCTACTCCAAAGAAGAATCCATCCCCCAGTCAAAGAGGGAGGCCTGGGTTGAGGCCCTAAGAGCTGCTGAATGGTTCAACATTTCCTGGCAAGGTGGCACACCTTTCAAATATAAAGCGTCTCCAGTTCCAAAGGCCAAATGCTCTTTTCAAAGATGGAGCGTGTCCAGTTCCAAAGGCCAAAATGCTCCAGGATCAGAACCTTTTTGATCKCTGCAATGATACTACAAGTGGAAAATTCCACACCTGACCTCAAGTGATAGGTCACAGTCAATACAGAGGAGCACTAAAAATACTACGCAAAATTACCTTCAGGCTCTATGGAAAAGGCACACGAGAAACCTCAGTGAGTTTTGCACTCAGACTTTAGACCCCAAGATGTCTGTTATTATTTATGCAAACATTCCAAAATCTGGAAAAAAAATATCTAAGACCCTGAACACTTCTGGTCCCCAGCATTTTGGAYGAGGGCTCTACACGCCATGGCTTTTCTGTTTGCTCCGCAGCACGGCGCCTCATAAATCCCCTCCAGCTCTCATCCATGGGCCAGATAGCTCAGCGCTGGTGGAACCCGCCTGAGATGAGTCGCTGCCAGCTTCCTGACACAAGAGAGGGCAGAGGGACAGGCTGTTAGATCTTGCTGATGCTGGGGATCAGCAAGGCTGTCCTCAGCATCTAATTCTCGATAAGCAGCTTAATTTTATCTCTCCTACACCCACGCGTCTCACCAAGAGAGCCAGACAGCCTGGGAAAGAGTGAGTGACCAGGAGACTGCGCCCTTTTCTGTTTTCCTTCGCTCCCTGCTTTGTGAGCTCTGTACCTTGTCCTTTCTTTGCCTAGAAATTCTGCSAGCCCGGGTCCTTGTGATGTCTTGCATCTTTGAAATGACATCCCGTGCGGGGAGATCTAGGAGCCGCAGGGGACAAAGAAGCACAGGGATGAGAGCAGGAAGCCTGGCTGGGCCTGAGGGGTGTGGAGGTTGCCAGGACTGACTTCAGTTTGGGCAGACATCCAGGGCAGGTCTGAGTTGTCACTTCTCTGTCCCTGTGGCCATTTCCTTGTCCAGGCTCTAACACTCCCCAGGACCAGGCTCCGCAGCGGGCTCATGAATCAGTTCTGAGGCCTCAAATCTTCATGCCTACTCGGGGCCAGAAGGTGAAGTCAACWAGTGAAGGGCACCAGTAGGGAGCAGTGGGCACTGTCCGGCAAAGGGCCTGTGTCCCTCCTACAGGGGGCAGCGAGGCACAGCTGCCTCCAGTGGACTCATTGCCAGAGACTCTGGAAAATTTTTTCAAGAGAAAATAGAAATCCAGTGTGTGTGTCTGTGASTGTGTTTTGCTTGAAATTTCCCAACTTTTAAAACACAGGAAAGGTCAAGTTTTACATAGATTTGTGTGCGGCATGTTGCATATGGTGCAAGGAGGGCTCTCCCATGCATCGGAGAAGCTGGCCTGGTCTCTTTACTGAGTGGTTCAACATCTCCCGGCAAGGTGATGCGCRCAGAAGGCCCTCAGTATTAAGATTTGGAACAAATCATTTACCACCCACTTTTTTTCCCCTTAAACAAAACAAAAAATTGTGTGTGTGAAAGGTGCATTCCTGATGAGTGCTTGGCCCTAAAGGGTCTTCTGGATTTTCTCCCTGTTTCTCTGCTCCACAAAATCCTCCTTCAAACATCCCCAAGACAGCATGACCTTGACTACGATTCAATACACAAAGCACAGGAAATTCTTGAGGAAGATGCTGCAAAAGGGGAGACAGATGGGCTGGGTAGATGAGGCATTGTAAGAAAAAGAGCGAACCCTCTGGAGACCTGGTTATCATAACCACAGCCAGCCGGCCGCCCGAAACACCCGTGACCTTGAACAACCCTGGCCACCTCTCAGCTCCAGTTTCCTCACCTGCAACTTGCCTGGGTAGTTCTGCCCATCTTCCCAGGTTACTGGGAGAAGCATGGGGCGTGAGGAGGACAGGGAGACTATTCTGCAAACGTGAGCTTTTCCCACTGCAAGGCAGGAGGACATCTGTGCGGACCCCAGGGACTTTGCCCATTATTAGCCAGATTAAACAGGCAGCTCTTCCACTTGCCATGTGACAGCTGCCTGCTTCCTGCACAGGGACCCCTGGGAGAGGTGGCACGCATGGCTTAGCTCCCCCGGGGCAGCCCCACCATTGCTGAGGCCCGTCCCCCTGGGTTCTGTTGTCAAGGGAYTCCTGAGGCACAACAGCCCATTAGGAATCTCAGGGTCATTCCCCACCAGGGAGGCTCTAAGCCAACCTTGAAAATCGAAATTTTAAAAATTCACCATTTTTGCTCTTGGGTAGCGTTCCTCCTCCCTCCCCGCCACTGTCGTACAAGAGGRGGCGAGAGACGATTTTACAATGACTTCAAGGGCACAACCAGCCAGTCTAAGATGAAGAAGGAAACTCTTAGCACTCCAATTTGGTTGGCTTGCCAGGTGCCTCTGGAACTCTCCTATGGCATCCRCTGCACCAGGGTCTCACCCAGAAGGCAGCTTCCCGTGAGGCTTTGCGGGTGTGGAGGGAAGGATCTGAAGAGAAAAGCATCACAGTGGGTCCCCAGTTTAGGGAAAGCTGATCCTGGGGAAAMCAGTGCCCTTGTGGAGGAGGGACATCCCCAAGGTTGCCCCTGGAGTTGGGCGAGTTTCTTGATAAAGAATAAGCACCTAGAGTTAAGGGAGAGATGCAGTGGGGTTCACTGCCACGACGGAGCCGTCAGTCTTATTCTGAAGGCAAATGATAAGTAAGAAAAGAAATCACCCTAAAATCACAAGTCGAGGTGACTCCCAAGGGGCTGTGAGAGGCAGCATCGGGGGTCCCAGCTGAGATGGTCAGGCCAGCCTCTCTGAGGAGGTGACATTTGAGCTCCAAGGCAGAGGAGGAGGAGAAGCCCAGTTTGCTGAAAGAGGGTCACAGGACCTGAGCTAGATGCTGAGGAGCAGGGAGGAAGTGGGCAGCCGGGGAGCTGAAGGGGGGCTGGCATGATGTGYACGAGGGCAGGGGTCAGGCCACGCAGGGCTGCATGGACCTGTCCTCTGCGTACGTGCAAGAGAGGCAGTGTGTGTGCCCTAGGCTGCACGTGGCTTCGGACTTTCTGGTGGGATGACCTGTGACTCTCACCAGATTTCCAGTGGAATCAATGATCCAAAAGAACCCTGGCAACTAGAGCTTTAAAATAATTGCGCCAAATGATTGTTTTTCTTTTCCTGGAAGCTCAGAATTCTAAAGCAGAAAGTTCAAGGCACAGGTCCCTTTCAAGTCTCCCTGCAACACTGCAGCAAAGGGCAAGTGCCAGGTGGCAGCATGTGACACAGGCTCCGTGGGGAAGCCATGCAAGTGCCCAGGCGTGGTCAGCCAGGGTGGCCAGGCACACAGCCCTCCCTCTCTCGCCCCGAGCAGCTGTAGGAGCTCAAGGCTGCAGGGATGAGCGATGGCCACTCCGCAGCCTGTCCCCTGCAGGCGCAGCCTGTGCTCTGCTGATAATGACCGGGGCTGGCGAATCACGGCCTCTTCTGTTTGCAGCCTCCTCAATGCCAACAAGATCAACTGCCTGCGGGTAAACACCTTCCAGGACCTGCAGAGCCTCACCCTGCTCTCCCTGTACGACAACAAGCTGCAGACCATCAGCAAGGGGCTCTTCGCCCCTCTGCAGTCCATCCAGACACTGTGAGTATGCTGCCAGGTTCTGGCAACCCCAGGTGCCCTGTGGCAGAGAACACCCTGATGAGGCAAACTCACACGCGGAGCATGACTGGGCTGTCAGTGAGACTGGAATGATGAGAACCAGGAGCTGGCCATGTGACACTCAGGCAGCTCATCACCACAAGGAGCACTTGCCCTGTTTAAAGACGTTTACATCTCACAGTAACCCTAGGGTATAGATGCTAGTATTATCCTCAGTTTATATGTGAGGAAACAAAGGCACAGAGAGGTTAAGTAATTTACTCAAGGTCACACAGTTAGTTAAAAGGCAGGATTTGAATCCAGGCAGAGAAGCTGAGCACAGCTGCTATGTTCTGAGCAGGTGTCATCCCTGTTGATGACTCATTTCTGCCTACCAACAGAAACCTGCAAAACTAAGTGTCTCGTAAAGACTCTGGGAACACTTCTTCCTCACTGGGAAGTACATTCTGGGCACCACAGATGGGTATAAATATTATAAGGGAGTAGATCACATCTGAGTCCAGATCTCAGCCCATGTTTTWAATGGCTCCAGCTTCAGGCTTGGACCCAGGCCTGCAGTGAGCCTGGGGCTCCTGAAGACCCCACGAGTCACTGGCACACATTACCCTGTAGTCAGAGGCAGAAACCCATCCAGGGCAAAAGCAGCTGCTGTCTGTTGAATACCGAGCGGGTGCCACGCTCTGCGTCCAGCGCTCTGCAGAGCTTCTCTCCCTGCGCCAGGGGAGGCCAGGCCCCGGCGCTCTGTGATGATAAGGATAATAACAATACCCGCTGCTGTATCTGGAACACCCACCATATGCCAGTCGCCACGCCAGCTGCTTTACGAGCCTAGTGTCCCCAAGCTTGGAGAAATAAAATGCATTCTGCCCAGGTGTAGAGTCTAAAGCTTGCGACTTGCTTGCCCGCCTGAGTTGGCGTGGGTGAGAGTAGAGATGCGCGGTGGCGGGTCCTGCCCCCAAGCAGGGAGAGCTGGGGGTTGGTTCCCCACACCAGATGCTAGCTGCATCTGTGCCTGTCCTGGCAGCCAGCCAGCCTCAGGCCCTCTCTTTGAGTCCTGTCTGAAAGCAGCACCCCCAGGCCTCCTGGGGCCACGAGGGACAGGGCCCTGCCCCGATTGCCAGTCAGGGTGGTGGTGGAGCGAGGCGCCACAGGTCACTCCTGATTAACAGCCCCGTCTCTCTTGCAGCCACTTAGCCCAAAACCCGTTTGTGTGCGACTGCCACTTGAAGTGGCTGGCTGACTACCTCCAGGACAACCCCATCGAGACAAGTGGGGCCCGCTGCAGCAGCCCACGCCGGCTGGCCAACAAGCGCATCAGCCAGATCAAGAGCAAGAAGTTCCGCTGCTCAGGTAATCAGGTTACGGGGGCTGGGCCCCACTTTCTGACTCAGAACACAGCAGCCCCTGAGAGGCCAGTAATCCAATCTAGAGGACAGCGAGCCCTTAATGGCTCCTGGGGAGCATCTTTGCAAATTAAATTGGGGAAATTCAGTTAGCCCACAGAAAACCAATTACCTTATGGATTTAAAATAAAACACACACACACACACACACACACACACACACAAAATCAAAGCATGGGGGAGGGGAGGGGGAGGCGGCTTCAGGGCAGACAGAACCCAGGCGGCCTCTGAGCCCCAGAGCTAAGTAAAGCCAGGAGACAAGACAGCCTCTGCACACATGTCCTTGACAGGAGGGTAACGTTGGATTTTCAGCTTCCAAAGCCTGCTTCCCAAATGGCAGACAGAGAAATAAATGTAGCCCAGGCCAGGCGGCAGGCTCTCTGTAATCCAAGTCCCCTGGAAGACSGACTTTGGTACAGCCCTGCGGCCGAGCGCATTACGGGTTTCAAAAACAGGTTCACTATCCATTCCAAGCTGCACCCTGATGTTGGAGAGGATGGCAGAGACTGGGRAGAAGCACGGCCTCGCTCTTGTGCCAAGTGTTCTAGAAACATTTCTCCCCACTGCACCCAGGAAGGACAGGGACAAATGACAAGGGGAGTCTTAGCCAGTCTTGGAAAGAGAAGTAGCTCTCCTTGACCGAGAACTAGAGGAGCAGGCAGTTAAAATGACTGGCATCCATGTTCTTTTCTACTGGAAAAGATCACTGCCCAGCCTCTGCTCCTGGGGTAGGTGACTGACAGTCGAGGGACTGAGGCGGGTGGTGCGCACAGGCTGGCTTCAGCCAGGGCCCTGCTTCCCCCCTGCCCTGAGCATCTTCTGGTAATCAGGGAGGGTGCCATTGAGGGAAACGGGTCAACAGAGAAGACCAGCAGGCAGCACCACGTTCTTGTCCTCTGAGTCAAGTTCTGTGATCCCAGTCTCCAGGGTGAACTGGAGCTCTTTGATTTTACATTTCTTGGGAGAATCAAATGCCTCAAGAGGGCCTAGAGGCCTCAGGGACGTGGTGGCAGTGTGAAGAGTTGGTACCAACGGGCCTTCCTCAGGATAATGATGGTAATTACCAGATGGACCCTCCATCTCTGAGGAGCACCATGTTGGATGCTTCCAGTTGATTGGCTCCTTCCCATAGTCCTGTGAGGGCAGCAGGCAGGTCCCTGTGCCAGGGCAGAGGAGTCAAGGGCTCAGAGTGAAAGGGCACCCCAGGCCGAGGCCACAGTCAGCCACCACAGAGGCAGGAGTGGACCCCAGATCTGCTGGCTCTTCCCACTGGCACCCAGCGTCTGGGACAGAAGGAGCATTTGGGAAGGAGGTCAAMAGCTGCCCCTCCCCTGACCTCATGGTCCCACTCCACCCTGAACTCTGTCCTTAGGTTCTTTTCTGGGCCCACGCATCTCTGGGAAGGAACTTTTGAGGATAGAACTGTCACCTGGTCCTTCCCCAGGGCCTTTCCTCATTCTATTCCTGCCTCCACCTGCCCAGGGCCCCGTTAACTGTCTCGGCCAATTAGTAGTAGCCAAGGAGAGGGGCTGTAGAGTCGGGGGAAGAGAGGGACCATCTGCCAACCTGTCTCATGAGTGTCCTGTCTATGTCCAAGCCCCTAGGTGACATCAAGCCCCTGGGTGACAGGGCTGGGGTGGAGTAGGCCAGGGTCTGAAGATGGCCCCTCCCACAGCCTTGGGAATGACCTAGGAATGGCTGTGGGTGGGGATTGGGGACAGCAAGTTAGGGATGGCAGGTACAGAAAGAGCTAGGAGGAGAAAAAGGAAGAGAAAGGGGACCTAGAACAACAAGGTTCACTCCGGCCCTGCATCTGCCCGCCTGTCTGCCTTCCTGCCTTTGCTCCTCTCCTGTGTGGGTGGGGGGGACTGTAAACAGACATAGACAGGGAGACGGGGCAGGGTTCTCGGTTGACCTTGACTAAAATATCATTATTTCTTTAAAAAACAATACTACACAGAAAGCTTCTCCCTACAGGGTAGAGATGTTTGTAGCCATCGCGAGCTTGACGTCTAGCATGACATGTGCTTTTATGTTGCATAGCTGCAGGGAAGAGGTAGTGAGAGCTACCGCTGAGCTCCAAGGGCCTGGGCTTTGAGAAACACCAGGACCCAGTCCTGCCCTGGCCCTGGGGGAGGCAGAAACCATGGACCTAAAGCTCTGTGTTTCCAGGAAGCTCCAGCAGGAGGAAGGGGGGCAGGTGACACATAGTGGAGTTGACAKATAATAACTCTGCATTTTACTTTCCCCTAAAACACCCCCTTGAAAAGACAGCTGATGTAATTAGCAGCCAATTTGAGGGCTGCTCCTGCCGCACTTAAAGCCCTCCTTAGCARGGCGTCTGGTTCCCCAGCTGCTGGRCTCTGCCTCTCTGTATCAGCTGCAGCCTTCGCCCTGGGCAGGAGATCGGGGTGGGTGCTGTTGACTGGGGCAATCTGACCATCAGATTAAGTCCTGCACAGGCACTGTCTGGCTGCACGACCCTGGCCCATCCTGGGAGCACTTGCCAGTTGAAGGAGCTGTCTGTCTTGCTCCCTGCTTTGTGTGAGAAGAAGCTCTCATGATGGAAAGTGCAGGCTGGGGTGTGGCTCAGGCAGAACAATGCCTTGATGGGCAAGGCCATGGGCCCAGCACCAAAAGAGAGGGAGAAAGAGAAGAAAAGCCCAGAGGGAGGGCATGTGTCCCAAAGTGGCAAACAGCCAGACATCATAGGGACCTCAGAGAACATCCAGTCTGTTCTAAAGATGAAGAAGTTGGRGACCACACAGCTCCAAAGCCCTGTCAAAGGTATAGGGTGTAATTTCAGGGCAAGGTCTGGAACCCAGGATTTCTGATACACTAGGAAGATTCTTGATAGTATATTTCCAGGTCCCTTCATTTCCTTTTGGAGGAGGAAGCCAAAGACGAGGAAAGGGAGATTTTAGGGCGGGATGCATGAATGGGGTAGATTTCCCCTGCCGCGATACTGATCAAACTCCAAGACAAAATCTGAGAAGCAGAGTGTCCACAGAGCCCTGGAGTGTGCATGTCAACATGGGGTGAAGTCCAGATTACAGATGCAAGGGCTTAGAAAGGCAGAGGGGCTGGCTCTGGCTGAGGTGGCCTCTTTCTAACTGGCCCCCCATTGTAGACCACCTATGCCCTGTCAAGGTGCTGAGAATAGCTTGACAAGAAACCCAGTCCCCAACACGCTGTGGAGGAATGGCGACTGTCCCTCCTGTCYGAGGTTAGGCAGGGAGAGCACCAGTCTCATCAGTGTTTGCACCTCTCCAGTCCAATGGAGAAGTCCCAGGTCAGCAGGCTCATGAGAAGTTCCCCTGCTCTGCCACAGATGGGAATATGGACTGGGCACCCTCGTCTGGCTCCTTGGCCTCCAGGATCATGGCTCGCTAGCCTTCCTACCACTGCCATGACTCCCAGCCAAGGAGGAGGCCAGGGAATCCAAAAGGACCCTAGAACCAGCTGAGTGACTGGTTCCCCCGTCCTTCCTTCTCTTGGTTTGAGAGGCCCTTTAGTCAGGAGCCACTCTCCATTTACCTGCCACTATCTCTGTGACAGTTGGTGCCTCAGACCATGGTGATTGTAGTTTTCTTGGTGCCAAACTCAAGGCCCCATTGGCTTCACATCTCTCTGGGTAGGAAGATGTGTCTCCTTTGATACCCGTACCTCCTCCACCAAACCCCCAGTGGTATGGAATGCACAGCTGTCAGCCGAGGGCTTCTGGGGACCCTGAGGATGTTGAGGAGACCCCTGAGTAATGGGATGTCACAGGGGCTTTTTCCTGCAGAAGAGCATCTGCTTTGCTAGACCCCCAGGAACTGTGGATGTCTCTGTATTTAAGGGGTAGTAGACAGCAGATGGCACCATCAGCCCTTGGGATTGGCCCTGTGTGGCAAAGCTCTCAGGAGATGCTTTGCTAAGTTGATTCTTATCCAGTGGTGAGGTGCAGAATGGAGGTCAGATGCTCCGCTAAGGCCCACGATGTGACCACAGCTGTCTGGATGTTCTCCACCCCCTGGGGAGGGGTTCCTTCTGCCCTGATGCCTCTGAGAAGGTGTCTGATGGCTTCCCACCTGTTGTCCTCCTTCCTGCTGTGTGTCCCCTGGGGCGGGGCACAGGGCAGCAGGGCCTTCAGAAGCGTTCCAGTGGAACTCCGCTCCTGGTACTAATCACGCGCAGTGGGGGCCTGCTCCGGCTTCCGCTTCTCCACGCTGCTTCCTCTGAGCGCTCCTGTCCTCTCTCTGATGCTGCTTCCTGACCTTGACTCTGACCAGTGGCCGTGGGGCTTTCCTTTGTGCTTGATCTAACCATGTGGTGGAACGATGGAAACGGAACATGGTTCTGTCAAGCACCGCGGAAAGCACCGCGCTCTCCTGCAGCATGGCCCGCCACCGCCGCCGCCGGACACTCCTCCTCTGCTCTGGACACCACAGCCCACCTGCCAGACCCCTCTCCCCATCTTGACTCAAAAGGAAGGAGGGTGGGAGTCTCTGAGGATTCAGATGCAGCAGGGTGAAATGGGTTTGGAGAAGCACATGGGGCCAACCCACAACCTGCAGCCATATCTCTACCCCAAATGGAGGCACCATCCCCCAAATCTAGTGTAGATGCCAGCCATGGGTAATAGCTAGGTTTGAGCTGTGGCTCATGGGAGAATCCCAGCCCAAGGTCATTTCCCCATGCAGCAGCTAACCCAAAGGGGAGTCCATCCTGCCCATGACCCTTACCACCTCCATTGGAATCCTCTTCATGTGAGATGAGTGTGAGCTTGTGARTGGGTGAAGCTGGCATGAATCTGAGACCTTGAACTTCACCATGATTCCTTCTAAACTTGACTCCTGCTCCTCATGAACACTTTGGCCCTGATCCCCATTAGACCTCAAGTCCTATCTGTTTCCTTGAACTTCAAGCACAGTTCATGCAGATATGCTGGGCTCCTCATCTGATKCTCACTCAGGGCCAGGTGGGCTGTGCAGACACCTGCTGACTCTGACCCTAAAGAGGGATCTTCCTGATACATCCTTGACCCAGTGTAAACAAGATTGTGTTGTTGGTTCCTAGTCTCTGTTGCATCCCATGAGAGAGAGCTAAGGTGGGACCCACACCCTGGCTTAGACTCAGGAGCTGGGCTCCCATCAAAGTCTAGGACTCTCATCATGTCTCCCTCCGGTTGCCCTGCAGAGCCAGTTCCTACCATTGATGACTAATGGGGCATCCTGCTCGCCTCTCTGAATTTTTTAACACATACTGGGTGCTYGCAATAGGCCAGGCCTGGTGATGTTTTACATCACCGAGTCCCATTGTACAGGTAAGGCTGTTGAGGCTGAGAGAGGCTGGCTAACTGGCCCCATCACTAAGTAACTGACTCCATCTGGCTGAGCTCTGCCCCTTCTACCCTCAGCCTTCCTGGCTGAGTACATCCCTGTTACCTTGAATTAGAAAACATTTCAATCCCTGGCTTGAATCCATAGGGAGCTGAAAGTTTTCTCAGACATTCCCTTCCAAGCTTACATCTGTTATCAGCAGTAACTTGAGTAAGGAGGAATTAAATGGCTCAGCCTCTCCAGCAGGAACATGCCAGGATCTCTCAAGCCTGGGACACCTTTCCTCCCTTATGGAGCGACAATTCTGAGTTCCCTGCCACTGCCCCACCATGCCAGGAGCCAGGCTTGGGTAGTGGATCCATACTGTGCCCTCCCGCCAAGCTCATGACCATGAGCTTCTCTGCTTCCAGCCCTGGATGCACTCATACTAGATCCAGTGGGGACAGCTTAGGACACCTCACTGCACAACTGCTGGCCAAACTCCTGCTAACCCAGGTAGCGTCTTCCGGCCCCTGGGGTCGGGTCCCAGCCTTGCCTGTGCGTGGACGTCTGTGTGCCTGCCAACGCTCCTCTGACCCACTCACACTCGCAGCCCCCCTGTCCATACCACTTCCTCTCCAAGCTRCTGAAAAGGCCATCATGCTCCCCCAGTTCCTCTTTCTGCCCTCTTCCTCCTTTTCCTCATTCCACTAATCAGAGGGCTACTGGGGACAGAGGAAAGCCCTGACCACAGCAGTTGGCAGATCCCTGCTGATCAGATAATGATGTTCTGGTGACTTCCAATCCACCTGGGACTGCTATTTGCCCCTAATCAGCCCAGCCAATCTATCCAAAGAATAGGAGCTCTTGCTGCCCAGTCCCAGGCCCCTCACATGTCACATGCGTCCCTCCCAGGAGGGGGCCAGAGGCCGGATTCCTAGTAAAGTCTCGTGCTGTAGACGTCCACTTTCACCCCACCCTGTCTATTAAAGCTTCTCTGTGATCACTACCAAGTGTCATCGTCTTGAGCTGCTCACAAAAGGGGAGGAGTGGTGCGGGGGCAGGTGCAGGGGCAGGAGCAGGGACAATGCCAGATGACGTCAGCACTCCCAGGGCGCACCTCAGCCAGGGTTGAGTTTTATGGCCCTCCGAGATCTCTCCTGTTGAGTTTTATGGATCCTCCGAGATCTCTCCTGTCTGAACCGCCCCAAAGAGAGAAGCAGCTGCCTGATTCTGCTGGTTCCCTCCTACTAAGTATTTCTGGCAGTGAAAAATATGCATTGAGATTGAAATTGACTTTTAAAGCTCTGGAAAAGTTAAAAATACTTTTGGGTAGTTATGAGCATTAGGCATAACAAATGGCTCCGAGAAGCCCTGGGTAGTTTCGGTAATGAAATATRAAGTGATGGAGGTGGCATTTCGGGCTGGCTGGGACTGGGGAACCCACTTTTTTGGTTATGTACATTACACCGTTATGAACATTTCTGGCTCCTGTGAAATATCACTCTCCGACCCCCTCATTATTGCAAACCAGGGCAATAACAAAAACAGCAGGGGGAGAAATGCTAGAAAGASCACATTAGTCCATCGAATCTAATTGCAAAATCATTTCATTAAGATGGGTCAGCGGCTCCACCGCAGAGGTCCGCCATTATAATCTAACTGTACCACTGAGAGCGATTCCCGCTAACCATGGCCGCTCTCACCTTGATTAAAACGAAAATGCACTTAACAGGCGGCTGTCCCCAGCCAGCCACATCTTCAGGCTCTTCCTGTTGAAGAGCAAACCGTGTCCCCTCCTGTCTTTCTGCCTGTGATCGGCAGGCAGGGTCCTCAGCTCTGCAAGGATCCTGTTGTAGACACATTGCRAAGGGAAAACAGACGCAAACTCGCCCCTGCACACCGTTGCCACGTGGACCCACCAGCAGGGCACAAGAGCGGGAAGAACCCTGTGGGCCTCAAAAGGGTTCACAAATGAAACTCACCCAACCCGGCCTGCCCACGTGTCRGGGTGAGAATGGCCTGCCCAGGTGTCGGGGTTCAGTGGGACGATGTCGGCAAGCCACAGGCAGGAGATGCGCATTATACACTGGGCCAGGAAGCCATCTAAATCACAAGGACACAGGCCTCCATTCCGTTCACATGAGCCTGGGGGTAGGAAGCTGGATGAAGTGGGGATGGGTAGAAAGCAAAGGAAGAACGGAGGACACAGCCAGGTTTCTGGCTCCCTGCTTTCAAAGCAGAGACCACCAGGTTCATCCCCCATCAGCAATTACCACAGGGAGGTAGTAGGAAGGGAGGGAACCCCGGGAGGGAGACACCTGCCTTCTGCCTGACTGTAGCCCACCRGAGCAGAATCCCACATGCCACCCCCACCACCACGTCTGACTGTGTATCCTTCCCAGAGGCACAGGATGAAGCTCTGGTCTAAAAGCACTTCTGTGGTGATGCACTGTGCTGGTTCCATGGCCCCTGGCAGCAGCCGATCTGGGTTCATCCCTTCACCATGCACATAGTACCCTGTAGGYCTCAGTCTCCTCATCTATAAAATGGAAATTCGGGGTATTGCAGGGCTTCCATGGGATCACCCAAGCTCAGAGAAGACTGCCTGGCTCTGGCCAAGTAACAGCTCGTACATCAGTCCCCTGACATCAGTGGCCTGTGACATGCCAGGTGGCAGAGAAGGGARCAGAAGTAGAACCACAAGCACCCACACTCCACCTGCCTCTCCCAGAGAGGCTCCACTTCCTGGATCCTGCTCTCAGCCTCATACCAACCCGGGTGAGGCAGGAGCAGCTATTTGACTGCACTTCACCTGTGGAGAGGCTCAGGCTAATTCACAGCAAAGCCTGGCCAAGCTGATGCCCTCTGCTGCTGAAACCTACAGACTACTAGTGCCCCATAAGGTCACAGATAAGATCACCAAGGTGTTGCTCAGCTGGCTCTGCCAACAAGCCACATCCACACTCTGAGACACTTCAGAAATGCACACAGGACACTCGGGTGCTGGAGGCATCCTACATGCATGGGCCCATGTGGACCGAGTCCCTGTTTGCCTAGCTTGGTGCTACTGCAGCATGTGGGGTGAGAGAATGAAAAGACCTGGTCAGCAAGGAACTCCCGTCTGATAGGAGAASAGGAGACCCCCATTACCGCCAGCATAATTCATGTGCTCACTGAGGTCTGCCGGCTGCTCCCCAGGGCACCTCTCAGAGACATCAGACTGTCAGTCTCCTTGGTATGAGGCTGAGAGCAGGATCCTTGCCATGACCTTGAGAGAAATGCAATTTTGAAAAAATAAATCTTAGCTCCAACTTTTAACTCATGGGAACTGCCCTTGCACTATAGTTAAATAGGACTTAGTCTCGAAGACAGAGGTCAGAGCCGACCCTCAAATGCTTATTTCACAATGTTTCAAACTTGAATTCAATACCAATATTTTTTAAATACCTGGTTTCTCTTGAGGAAAAATTAAATAAAAAGGAAAAGAAACATTGGGCAACTCAGAGCCAAATTCCCAATCATGAGCGTCGTGGGCTCCAAACCCCCACCTGCTTCAGTGGTGGCCTGAAGTACTGTCTTGCCAGTACTGAGGCCCTATGTCAGTGGTCACTTAGGACCACAGATTTGTCTTCCTCTGTTCATTTCATTATTGTCAAGCCCCAAAAGACAACTGAGTTTGCACTTCTTCCCTTGCCTTATTCCCAGCCCTGAGGGAGCCCCACAGAAGCCCTAGCAAAATCTCTTCTGCTTGGGTCATGRGGAACAGTTAGAGCTTCTGTGGGTGGTAGGCTTCATGGAGCAGGGAGCCTCCCTCAAACTGGAGGCTGGATTCTCTACCCATGCAGCCTGCAGTATTTCTCTGAGCAGAAGGTCCATGACTTTCTTCAGCTTCTCAGACAGGTCCCTGGCCCACAAAAGCATAAGAGCCCCGGATCTTGAGCCTGGTTTCCCTAAGGATGAAAGAGAAGAGTTTCAAAGATCACAGGAAAAGTGGCAGGGACGGGGCAGGGCGCCCTGCGGAGCCCACCAACGACGGTGATGCCGTGTCTGTTGTGTGACCCCCACATGCGCCTCAACTCATGGGGCTGGTTTGTCTCCCCTCCCCCACTATGGACAACCTCAGGCCCTCTGCGAGGGAACCCATGACGCTGACGCCCCTCTTTGGCCCCGCCCAGGCTCCGAGGACTACCGCAGCCGGTTGAGCAGCGAGTGCTTCATGGACCTCGTGTGCCCCGAGAAGTGCCGCTGTGAGGGCACCATTGTGGACTGCTCCAACCAGAAGCTGGCCCGCATCCCGAGCCACATCCCCGAATATGCCACGGACCTGTAAGTCCCACCCTGCRTGTGAACACCCTCCCCTCCCCTTGCACCCCAGTCACCCTCCACCAGCCCACGGCRGGGTCTCCTGGAGGTGGCCCCCTCTGGCTTAGTTGCAGGGCTACTCCTTGGGCATCCTCTGCATAACAAGCCAAGGCAGACACCTGGCCATGCACGGACGGCTCGCTCTCAATCAGGAAGATCCATTTATGCATTCTATAAATGCATCCTGAGCACTCAGGGGAAGCCAGGCCCCGGCCGTGCTGGTCTCAACTATGATGCCCAGGTCCATCTTCAGTGAGCAGAGCAGGCAGACAGCCTCTGCTGGCCCTGGGGAGCTGATAATGCCACCAGGAAGATTGGGATTAAACTAAAAACTGTAATAAAGCAAGAAAACTACTAGAATGATTAGATATAGCTGACCTTCCTGTTTGCCATGCTACTGGAGGGCTATATTGGTTTATCAAAAAAAAAAAAAAAAAGGAAGAGCTCAAATTCATACCTTAGTAAGGCAAAGGTGCAGCCCATGGGGCTGAGGGACCTGAGCCTGACACCTGCTCCCTGCAGTCTTCCTGAAATCAGCCAGCTGCTTCTCGTGTCTGAGGCCGTTTCCTAGCTCTAGAACGAGGGCATCCTCTGGGAAGAGTAAGAAGGAGAGAAGCACRGAGTTTCATCTTGAGTCCTTGCCCAGGGCAGGCCCTGGGTAAATAGTGAAGGCAGGGCTGGGATCATGTCATTCTCTTTGACTTCCAGAATCCCCACAGGACGTGGAAGGTCCAGCCTCGCTGCTCACTGCTSTCCCTGAGCCAGCAGGAATGTTGGGCATGGAGCCTCAGGGCTGCCCGCGTTTACAGTGCTCAGGAAGGAGCTTAGCAGCTTGGTGAGGTGCTGTAAAAGCCTCCCGGTGTGTTCTAGGTTGCCACTGGTACCCACAAAATGAAGGTTCCCACAAAATGAAGGTACCCACAAAATGAAGGCAGACACTTGGCAATTGAATATTCTCATGGATGCCCATGAGAATATTCCAGAAGGCCTCTCCACCCAGGTTGAAGGGGTTTCCTGCAGAGGAGGAGGCCTTCAGTATGCTCCCTCTCCTGCCGCGCTCTGCGGCTGCCCAGTTGCCAAGTCCCATGGCTCTGGGGGCCCTAGCTGAATGCGAGGTCGGGGCCCAGTCAAAGCCATGCAGGGAGCCGAGCAGAGGGCGTGAAGGAGGCGCCTCACCCCAGCTGACCCACCCCCTTGCCCTCTTGCTTCCCTGCAGGAGACTGAACGACAACGAGATATCTGTTCTAGAGGCCACGGGCATCTTTAAGAAGTTGCCTAACCTGCGGAAAATGTAAGTGAACTTCAGGAGCCGGGCAGCCATCACACTCCCTGACCAGGGTCTTGTTCAGACAGAGCARAAGCCAGGGTGCTGGGGCCCCTTGCCCGCTGCAGCCCCTCCCAGCCTCCTGCTGACCCCGGCCCTGGCCTGTGCTGGGCTACAGGACAGACAGACACGGCCAAAATGAAATGTGGCTGTGTCTCATGGTCACATGCTGCCATAAGCGTGCGCCCACAGCATCCCTGACCCCACTGCCCCTCTGCTCAGCCCTACCCCACCCCACATTCACTACCCCAAGAGCTGRGCCCCGGGTGAGGACCAGCGATGGAGTGTGGCATCCCGGCACAGCCACTCACCATTCTGACAAGTGGACAGCTCGCGGCCAGCTGGTAGGTGGAGTCGAGGTGTCTCCATCTCCAGGCACATGGTGGGAAGGCTGTCAGCTGTGCTCACACTGGTTTTTAGTCTGGGGGTCCCTGGGTCTGACCAGAGCCTGGGCTCAGTCAGAGGACACGTTTTATTTGCTTCTCTGTTATACCCTTTCCCTGCCTAAGTGGGGCCAAGTCACAAAGGTAACAAAGTCACAAAGGTACCCCATGCTATTAGGGTACCTGTTCTGAGCCTGTCGGACATGCATTGGTCATTTGGTCCTTACTCACCCATCTTGTGCTAGCTTCACAGTCCCCTTCATTTAGGTCATGGAACTGCGGTTCAGAGAGATTCAGTGACTTCTCTAAGACCACACATCAAACACATATCAGAACTGGTACTTAAATTTGGATCCACCTACAGTCACACTAGTGTGAGTTTGGGCTTCCTTCCCTCCTCCTCCCTTCCTGGGTRCCCCAGCAGAGGAAGCCAGCACAGAGATGGTCTCTGCTGTCTGATTCCAAGACTGTCTTCCCTTTGACACCCTTTTTCCCCACCCCCTATTCCATCTCCCTTGGCCCCAGAATTTGGGTCTGTTTCCAAAGCAAGGGAAACACAGTCCGTCCTCATTATTCAGAGTACATATTTGCAAACCCACCTGCTGGCTAGAATTTATGTAGCTCCACAATCGAGACTGTTCCTGCTTTCAAGGCCACTCTTGGCCATGCATGGAGTCCACTGCAGGGGAGAACTCAGTCACCCTACACACGTCCCCCGCTGATGTCGAAAGCTGGTGTGCCAGCTGTGTTCAGCCCTCGTGTTGTAAACAAGTGTCCCTTTGCGGTTTATTCAGGGCCACATAATTCGCAAGTTTGTGCTCAGCCTGAGAAGCCTGTGCTGGGCCTGGGGAGGAAATGCGTGTGTTGGGGAACGTCTTCCGTTCAGGCAGGAGACACGTTGCTGCGGGCTGCAAGTTCAATGTTAATGAATCAATAACATATTAAATAAGGTGTCTTTAAGCAGAAACACTCATGAAGCAAGTCTCCTATTGATGAGTTGATGAAATGCCGTGGGCAAGGCCTCCTAGGACCTGACCCTGTGTTTCCCCGGGAGCCACAGCTCTGTGTTTGCTAATTCAGGGGACCTGGTGACTTTGCAGAATGTGACTGCCATTCATAATGGGAATTGGCTATGACTCCTTATTGTTTTTCTGCTCTCTGTACCCCACCCGTCGGCACCCTGTGGACAGGGAGGACAGACCCCTCCTAGGCCCTGGGCAGCGTCACATCTCATTGGTGCTGCTCTGGCCCCTCCTCTCCCTGCCCACAGTACCACCCTGGCCACAGCCCCAGGGACTGGTCTGTACCTGTGGGCAATGCAGAGCACTCTGAGCTGTCACTGTGGTCCAGCACTCCATGGACCTTGGGGACCCAGCCAAATAGCACCCATCACCTGCCAGGAGATGTCCTTCCCAGTTCATACCAGGGATGCGTGCTTGTTTTGACCTTGAGGCAGAAGCTTATCCACCTATGGATTTGGTGCTAGGAGAGTCAGGACAGCCCAGTGCCTGGAGAACAGGAGCAGACAGCCTTCACTTTTGCAGAAAAACACACATTCTCCCGGTTCAGGTGTGACTCCCCTTCTTTGTGCCTCCCTGCAGACAGATGCTAGGGATGAAGCATAGAGAGCCGACTTCTGCACCACGGGAGACACTCGCACAAACTCATGAGGGGCTGCTGACCCCAGTCTCAGCGACCCAGCAGCAAAAGGGAGGAGTGAGGACTGTGACAAATGTAGGCCCAGCTCTCATCCAAAGGGGCAAGCCTCGTCCCCTTATTTGCCACACTGGAATGAAGGTCAGGACTGCCAAGTGTCCCCACTTCTGAAGAGCGTCTAGATGCTGGGGAGAACCTGCAGGCAGACCTGTTTTCCCTGTGGTTTCGGCTTGGACCTTCTCCAGCTGTGTGACCAGGGGACTGTCCTTGGCCTTTGTAGGCCTTAGTTTTATTAGCATTTGTATAATAGAAATAAATTCACCTTACTTGCAAGTTATGATGGGGATCAGAAGTGAATACGGGGCTGGGTGTGCGGCTCAGAGAGAGGTGCAGGAGATGGAGGGGCAGCAGTGTGGCTGATCAGACATTTTAACAGGGAGGAGCTGGGGAGCGAGACTGACSGAGGTCCATCGTCATATTGTTACATGTACCGATATTACAAGTGCATACAAAAATCCCACTGCTAGGTACAGGTATGATGCACAGATTTAAAAATTATAATTAAAATAATTAATTTAAAAACTAAAACCAGAACTCAGACACTTTCAGGAGCCTGGGAAGTGGGACACATACGGAGCATGGCTGGACAGAGTCATGATGATAGCAATAATGGCAGGTGGCAGTGGCTCTTCTCAGGTGCTTTACTCAGTGCTAGATGCTACTGACATTATCTCCTTTAACTCTCCGGAGAAAAACTTTGATATCACTTCATTTCACAAGTGAAGAAGCTGAGGCAGAGTAGTAAGTAACTTGCCCAAGGTCAAAAGGCGAGTGGCAGAGCCAGGAGCCAGAAGTGGTGACAGAGCAGGTTAGCAGGGAGCCCGTGTCCCACAGAGGGCAGTAGCCGAGTGTGTGCCTTGGTGTGGCACAAAGCCATGTATATACGTGAGGATCAGCCAACCAACCAGTGATCCAAGGGGCAAGGCTGATCCCAAAAGCCACCAGCTGCCACCACAGATGACAACAACAACCAAAGATCCTTGTGTCCCCAGACGCATCCCCAGCTGGGCCCCTCCTTGGAGGTGGTGGGTTCCTCCCGATGTCTGCCCAGCCGTGTAGCCAGAGCTAGCCAGGCCTGGGCCTGCCGAGTTTCCTTGAGGACTCCGGGGCCAGGGTCCTCCAGTCACCTTTCTTGACTCTGCCTTTTAGGGCACTCAGGCAAGATGGTGAGCATGGAGCCAGGTGGTGGGACTCTGTGGCTTTCTGAACCTCTGGCCCTACCCGCCAGATGGGAGAGTGGGGCTGAGCCCTCCTTGTGGGGTTCCCTTGGGCATCGCCTGTACTCAGGGACGCAGACGGGAGCACACCTGACTGGGATATGGCACAGGATCCTCACTGCTGTGGGAGCTCAATGCAGCATTTGAGCAAGACCGTGACTGGGGACGCAGAGCAGTGGTCAAGCGCTCGCCCAGCGTGATGAGGCCTGGGGTGTCACCCCCAGCACTGGGAAGGAAGAAGGGAGGGAAGGAGGACGACGTCACATGCAGAGAGCCACTGAGACCTCTCTTAGGTAGACTTCCAGGTCAACTCTAAATGCTGAAGGAGAAGCTCAACCAGAGGTTGAAAACCCGTGGTCCTCCAGCCAGAGTCAGGGGCGSGCCAGGGGATCAGCCCGTGGTGGAAGAATTTGCTGCTCACTTTTTTTTTTTTCCTGGTTTGTGTTATTTTGCTTTAGTGCACGAGAGCTATTATTTCTAGAGAAATGCAACATTTCAGAACACCAGAGCGACTGGMACATATTTCAAAGATACACAACTTACAATAACTTCTGGACAAACTATAATATAAAGTTAATAAATGTGATCTTGGTATTTAAAACGTATGAGCATAACATGCTCACCTTTAAAAACCAGGAGTCTTTACAGAAACCAGAAAGTATGGATTTCTGGCACCTTYTGGAACATCCACATCCCCAAGGGGGTCCAGTGAGTTGAACTGAGAAGCAGCTGCCCCCTTAGCTGGGGCGTGTGCCTCCTGATCCCTTCACCCTTCCTGGCCTGCTCCCAGTGACCATTAAGTCACTACCTGGACCCTGAGAATACTTGGGCTTGCCACCCTAGCTGCAAGAGAATTTCCACCTCAGAGGGAGGGAAGGGGCCCTAGAGGGTGAACAGGACCTCCCCATCCTGACAGCAAGACTGAGCGCGTGCTCCATCATGACTCAGCGTTCACCTTTTCCAGAAAGTTCCACTTAACTTTCCCATGGCATTTCTAACTGGGACCAGGCTTTCAACTGGTCCCGTAGTCAGAACTAATGGGCTGGCTGCAACCCTAAAGAGACTGAAACCTGGAGCAGCCAGGCCTTGCCTTATTGGGCCCAGGCAAGCAGCCCGACAAATCCACAGGCTCCAAGACCTCTGTGTGACTGGGGGAGACCCCTCTACATCGTCCCTGTCCCCAGGGTGAGTAGACAAGGCTGAGCCCTCGGGTGTAAGTGCCCGTCCTCCTCAGGCAAAGGCCTGAGGCAGCAGTTTTCCTTCATGGGGGCTGTAGAGAGGAGAGGCCGCTGGTGGCCCTGGATTTGCATGGTGGGGTTTCCTTGGGGGAGCCCCTTGGGGAATGCCTGCTGTGAGAATGTCAGAGCTCTACAAACCCCGGATGTCCTCAGCCTTTGGAGTGTCCACCCAGGCTGTGCTCCCCACCCCACTCCTCTGCAGCCTGCAGCAGTGAGGAGGGCTTTGATGGATGGAGAGAGCAGCGCTGGCCCTTCAGGAAAATTCTATCCACCCCTCTCTGCCTCCCTTCTGTTTTTCATTCTCCCAGCCTGAGGAAATGCAATTCACAAACCTTACAGTAATGTGATGTTAATTTTGCTCGTTTAAAGAAACAGATGTCAGGAAATGGGAAGACTCCCACTTCAGAGCTGCCCTAACTCATCTTCATTGCTTGGCCCTTGTACTTTAATCCCCACGCAGCTCGGGGCTCCCTGGAGCCAACCTCTCCTGCAGCCTGCGGTGAGTTATGGCTGCCGGGAGAACCTTCATCTCTCCTCCTACATCCAATTTGGGGGTAATTTGCAGTCTCCCCAACACATTACCTCCATTCCTGGGTCAGCCTGGGGCAGGGTGACCAGGATTGATACGAAAAGCCACGGAGTTTCAGGAGACTCCAGGGAACACCCCCACCCCCACTCTCAGATCTGGGGAAGGGTCTGGGGGTGTGGCCTCCTGTGCTCTGGGCAGGACAGAAAGGGGAGGAGACCAAGGTCAAGACAAGGAGCACATGCTTCCAAAGAAGGACTGTTCCCTCCACTCCAGCTCACAGGCTCCGCATTGTGGCTCTCTCGTGGCCCGCTTGGTTCTCAGGGAAAGGGAGGGAGATTTGCGGGGAGCCCTGGGGACCCTGGCTCCACCAGGAGCTCCAGGTCAGTCCCTAAGGGAGGCTCCACCCACTGGGGTTGCTGCTGGTCAGCGCAGAGCTCTGCGAGCTGGAGAGGGAGTTGGGGTGGTCCTGTGGCCCCTTCTGGGGTACCCCCTCTGTGACCTGAAGCAGAGCCCTCCCTTCCAGGCCTCAGTCACAGCCATAACCAGGCCACCTGGCGTGCTCCAGGGACCTCAGCAGCTTGGCGAGCAGGCAGGCTCTCTGCAGCCCAGAAGTCTCCTGCTTGCAGAAGATTTTCCTGTGCAGGGCTCGGCTGTGTTCTGGGAGGTTAGACCCTTCCTCAGCTKGCTCCATCCACTGGCCAGGGGTGCCTTCAGGGCTGGACATCTGGATGGTCTTTGGAGGCCCCTCCTCCCCTGTCAGGTGGAGTCTAGGAGGCCTGTGTCCTGGCCTGCCATTCCACCTCTTCTGTGGCAGGGTGTGGGTGTCAGGAATTGGAGGGAGGGACCTGCCCTCAGCGCTTGGAGCAGAACCATAAGTGACAACACTGAGCGCTCACTTTAAGAAACACACYTTCCCCAGGCCTGAATTCTGCAAAGCTGGTGACATCAGGGAGTGAGGCCCTGTGTCATCAAAGAAATATTCACTTGTGAAGGGGACAGTTCAGTGTAGCACTTTTTACGTGCAAGAAGACCTGCCTTCCAATCCCTGTTCTCTCAGCTGTGTGACTGTGGGCAAGCTCCTAATCTCTCTGAACCTAGGTCTCCTGTTCTGTAAGATGGGAGTGCAGCAGGGTCTGTCTGATTGATGGTGGTGTTCGGGTTGTGGTTGTGAAGGCTGGATCTCTCTCCTGGGGGAATATGATAAGTACTCAGTGAATACAAACAGAAGTGCCTGCTGGTGTTGGGGTTCTGGAGGGAACCCTTGTGGGAGGAGATGTATTTTGTTTTCCCGGCCCTCCTCTCTAGAGAACCACTGCTTAATGAGAAAATCTGGGGAGGACAAAAAAGAAGTTGGAGAATCACTGTTTGAAGTCCACCAGTCCCGGGGCATAGGAAAGAGGGTCACTGTGACGACACTTCACTCCCAAGCCGTCTGCTGTGTGGGGCCCTTGCTCCTGCTTCACAGGGTCTAAGGACAAATGTCAGGGGGATGGCGACAGCTCCCCACCCTCCAGTCCCCAGGGCCGTGGCTCCCCCACATCCTGACCCTGTGCCCCCTTGGTCCCCCATCTGTCTCCTCCTCTAGAAACCTGAGCAACAACAAGATCAAGGAGGTGCGAGAGGGGGCCTTCGACGGGGCGGCCGGCGTGCAGGAGCTCATGCTGACCGGGAACCAGCTGGAGGCCGTGCATGGGCGCATGTTCCGGGGCCTCAGCGGCCTCAAGACCCTGTGAGTGGACTGGGAATCTGGAGGGAGGCTGAGGGCAGGGCAGGCAGCGGGGCACGGCACACCATCCTGACCTATGGGACCCCTTACCCCTGGAGCCGGAGCCCTGGACACCTCCCAGTCCATTAAGGGAAGAGGTCAGCATGGCACTCGGACACACCACTTGGAGTCCCTCCGTGACGCATCCTCCCAAGCACCAGAACCCACAGAGGCAGCCACAGCACACTCTTCCCCACAAGCAGGCACATGTGCAGGTGTTTGTAAAAATGCACAACACAGACACGTGCCCTGGGCCCACAAGCACCTGCAGACACGCCTGTCCACGTGGGCGTGAACACGAGGCGGTGCACAGCGACCCGTGGGTTCTCCTTCTCCCCGCAGCAGCCACAGGCATGAGCACAGGGGGACGCGCACGCCCGACGCTGGCGCAGTAAGTGGAGCGCACAAGCAAGGGCACACACGTTCACACTTGGCCCCGGGGATCCAGGCCTTGCATTTACAGGTCAGATCTGAGCAGCCTGGAGGGCCCGGCTTGGGGGTGGCCGGAGCACCCCACTAGTCACACCCGCCGCTGTGTGCCGTGTGCAGGAGGAAGTCTTGAGGCCTCTGCTCCTCTTCCCACCCCCTGCAGGATGCTGAGGAGCAACATGATCAGCTGCGTGGGCAATGACACCTTCGCAGGCCTGAGCTCTGTGAGGCTGCTGTCCCTCTACGACAACCGGATTACCACCATCACCCCTGGGGCCTTCACCACGCTCGTCTCCCTGTCCACCATGTGAGTCTCCCTAGCTCCCCCTGTGCAGACCTCACCGTCCCCCAGCTCCTTGCTGTCTAAGGCCATGGTCATGTATCCCTCTGTCTACTTAAAGAACTTTGCAGGCTCCCTGTACTCTGGGCTTCACGAAGGTACCGAGGATATATGGACCCAGCCAGCACTCCCTACTGGAGCTCACAGCAGAGTGAATTGCTGCAGGGAGGTCCACAGTGGTGTGAAAACCCAACACAGGCTTTGTTGAGAAATACTGATGCTGTGTTCTGGAAAGTTAGCTTGTGGAAGAGAGTGGGAAATACATATCCTTCATCAGGAAGGGATGCACAAAGGCCCTGTGGTCAGTTGGAGCGTAGACAATACATGGAGCTGAGCAAGCCCAGCATGGCCATTGCACTGAGCATGAGAGGCTTGGTGYGAGGCAAGACTGAAGAAGAGGCCAGGGCTGGGCTGCAAGGTGGCTGTTGGCTCCCTTCATCCAATGTGAGTCAGCAACAATGGGACTTTGAAGTAGACCAGTGATGTGACCAGCAGGGACTGGATCCAGCTTTCTGTTCACCTCAGTGAGTGCTCCTGCCCTGGGGGTTCACCGWGTCAGTAAGGAGGCTGCAACTCTAGAGCCAAATTTCCTACGTCCAAACCCTGGCTCTGCCTCTCATTGGCTGTGTGGCCTTGGAAAGGGACTTCATCCCTAGGCTGCTACTCCCCCTGATCCACCTCCTGGGATTGTTAGGAGGCTGGGTCGCTGCAGTTTCTGAGGCGCACAGCCAGGGCCTGCCGTATAGAAAGGACCCAACACCACGTGCCTCTGCTGTCCTTTGTTAATAGTTATGTCTTCCCTTCTCCAAACACCCTTTAGGAGATAAATGAAAAAAAAAAAGGCAGTTTCTGCAGTTCCTATTGCCACCCGTTGTCCCATCCACATGCCCATGTCACTTGGAATAAGCATGAGAGTTGTGGCCATTCCCTCATGACCTGCCTGGCCTCCGTGCCTCCTGTCCAGCTCCACTGACCCCCGTCCAACCTCCCCCACCCAGCCCACTCTCTCCTGGAATTCTGCTGGCCCTTCACACTACCTGGCACCCCCTCCTCTGAGCCTCTGTCCCTCTGTTCTCTGCTCAGGTGCCACCTGCCCCACCCCATGCCCCTCTGCATCCTCCTGTCCCCTGAGCCCTGCTCTCCTAACACTGATCACCTCCTCAGATTCGCCGCTCGTTGCTCATCCGCCACCAGTCGCATATCACTTGCCTCCTGTCATCTAAGTTCTGGAAGGACAGGGATACACAGCTGTCACCTTCCCCGCTGTGTGCTGGAGGCTTGCACCTGTGGGGAGCTTAGGCACATGCCAGCCTATGCGTGTACAGAGGCCCAGGCCACCGTGGCTGAATGCACGAATGAATGGGATGAGCGCGTGTCCTCAGCAGGGGGTCCATCGGCTGGGAACAACACCCTGGGCTGGCTCACTGTGGCCCACCTTCAGCGGCTCCCAGGACCTCCCCAACCAAAGACAAGTTAGATGCTCAGAGGGGCAGGTCACGGAGCACGAGGGCACCGCTCCCACGTGGAGGAATGGGCCCAACTTCCGCAGCTGCCGAGGCTCAGGGGAAAGATGCTGMTGGGGCAGCCGACGTCTGGGCTCTGGGTGACTGAGACACAGCAGCCACTCGAGGGCTCTCTGGCCCTCTTAGGTGACCTCCCTGGGCATCCTTTCCTCATTTATGAAATTCGAATAATGTCCCCTCCTCCCCAGGGCGACTGTGATAGTGTGAGTGAGGTGACAGACGTGTGAGGCGCGTGGAGCTGCCCCGTCCTGGAGCAGAGTTGGTGGCAGAGGCTGCTGCCCACCTCCCTCCAGTCCAGCCACGTCACCCACACAGGGGATGAGTGCCTGTTGGAAGTGGGTTGGTTTCCAGACACAGAGGCCAAGAGCCGCGGCCCCACCCCGTGAACCTGGGCTCCGAGTGCCAGGCAGATAGTAAACAAGGGCAGAAGCCATTAGGAGCRCTGACAGCGGCCCGGGACGGGAAGGGAGAGGCCGGAGGCTGCTGCCTCCCGCTTGAGCTCAGAGAAGTCCCCTCAACCGGCTGGTGCTGGTGAAACTGAGAACCACAGGTGATGGGGAGGAGGCGGGGGCCAGGACCCAGGTAGAGGAGGGTCTCTAGGGAAGAGTGGGAGGCAGGGTGGCTGGAGCCCCAGCAGGAGCAGAGGCCCTGGCAGGAGGCCGCAGTCCTCCTCAGCAGGACCACAGCGGGGCTGCGGGGAGCCATCTGTGTGTCAGGGCAGGGCTGCAGCAGGCCCTGGGCCTGCCCTTTCCCGCCACCTACAGCAGGGTCCCAGGGCTGCCCAGGGCAGCAGGGCAAGGCTGGCCCTGAGAGCCCTTCTCGCCCTCAGAAACCTCCTGTCCAACCCCTTCAACTGCAACTGCCACCTGGCCTGGCTCGGCAGGTGGCTGAGGAAGAGGCGGGTTGTCAGCGGGAACCCCAGGTGCCAGAAGCCCTTCTTCCTCAAGGAGATCCCCATCCAGGACGTGGCCCTCCAGGACTTCACCTGTGACGGTGAGAGGCCTGGGCAGCTTGCTGGGCAGCAGGGAGGGGGCAGGGCGCAGGTGCAGCTGTCTGCATCCCTGGGGACCTGATCCACTCCACCCTGGGGCACATGCTGGAGCTCCAGGGGCTCTGTAGCCAGCCTAAGAGGCTCCCCTTGCAAATGATGAGGTGCCCCTTTCTGAAGCCATTTTCTTCCATCTTCAGAAATCCATCCCCATATACTGACTTCCTAAAGCATGAGCTGGTTCATGCCGCCCTGGGCTTCCAAACCGACTAATCTGCCATGTCCACAGTGAGGTCGGTGCCCTTGGATGCTGTGGCCCCCTTGTGCTGTACAGAACCTACACAACTGTACACGGGAGCCCTCGGCCTTGCTTTTCCTGTCTATGTCATGGTGAAGTCCAAGGTTTATGCCCGTGAGAAACAGATTTCAAGAAAAGTCCTGTCACTGGCAAGGAGCACAGAAGATTCAGGTTCCAGGTCTCAGGATCCCAGAGGGCATATTCGTTTGCATAAATTCAATTGAGCACTGTCCTTTGCTTGATCCATTATCTAAGGACAGATTAACTGGTTTGCAGATCAACTGAGGGACACACTCACCACCCCAGAGGGCTTGTTTAGTGGGGAGGGGAGAAAGAGAGCAGGAAGAGGGAGGAGGCCAGGGCTCTGCCCCCACCTGCCCGCTCTCTTGGCCCTGATCTGGTTTGCAGGGGCCTCTTTCTGTTCCTCTGTGCGGAAGCCTCACCGAACCTCCTTAATAGGCTTTAAGTCAAATTCAGTGAAGGGCAGGAACCCTCCGTGCCCCCAGGTGTATGTCCTTCCCCCTCCAACCAGGGTGAGGCCAGCAGCTGCTTCCAGCCTGGCTCTGGCCCAGAGTTGGAGCAGGCTCTGCCTGGCCTTTGCTAACAGCTGGGTGGCACCTGCCCCTGGCCTTGCTCACCTGCGCCCCCTAGTGGACGCCATGTCCCGCCACGCTCACCTCTGGGGCTCTCCACAGGCAACGACGAGAGCAGCTGCCCGCTGAGCCCTCGCTGCCCAGAGCAGTGCACCTGCCTGGAGACCGTGGTGCGCTGCAGCAACAAGGGGCTCCGCGTGCTCCCCAAAGGCATGCCCAAGGAAGTGACCGAGCTGTAAGTAGCCCCATGCCAGCATCCTTCACACTGCACCCAGCCTCTCAAGCCAGACACCAGCCAGATGCCCTGGAAGGCATTTCAGAAAGACGGCAGGGAAACCTTGCCAAGGTGATCGACGTGGGCTTTGACGGGAATCAGGAAGCCCAGCTCCCCAGGGCCTCTGCCTGGCAGGGGAGGAGCATCTGACTCCCCTCTCCCCAAAGATGCTCCAGAGCACAAGATGGAGGGGTMGTTAAGGGCCTGTGCTGGGAGCCCTGCAAACTGGGCAGGGACTGATGGAAGCTGGCAGTGCCCACGTGCTGCTCAGTCTGGTACTTGATGCTCTTCCCCGACACAGGCCTGCTCCCTCCCCAGGCCAGCTTAGCTGTCCCCCCAGACTCAGCAACATGGCCACTCCTCTAGGAAGAGTCTCCCTCCTGCCCCGCCCAGGGCCTGCCTTGGGACCTGAGTGTCCCAGGCCCCTGGGCGACAGGCAGATCCCTGCAGGCAGGTTGTGGCTCCTGGCACTCCCTGGTGCTGGGGGAGGCTGGAACCAGGCTGCCAGCTCAAGGGGAGAAAGGGGGTGTGACAGCAGCACTGTGGAGTCCAGGCCAGTCCTGCCTTTGGGAGGGGCCGTGCCCGCCGTGCCCAGGGTGTCCACTTCAGGAGATGTATGCAGTATTTGTCTTCTGTGCTGGTTGAATCCTTTCTTATGATCATATCACCACTGAGCAGCAGAGTGCAGACTTCAACCCAGGTCTGTCTGACCTGACACCCAGTCACTAACCCCCTATCTCGGTGGCAGAGGCCCAGGTGCCTTTGAGTGCTACCTGCAGCCCTGGCTTGTTGGAGATTGGCAGGCGACACCATGAGTCCTCTCAGAACTGCTGCCTGCCGCCAAGCAGAGAGAGCCCAGCTCAAGATGCCTGGCACCATGGTCAAGGTGCCATTGGATCCTGGCTGGGCCCACCCCAACAGCTGGGCCTTCTCCAGCCATGGCAGCTGCTGCCCAAAAAGGGCCTGCTGTGCCCAGGTGCTAAGCAGCTCCCCAGAGCACTGAAGAGAGTCACCACCCAGCACTGATGGCGTCCTTGTCTTTCTCTGGCCCAGGGAGAGAGAAATGAGTCTCGAGCCAGCTGGATGGGTTGATCCCATCTTTGGCATAGGCCCTGCTCCAGAGGAGACCTCAGCAGATGGCATCAGTAGAGGATTCCCCTTGGTGCCACTGGGCCATGGGAGGGGCTCTAGGAGGCCCCCCACTGCCCCTTCAAGTGTTTACTGGGCTTATCACACCTGGAAACTGAAGCTCAGCACAGAGTGACAGCGAGTCCCTGTCTCCGAAATCAAGTGGGGGTGAAATAAGAAGACCAGTAAACAGGGGAGGAAGGAAGGAGGAAGGAAGGGAGGGAGGAAGGGAGAGAGGGAGAGAGGGAGGGAGGGGGCATTTCATCAAAATAGAGGAAAGATCAGTAGAGAAGGGGATTGAGGGGGAGGAAGAAGGGACAGGGAAAGAGAGGAACCGTGCAAAGATTCTGGCCACACTTTTCCTAAGTGTGTGTGGGGGTGGGGGTGGCATGGTGGGTCATGGCATTGGGTGTGTCCACAGGACAGGAATTAAAAAAAAAAAAGATGAGTGGATTCAGGGAGGGAAGCAGGAGCAGGCAGGGAGTGCTGGGGAATGAATTGGAGCTTCGTGGTTACATCAGGGTGTCCTGGTGTCCTAGATCATTAAAAAGAATTGTTTTAAAAAGGCAGAGGCAGCGAACCAGCAGAGCAGACATCTCATATAGGAAGAGGACCAGCGCTCCCAGGAAAATAACCAGGGAGCAAGGACCAGGAGACCCTCAGAGTGGAAGGATCTTGTACTCAAGAAACCCAGAGGCTGGGCTGGTGGCTCAGCGGTAGAGTGCTTGCCTACCATGTGTGAGGCCCTGGGTTCAATCCTCAGCACCACGTAAAATAAGTAAATAAGATAGAGTATTGYGTCCACCTGCAACTAAAAAAAGAAAAGAAAAAAAGAAAGAACCCAGAAGGCCACCAGCTGTGACCACTACAGGAGGAAAGGGGACAGGTGTGTGGAGCAGTTGAAGCAAGTTCTGTGGCCACAGCGAAGGCCGAGTCTGCAGCCCCAGGGAAAAGCAGGAGCCAGGGAAGAATGCTAAKCAGGACAGTGGAAAGAACAGTTCTCCTTTAGAAATATCATTCTGGAAGAATAGGGAATGCACAACCAGTGGTCAGAATCCTCCTTTGATCTTCCTATGTATTGTTGGATGGCGATGTGGGTGTGTAAATGTGTGTGTGTGTACGTGTATGTGTATATATTCAAAGTTTCTCTCAGGCCCTGCTCTAAAGTCTATCCATTTAATCTTTATAATCACATCAAGTTAGTAATGATTATAAGCCCCATTTTACATCTAGGAAGTGCAAGGTTAAGTACCTTGCTCAAGGTCACACAGCTGTAGATAGCCAGGTTGTGAGCCTAGGAAGCCTGACTACTGAGCTGCTCCGCATGGCTCAGAGCCAGGAGTAGAGTCTCCTGGAGGTGGCTTGCCTCCTCTGTCCCACCCAGCTGGTCCCAGAGTTCTTTGTGCATGTCTGTTGGTTGTGCGAGGCTTGGAYGGCCATGGCAGTGTTCATTCCAGGATCTGTGTGAACTTTCATGCGAGGCCGATGTCCCCTCCCATGCTTGCTCTGGGCTGAGACCAAGCATTTAAATGCAGGTCAGTGCAAAGGTGGACCCACTCGAAACGCTTGGCAGCTCTAAGGCTGGCGGGGCAGGAGGGCACTCTTCTGAAATGGGCCCTCCGGGGACCCAGGCTGGAGCCACAGGCAACACTGGAGTTCAGAGTCACCATCAAGGGCTTCCTTCAAAGAGAGCTTCCCACACACCACAGCTGCGTTTCTGAAGGGAGGCCTTTTGATTCCGCATCTTCTAAGCCCGATGCCAGGTCCACTGGGGACGTTCTGTGCTGCAGCAGCCCCTGTTCGGCTCAGCAGTGCCAAGGGCAGCTCCACCTGGGGAGCCCGGGGCTGCCACTGTCCCCAGTGCCTCGCGTTGCCAGGCAGCGGTGGCATGCGGTGGGGGYGACACCGACGTGTTCTGCCAAAGCTCATCACAGAATCACACTGGAGACGTCACCGTGGGGTGAAATGCTGTGAAGAAAATACACCCAGAGCTCTGGGGCCCTGMGATGCCACCCGTGCTTGGGGAGCTGAGATCCGAGCATCGTAAGAGGTGGGGCGAGGAGGGAGAGGAGGGACTCGGCAGGCCAAGACGACCCCACCAAAAGGCTCCGGTGCTCCAGGAAGCGCAAGACCAGAAGTCAAGGGGGAGCCTGGCAGGAGATGAACCTGAGATGACCTGGCCCCGATGTCAGTTTCTTGTGTGGACTTGGCAAGACAGTAGTCAAGCACCCAGTCTAGATGTTGTGAATGTATTTTGCAGATGCAGTTAACACCCACAATCAGTAGAATTCTTGGGTAATGGGGATCACAGTCCCAAACATTAAGGAGGGTCTCCCCTAATCAGTTGAGGGTGCTAACAACAGAAACCCTGAGGTTTCTCAGAGAAAAGGAGTTTTTTTCTCAGAATTTCTGAAAGCTATAGAAATCCTGTTTGGGTTTCCAGTCCACCCCCAGGCTGCAGTGTAGATTCCAAACCTGGCAGTCCCACCATTATCATGAGCCAGTTCTTCAGATACACCCACATTCTCCCCACCCCCCATAGATAGGTAATAGTCAAAAGACAAAGTCACAACAAATTTAGTTTAAAGATCTTAATTGGCTTATTTTGGGGTCCAATGAGCTGAGTGGATGGGTTGGCTTTATAGACAGAGAAGGGTTGAAAAATGCAGAAACTAAGACCAAAAAGAGGGCTGGTCCCAGGGGCCCAGGGCATCTGCCGAACCCCAGCCCTTGCAGGCGGAGGAGGGGGATMACTGGAGCCTGAGAGTTCAAGACCACATGGTAACTTCAGGGAGACCCCCACCCACCACAAACATTTTTTTAAAAAAAGGACTGGTCACCTCAAGTTACTCTCCTTATAAGGCGGGGACAGGGAGACAGAGCGATAGAAAAGTCACTGATGGGTTAACATCAGGTTACTTCAGGTCACTTGTTTTGCATGAGGATTACAGCAGAGGGGACTTCGGGGTTGTGCCTGTTGACAACTGGCCTGTTTGGGAAGTTYGGCCATTAGTCTCCTCTTGTCTTATTTGTACTGGTTTCTTGCAAGGGCAGATAAACAGCTGGTGTTGGCTTGGTGATGGTGCCCTTTAGCATGGGCTTTTACTCTACCTATCAGAGCCTCCTGCCAGAGTACATTCCTAAACCACGAGCTCCTGTACTTTTTATTTAAACATAGATCTCCATTTGGTTCCATTTCTCTGGAGAACCCTAATACTGGAGAGACCACAACGGCCTTGTCAGATGTGGGCAGGAGTGGGCTGGCCCTTCTCTAACACGCAGCGGGAGCCTCCAAGGGCTCCAGGCAGGGAAGAGGCTACATTGGCACAGCACCAGTCAGAGAGAGACCCCCACGGCTCCAGAAGCAGCTCTGACTCGTTGCTGGCCCCCAGGGTCGTGAACCTCCCCGTTCCCTGAAAGATGATGTCGTCATCCCAGAATCCTATGGTCACTTGCACTTTCATTTGGCCCTTCAGAAAATGCAAGCATTTGCAGAGCATGGCCGTCCTGCATGTGTGTCAGGGCCAAGCACCAGGCTTCCCTTCAGACCACCATGTGTTGTGTTTTTAATCCAGGGTCCTATGAACAGCCCTTCTACGCATGCGTGCATTCAACAAGTGGGTGAGCCTATACTGTGGACTGGAGGATACAGCAGGAAACCAAACTGGCCCTCTCCCTGCCCTTGTGGAGGACATGCTCCACCACCCAGAGCATGCCTTCCAGCAGGGCTGAGACAGAACTAGCACAGGCMTCATCCCCCATAGCCAGGCTGCAGAACGAAATTGCAAGACCACTAGGTTGGCCTACCAGACCTGCTCTGATCTTGTGGGTGGATTTCCCTCCATGCAAAGCTCTCTCAGGGTCCCCTCTCCCAATAGTCAACCCCCAGTCACTGACATTCATCTGCCCAGCACCCATCCCAAGCTCCAGCAGGGGAAAGCCATGYTCTATGTTGTGCGAGTCCAGTGCTTCTCAAAATTAACACTGTTGTCAGTCACCTGGGATCTTGCTGGGAAATCAGATTCCGATCCAGCAGGTCTGGGGTTAAGTTTGAAAAAATCCTCATTTCTAACAAGCTCCTTGGCAGTGAATGAGCTAGTCCATGCCCCTTGTGAGGGTGGGAGTAACCTCAGTAGGTAGCATTGCCTTGTAATTCAGGACCACATAACTGCAAAGAGACCTCCCTCTTTCTCTTAAGCCTCACTCAAGCCCCCAGAGGTTGCTTGTCCTGATGGAGCAAGTCAGTGCAGGGCTCCGGAGTCCAGGTGGGGTGGGGTGCAGCCTTTGCATCTGTTGTGTGCATCCTCCTCCTGCAACCCTGTCCGGTCCTGCCATGTGGTCTGCCTACTGGGAACCATACCACAGTGTTCCAGGTAACAGGGATGTGCCCCTTCTCTCCTCAGTTTTCAAATACTCAACATCAAATTAGAATTTTTGAAACAAATTGTGGCTCGGCTCTCCCACCACACTCCAGAAGCCAGAACAGAATTGGTAAGAGGATAGTCAGAGAGAGGCGGGTTCAAGTCTACCTCAACTGCTTGCTTGCTGTGTGACCTTGAACGTCTCCGAACTTCTTCCTCAACTGTGAACTCCTGCCATGCAGGATACTTCGAGGGCTGAGCATCCAATGGATGCTTTATTTATTAAACAAATATTTATTGAATACCCATCATGTATCCATTGTGTAAAGAGCCTTGGGGATTCAGTGGTGGGCGATTTGGGCCAGGCCCTGCCTTCATGAAACTTACCAACTCAGTGGAGGAAGACATCGATGACTGAGTAATCACACAAATAAGCATTAAGTGACAAGTGTGGTGTCTGCTTCGGAGGCATTGGGAGGAAGCAGAGAGAGAGAAGGGACTCAGCACAGCCTCTCTGAGAGAGTGGCCACCATGCACTGTCCCTTCCCAGGTGTTGTCACTCTGTTCCTCTCTTTCAGGTACCTGGAAGGAAACCACTTAACAGCTGTGCCCAGAGAGCTGTCCGCCCTCCGACACCTGACGCTTATGTAAGGAGCTGCCTCGGGGGACCCTTGTTTCCAGGGGTAGCTCGGGAGCTGGCTGGAGGGTGGGGAGAGCGGGCAGGTTGACGCAGCATCCCCAGCCTTCCTCCCTGGAGGAGGAGCAGCCTGATCCCCCAAGACCGACCAGGGGGTACTGAAGAAACACAGGGCCTGGCTTCACGGGCCGTCTCAGCCACCCTCCTGCTTGGCTTGGGGAAGTGACAAGGCCGAGTAGAATTCCTGGGCCTCAGTCTCCAGCCTCTCTCCCAGGTGGAGCCGCGCTGAGGTTTGCCCAGAGCTTGAACCAGCATCTCCCCTTCCTCTTCCTTTAGTTCCCCAGGAGGTGCCCTCAGCCTGGGAGCCATCAGGGACCCTGCTGGTTCCAAGTCTTCCATGGCAGGATCCCAAGCCCAGGAAAAGCCCAGGGAGCCAGGCCCCTCGGCTTGGTCCTCAGAGCTCCACACCTTGCCCAGTGGGGCCAGATGGGCTCAGAGTAATCCTGTGGGCAAGTGTAATTGAGGGGTTCCAGAGCCACTCAGGAGAGCTGGGCAGCAGTGCAGGGGCCAATCAGGGTTCTTCCAGAAAGAAAACACCAACCCTGGGAAAGAGAGGCCACTGTCATCGGCCTGGATTCCTGGGTCCCCCTCACAGTAGCATCTAGACGAGGCGCTCTCAGCCTGGGGACTCTAGATGCAGGAGGCCAGGTCATTCACTGCTGTGGGCAGCTGCCGTGGACATTGTAGGTGTGTCACAGCCCCCTCCCCTCCTGCCTTTTTTCCTCTGGCCTCTCCTAGGTGCCAGTAACATTTCCCCAGTGGTGTTAACCAAAATTGTCTGCAGACACTGCCACGTATCACGGGGAGAGCAAAAGGGTCCCCAGCTGAGAACCACTGCTCAATAGCAATGGTTGTGAACTTGAGGTTGGAGGGACCCCCTGAGTAGTAGTAGTTGTCATTGTTGTTTAGTACTGATGCTCAGGCCCACCCTGGAGCACTTAATCAGCATATCTGCACAGACATCCCCGGCATCAGAGGATCTAAAAGCCCTACAGATCATCTAATGAGCAGCTCATGTGGCTACTGCTCTGGGTATTTATCCCCCAGGAGAAGCTGGAGGTTGTAGTTGGCAGAGAAGGAAACTCACATGACTTCATTTCTCCTAAGAGAGAAGCTGATACCATGGAGTGAATGAATGCTAGGAGGGAGGGAGGGTGAAGACACTGTGGAAACAAGGATGGATCAAGGAAAAACTCTTCTAGACAAGAAGAGACTGTTACCACGTGTGTTAGGTTTTGTTGGTAGAAGGAAATGGATGGGTAGACTTGAAATTGAATGACTGACTAGCTGAAGGAAGGAAGGAAGGAAGGAAGGAAGGAAGGAAGGAAGGAAGGAAGGAAGGAAGGAAGGGAGGAAGGAAGGGAGGGAAGGAGGAACAAAGCTGCTTCAATATAAATGAACAATTGTGAGATGAATGACTGGGATGGGGGGTGGGTCGGTGGGTGGATGTATGGACTGAGGAGAGGGCGAATAGATAAACAGGAGAGTGGGCAAGTGGGTAGAGGGTGAGTGAAGGAATGGAGGATGGATGGATGGATGGATGGATGGATGAGAGTGTGGGTAGGTGGTGAGTGGATGGATGGATGGGCGGATGGAGTGAATGGTAGGTGAATGAGTGGGTGGGTAGGTGTATGGACAGATGAATGGGGAAGTGGGTAGTTGAGCAGGTAGGTGGATAAATAAGTGGGTAGATGATAGGTGGATGAGTGAGCTGGTGGGTGCGTGGTTAGGTAGATGGGCGGATCGACGGATGGATGAAATGCATCCATGGGGATGGCCTCCATCAGAAGCAACCAACAGTAAACATGACCCTCTGTTTGACTTTTCCTAGTGACCTAAGCAACAACAGCATCGGCATGCTGACCAATTACACCTTCAGTAACATGTCTCACCTCTCTACTCTGTGAGTACYGTCTCCTCCCTCGCTAACTAGCTCAGGGGTCTTGCAGTAGTGGGCATCTCTCTCCTCTTTCCCCTGGGTCCCAGGTTCTCTGCTCCTCCCATCCTCAGGGCTGAGGCAGTCCCTGCAAAAGGTAGACCTTAGTCAATGACAGGAAAATAATGTAGGTTGGAACTTTCCGTCTGGGCAGACAGAGGCGCTGGAGCCTGGTGATTCCAAGGATGGCTCCAGTAGAATGTCTTCTCTGATGGGGGAATTTCCTGTCCCAGGGGAAGACAGTGCGGGTGGAGGGCTGAGGATAAACTGGTTGGGGAGCCAGGCTGCTCTGGAGCCCATAAGGAGCCTGGAGAGCCAGGGCTGTCCCTGGGGCGACCGCTGGGGTGCTTTGGTCAATATATTCAAACTGGGATATTGAAGRAACAGTTCGCTTTGACTGTGCACCACATCAGCAGTCCTCAGCAAATAGCAGAGAGTAGACCACCCAACAGCTCCTATCTCCCTTTCCCCAGGATCCTGAGCTACAACCGGCTGAGGTGCATCCCCGTCCACGCCTTCAACGGGCTGAGGTCTCTCCGCGTGCTGTGAGTGCGGGGCCAGTGTGGGCTTTTAGGGCGGGCACTGTGGGAAGCATGCCACACTCCCTGCCCCAGGCTCCCTGCTGCACGGCCACATCCCCACCCAGGACCCGTATTGGCTTAATGGGGTGGAGAAAGTGAGAGTCACCCATTCCTGGGGTCCAAGCCCACTGGCATGTGTGGACCTTGAGCAAATCACCTGACCTCTTTGAGTCTCACTTCTTTGTGTGTAGAACGGGATCAATGGCACCTTCGTTGCAGAAACTATAATGTGCAGTTGAACTCTGCCCTGGAGCACTGAGCACTGTAGGGGACTTGAGCCCCCTCTAATGACCAGCCTGTCCACAGGTGTTCCTCTGCCTCCAGAACCATCACCCTCTGAAGGGGAACAAAATTCACACACCAGAGATCACAAGATGGGAGGCGGGGGCCCTGCTTCCATTCAGACAGCTGGCTCTTGGGGTATCTTGCTTCAAAAAACAAAGTTTGGAAAAACTACCAACTTTTCAGTATAAGATTTCTCACACAAACTCTAACTTCCACTTTCTTTTGGAAAATTGAGACTCCTGGTCACACCAGGGCCCTGCCTCTGCATTCTACACTTTGGGCAACATTGGGCAGTCTGCAGCCAACACACCTGCCCCACACTTTCCACCCACCTGGCCCTAGAGGGGGATGGGAGCCCATCTGAGGCAGACGAGCTCCGCACAAAGGCTGGATGGCCATGGAGCTGCCCCCTGCTTCCCAGCTCGGCTGTCCRGCCCTTGCTGTGTTTTCTCATCCATAAAATCAGACAATTGTGGGAACTGCCACACAGGTCTTCAGAGGACTTAATGAGATACCGTACGTAGCACTTAGCCCAGCCCCAGCCTCTGTAAACACTTGATAAATATTCATTTGTTATTACTGTTCTCCCAGAGTTAGAAGAGGAAGGCTGCACCCTCCGCTACCCCAGCCCCACAGGCCCACTGTCACCTGGTTTGTGCATATTTCCATTCTGCACTTGATTGAAAGGCAGATGCTACAAATTGATCCTTTGAATGTCACCCTTGAATGGTGTCCTCATGAGCTGCCACAGTGCCGAGCTTGAGAGGATGGTGCCCAGATCGTAGATGGGGAAACTGAGGCCCGATCGGGGAAGCCTCTGGCCAAAGCCCAGCACTGAGGCATTTGAGAGTCCAGCCTCCTCCCTGGGAGCCCCAGGGCTCTTCACAGGGCCCATGAACAGCACCCAACTAGCTGCCCTTTCCAGCGGCTCAGGCTGATGTGATTTATTGAGGCCCACGAAACACCCGTGTCAGCGACAACTCCCTCCACATGTCATCTGCACTGTTATTAAAAATCAATTCTCTGGGGGCAAAGAAGTGCCTGCTGTGACGGTGAGCAATCTGTTATTGTCACTTATTTATCATCTACCTGCCCTGGGGAGCTGGGGAATGGAAACATCAGCAGGGCTTTTTCCCTCTTCCCTCGCTGGACATGGCAGGACGCTGGTGTGTCTCTCTGGCCAGGACAGAAGCTCCACCTTCCACCTCCCGCTGACCTCTGCGATCCCAGGCCACTGTCTGCCATTGCAGTCCACCAGTTCTGTGCTTGGCTTTGCTCCCAGGGGGCGGGACCTGCCCATTTTAAAGGGAGCCATGGACACATGTTYGTAATTAGAGTGGTTCTGGTTGGGACAACCCAGGGAAAGAGAGAGGAGACAGCATTTGCCTGTCCATCTGTCTGTTGGGGGGAGGGGGAGCAGTGAGCATTACCAACCCGCCCAGGGGTTCCCTCTAACCAGCAGGGCTACTGTCATTAGCTCATCAGAAATCCCCAACAACGTACAATGTGTTGGTGCTTGCTTCTTGAATTAAGATTTAGCATCATCGTTTTAGAATTGCGAGATCTCCGGAATAAAAAGAGCCCCCCAATCCAACCATGCACCTCAGTGGGGAGCAACCATTTTCTGCATAAGGACCAATTCAGGGAAAATAAAAATGTTTATGAGCTATATTTTTTATATTTGTATYGTTTTCCCCAGTAATCACACACATAGGAATTTATGTTAAAGAATAATCCAACATGAGGGAAAAGTTCTATGCATTATGATCTTGGTTGCACTGTTATTTTTAAAGTAAATTTTGAATATTACCCATAGGGGTCACAGTGGGGAAATGTTTAAAGAAATTGTGATACAACCAGCCAATGAAGTGCAGTTAATTAAAGAGGTAGAGATGAAATCCGATTGCAGTGTGGGAAGGGGTTAGCACAGCATTTACATGGAAAAAGAACCCTAACCTAATTATAACTTGTGAATATTGATACCTATGAAGAAAAACTGAAGGGAAACAATTTTTTTAAAAAATCATTGATCACTAGCTGGTAATATAAAGTCATTTCTGTAAGAAGTGAGGCTCAGTTAAAAATGAATGAAGTCAGTAACATTTACAATTTACGCAGTTTGGGAAAAGACAGGGTTTTCAAAATCGGGAATTTAACTATCTACAACTGTGTTCGAGCATCTCATATTCTCTCCTTATTTCTGTGGSATCTCATTATTTTGATTAAACTGTCAAAAGTTATCAGAGCCTCAGGGTCGCTTGATGTCTGGCATGAGGAGCAGGATGAACATCAAAGGCCGAGAGAGCAGTAAGAGGCCTGGCGGGTGGGGGTGGGGGTGTAAATACATTTCAAAGAACGCACCAGGAAGGTGACCGTGACCGGAAGGTGACCATGACCGGAGCCCTAAGTATGAACCTCACAGGCTTTTCTCCRTCACTCCTAATCTAAAATTAGCTAGAAGAAAAGATTCTTTTCATTGTTGTTCTTATAGTTATACTTGATATTAGAACGTGTTTGGACATCTTACGTATATATGAAGTATAACTTCTCATTCCTCTGGTTGTGGGCGTTTTAGTTCTTCTTGGGGGATCTTTGCCCCACRCTGAGTCACATGCCTTGTGCGTGTGTGGTCCCTAGTGTTGGTCCCCCTCCCCAGCCACAGCAGGGCCACCTGGAGTCAGTTAGCACCCGGAAGTCTGCAGCAGCGTGTGCTCCTGAGGGCGCCCGTGGGACATCATTTGTCATCCTAGATTTATCTCCTGGTCCCTGGAGTAAGACGGCGCCGTTCACTCCCATGCTGCTCTGTGGACTGCAGGAACCCCCACGGCAGCTCTGGAGAGGGCCCACTGGCTTTTTGCTTGATTGCCTTCTGGATAAAGTGCCCACCCCCTTACCAGGCAACAGCATTTCACTTTTGGCCAGCTGTGGAACATCAGGAAATGCCCTCCTCCTAGGGGAGAGGAAGTGGKGGGTGCTGTTTTGGGGGGCTAGTAAGTGAATTTTAAGGGAGAGAGTGAGCCCATAGAATAGACAGAGGCCTGCGGCAAAGTCCCTCTGGGGTCTTGGAATGGTGACAGATTTTCAGTCTCCCCCTCTGTGATAGAACTCTAATCTTCCAGGACCTATGAAATGTAGGAATACGGAGATGATTTTGTTTCTGTTTGAGGGATATGGTCTTTAGATCAATAGGGGAATCTCAGGGAAAGTCCCTTCCTGTGCCTCAGGAAAGAAAGGATCAAGAGAAAGTAGGGGTGACCAGGGGCATGTCAGCAAGAACTGGAGACTGCTCCTCAGGTCCAGCATGTCAGAGCACCATATTTTGGGGTATCCATTTCAGGGTCCCTGCACCCCACTGAGGTCATGCTAAACTTCTAACCGCACTCACTGTGACTCTGACTGACCAGACCCAATGGTGGCAGGAGCGCAAAGCTCTTAAAGTGAGAGCTGGGGAAGGTGATTCCCAATGGACTAGAGCCGCTACAGAAAAGAGGGGTCGGTGCTGAGCAACCTGCACCCACAAAGGACATCTACCATTACAGGTAGATTCCAAAACTGCCTTCATTTTAGAGATGAGAAAACTGAGCACCAAAAGTCAGAACGAGAGGAAGGACTCAAACCCAGGCCACCTCAAACCCACGCCACCTGACTCAGAGCCTAACCTCTTAACCCCTGAGAGTGGCCTCACCTGCTCAGAAGAGAATCCACTGACTCCAGCCCACATTTAGGACAAGGACAGGTCCTGCCACTATCAGACAAACTGTGAACATCCAAGGATCCAGACAGCAAGGTTCCAAGAGCCCAGCACTGACACGGGTGGTTAGGTCCTGATGTTGCACTACCAATGCCACCGTGTGCATCCCAGTGTGCCTTTACATCCCCTAGTAGTCAGGAGGGGAGCAAAGATGAGCCATCGGGGGTTCTGAGAGGGGCTGGCCAGCCTCTGTTCCTGCAGGTGTCAGGGAGAGGAAGGCGGAGGCACCCAGTGCTTCCTGGCAAGCGCGTCACCCACCTCTCCAGCACCTTTTATGATGGGGTCTGACGTGCCAGAGACCGTCTTTGGGGGCCAATCTGGGAGTGAGAACTTGAGGTGGAGGCAGGTTTCTTTAGAGTTGTCCCAGTAAAATGCAGCCCATTTCTCCGTAGGTACGGAGATCTCAGTGGCCCCCCTCACAGTAAGTGGGTGTGTGGCTTGTGGGTGTCACCATGCTCAAACTGCCTTTAGGTTATCTGGTAGTTTTAAAGGGAGCTTCATGCCTCTAGGGGCCCAGGCCCCTTCCAGAACGATTAGCAACGGGGCTGAGTGCATTTGCAAAACAGCAAGGCACAGTGAAGCCATCCAAGTCAATAGCTGGCAGGCGCTGGGGTTCGTAATCAAGCTCATGGATTAGAGATGAAATGACACCGTGAGTGTGTTCAGAAGTGCCCGGGCTGCTTCTCACCCACAGAGGTGAGAAGCTGCAGGAGCACCCTTCAGAGGACTGTTGGCTATCTCCTGACCGACGTACTGCCTCCCCACCCCATCCCACCCCAGAGAGTCTGACCTGGAACTGTAGGGGAAGGAGTTGGCCATGGTGAGGATGTCAACCGAGCACAACTCTGAGGAGGAGGAGGAGAGCAGGGCCAGGAGACGTGGCTCCAGCCCATGCTTAGTATGTGCACAGCCTGGTTTTGATGTCCAGTGCCAAAAGGAAAAGAGAGGAGATTTGGGAAGAAGAGGAGGGAAATGAACCCCTTGCCCTGATGTAATAGGGGGAAGTTCTCTGAACCTTCGCCCTTGAAGGGTCCCTGGACCAACAGCAGCTGCACATCAGGGAACGTGTCAGAAATGTAGGACCTCAGGTCCACCCAGACCCACAGAATCTGTGTCTCTGCCAATGAGGCTCAGAGATCTGTGTATTTTCTAGCATCAATGCTCTTGCAGTGTGAGGTCAATGCTCACCCCATGGGAGATCCCCTGTTCTATATTAAACATAATTAAGTTACCATCTCGGTTTCAGTTGAAGACCCAGGGCAGTCTAACTTCAGTGGAAAGCAAAACAAAAGAGCGGTTCCATGAGTTACTGCTTACATTTGTGCAGTCAGTGCTAACCTTGTCTCTATTTTGCTAGGACTCCTGCCTGTGCTCAAGTTGTTAGTCCTTCCCTTAACAGTGCATTATCACCAGCACACCTAATGGGGCCATCAGTCAGTAAAGAAGCCTCTGAGTCTGTAGGACTTAGCACCTTGTATTTCATAGACCAGACCCCAAAGTGAGTCATCGGTTTAGGGTTTTTTTTTTTAATGTTGCTAATGATAAATGTTTAATTAGGCTTTTTTTTTAAATGTTGCTAATGATAAATTTTTCGGTAGGGTATATAATCCTGAATTGTAGATTGGCTCTTGTTCCTGGAGCACAGAACAGTTTCATTCCACTTTTCATGGATCTGTCCTCCAGGCACTGGCAGAGGCTCAGTATCCACCACTTTGCAAAAGAGAATAGCTCACACCACCTACACTCCCAAGAGTGGCTGCAGATACCCAACAGGTTGCCCGGCCCTCTGAACTTGCTGCCAGAAGATGCCTTCAGATGTGCCAAGTGCCAGGCTCATGTATGTGTGTCTGGAGTGCTAGGCTTTCTCTGCATGGATTAACACCTATACTGCTACCTCTGTGGCAAATCTCATTTATTTCATTCCCATTTTACAGCAGGAAAGGGAGACTCAGAGAAGGTGAGCTGCTTTGCCCACAGTCACACAGCTGGAAAGTGGTAGAGTCAGGTTCTGAAGGCAAGAAACCTGGCCCCAGAATTTATGGTCTGAGGCATAGTTAAGAACATCATCTCTGAGTTTCCAAGGGCCTCTGTGCATAGATACGCCTCTCCACTTTTAAGGTGTGAAAATGGAGACCCAAAGAATAATTTACCCCATGTTCCACCTCCAAAAGGGACTGATTTCTGATTTCCTCCCAGCTCTATCCCATTGAAAAGTGCACCCTCTTCCTCCCCAAATACTCTGCCCTCCATCCCTGCTGCTGAGCTGGGCAGAGGAACAGCCATGCGACCTGCAGCAAGAGCACCAGCTGTTGCTGCTAGCGGTGACACTCTGGGAACTACTGACAGGTGGCTGGGTCAAACTGCCACTGAATGCAACCCTCTGACCTGTCCTTTCCATCTCAGGACCCTCCATGGCAACGACATTTCCACTGTTCCTGAAGGCTCCTTCAATGACCTGACATCCCTTTCCCACCTGTAAGTAGCCCCTTTCTCTCCAGCCTGCATTCACTGGAAACACAAGCTCATAATATGTGACATCATCACAATATCATTACAGCTAGCTTCTGGAATATATCCATTCCATACACACAGTCATCCCTCCACATCTGCAGGGGACTCGTTCCAGGAGCCCCTGCAGAGACCAAAATCTGAAGATGCTCAGGTCCCTTATATGAAATGCAGAGTATTTGCATAGAACCCATGCACATCCTCCTGCATATTTTAATGCATCTCTAGATTGCTTCTAATCCTTAATAAAGTGAAAATGCTATGTGACACGTTGTTGTCCTGTATTTGGTGAGGGAATAATGACAGGAAAACAGGATGTGTTCAGCACAGATGCGATTGTTTTCCATTATTTTTGATGCACACTTGGTTGAATCTGCAGATGTGGAACCCGAGGATTCGGAAGGCTGACTAATTTATTTTCTGACAACGTATCCATACTGTCTACGTTGTCTTTTTCTTTGCTGCCAATGCCTTCAAAGGCATCATCGATTCTGTAAACAATGTAAGAAGAACTGCCAGAAAATGTTTACTATATGCTAAACACTTTGGATGAATTATCTAACTCATTTCTTATCATGGAGGCGATTTTATCCCTTTCTACATGATACAATTGAAACTTAGAGGGTTTAAAGAATTTGTCCAGGAGTGACATGGTCAGTAAGCAGCAGAGGCTCAGCACAGCTCAAGGATTACCTGGACTGCAAAGTGCACATTCTCAACCGTCCCACATTCTGGATCAGGTGCTCCTGTCCTATTTCACACAAGGAAACTGAGGTCCATAAACACAAAGTGGCTAGGTGGAAGTCACCTAGCAGTTCAGTGAGGCTTTGGCCTAGAATTCAACTTCCCTGACCTTCCAGGCCAGGGCTCTCTTCCCTAGATCAGGCACCTTCAGTTTTGTTGGTGTTTGGTTTTCTTACTACATTCCTCTGTCCATGAATATGTTTGAGTTCGTACTCCTTCTATATGTGTATTCGATATTTTCATATTTTGTGTGCATACACAGTTATACTAAGGTATTATGTATGCATATTTTAAAACATTTGAAGTAAAAATAGTGAAGGATGGGTTTTTGTTTTTGTTTTTGTAGTTGTAGATGGACAGAGTTGGCTTTATKTTGTTTATTTTATGTGGTGCTAAGGATAGAACCCAGTGCCTCACACATGCTAGGCAAGTGCTTTGTCACTGAACTACAGCCCCAGCCCAGATGGGATTTTTTTTAAAGTTCTAGTATTTTCTTCCTGGGACCACTTTGGAGATTTCCACACTGAACTGTGCCCTCCTCCCTGATCTTCAATCTGAGTGGTCTGAAGCTGCTTCCAAACTTCTGGGTCTCAGAAACTTCTTTGCATAATACATCTCCCAATGGGCCCTTGAGTGGGAACAGGAGCCAGATAATGATGTGGCCAGCATTCCAGAAAGCTTCTAGGGGAGCCAGGGTTGGAGWTGAGTTGAGGATACAATTTTACCAGGGTGGTGAGAGCAATGTCTCAAAAGTGGGACTGAGAACAGGTAGGCATTGGCATATGCTCAGGATTAGAAATACACTCAAGATACTACTTTGCTCCAATAGAGAAACTTCTCCACCTGTTTCCATGTCAGACACCCCAATTGACCAAAGTCAGAAAATCCTGCTTTTCCAGGCAGCCAAGGATATGGAGCCTATGGACCAGGCTGGACAGGGGGCCCTAACTTCCTGTTCTGCCTCCCAGGGCACTGGGAACCAACCCACTGCACTGTGACTGCAATCTGCGCTGGTTGTCGGAATGGGTGAAGGCAGGGTACAAGGAACCTGGCATCGCCCGCTGCAGCAGCCCCGAGCCCATGGCCGACAGACTCCTGCTCACCACCCCCACCCATCGGTTCCAGTGCAAAGGTAGGTGCTGCCCACCCATTCACTTCCCTGCCCCTTGTGGGGTGGGTTCTCTCCTCCAACAGCCCATCAGAGATGGGCATCTCAACAGATGTGACTTCTAAAATCATTACCTTATCTCTCYCATGGGCCAAACAGAGACTCAGATGCTAAAATTAATGTGGAATCACATCTCATTTTGACATTCTCCCCACCAAAGCCCTCTGCTGTCTTCCTACCACCACACCTGTGCTGGCAAGTGAACCCAGGGCATCAGGCACCTCAGCACACACTGTCACGCCACTACACTCCCAGACTCTGCTGCTGTGTTTACAGCCATCAATCCCCAGCATTCCTGGGGATTGGTTCCAGGTCCCCCACAGATATCAAAATACAAGGACACTCTCCTATATAAAATAGTATCATATCTGCACATACGCACACCTGCTGTGTCCTTCGAACCATCTCTAGATTACTTATGATACCCAATACAACGAAAATGTTATGTAGAAAGTAGTTGTATTATATTGTTTAGGGAATAATGAATCCCAAAAGAAGTCTGTTCATGTTTAGTATAGACACAATTATTTTCTGAACATTTTCTATCTGTGGTTAGTTTAATCTGGATGCAGAATCTGCAGATGTGATATGAACACAGAGAGCCGACTGTATTTCCTCACTGACTTCTTCCTGCACATATTTTTCCAGAGTTGAGAACCCTTTTAACCCGCCTATCCCCTTTAGCCTGCACTRTCCACCCACCATTATTAGCATTTTCCCACTCACTGCAGCAAATTTTGTGTACATGTGATTTTTACTGATTGTATCATTATCAGGCTAACAACTACTGAGTTCTTTATTTTTGACTGATGCTATTTTAAGCACTTTTAGCATATTATTTTAATTCTCAGTTTTCATGTATCACTTTATGTAATTCTGTAAAACTTCTATGAGATAAATATTAATATTATCTTCATTTTTAAAAAAGTGAGAAAACTAAGATTCAAAGAGGTTACTTTAACTGAACCCAGGCCTGGGCCTGCTAGGCAAGGGCTCCATTGCTGAGCTGCATCCCAGCCCCAATGACCTCTAAAGAACACACAGGTGGGATTCCAGGTCTTTCTGTTTCCAGAATGCATGCTCTTGATGTCCACGCTGGATGTAATATTCTACTGCTACTTAGCCAGCTTAAAATCTTTAGAGTGTTTTCATTTCTTTTTCTTACCATGGAGGCATAAAGTCTTTCTCTACATGAAATTATGTTCTTAGATGACATTCACAGAATGGAAATTACTGAGTCAAAGAACATGATCTTCACACATATTGCCAAAGTGATTCCAAAAAGGGTTATAACCAACTCTCAGTAGCACCCTCCTAGGGACTCTTGCATTAGGTGCTCTTATTATTTTATCTTATTTTGTAATCATAGATAATATAAAATCAAAAAACAATCATATCTCCTTTTATTTTAATTATTGTGGATTCTGAATTTTGTCTCAAAAATTTACTTTCCATTTACATTTCACATTTGTCTGTCCTTTGCTCATCTCTTAGAATCTGAAGGTTTATATACAGATAAACTTTATTGCCCTCAAAAAAAAAAAAAAAAAAAAAACACTGTGTCCCATCCTTCTGCTAAAAAGCTAGTGGGGGGGGGGATGCTGACTTAAAGCTAATTTTAATTTTCCATCTCCAGCTTCCAGACATCTGATCTGACACTAAAAGATCCAAATAACCCTAGAATAGCATTTCTCCATCTTGGCTGTGCAGGTTGGAATCACCTGAGGAGCTTTAAAAATAGAAGGCTCTCAGTCAGGCCCTTCTGTTCATCCACCAGGAAGGGCCACTTCTTGGAGCTAGTCTCCACCCATGTCCAGGTTGAGGACTGTCATTTAAAGTCCTGTCATTAAGTAAGTCCTGTGTATCCAGGGCTCATGCTCAAAGCTGGCTGTAGCAGCAGGACAYTGTTCCCTTTGCAAAGCTCTGCATGAGGACCATGCCCTCTTCCAGCCCCTACCGATAAAGAAAGCAGGGATAGTTGGAACTGCCATGGATGCAATTGTCCCCAAGCACAGTGCCAACACATTGCTGTGCCCGTGGGGCCATCTGTTTCTAACCTGTAAGGTTTTGCAGGGAGGACTTCCTATGTATGCCTTTGGCATATGCATCCCTCCGGAGCCTGGCACAGACTTTTCCATGGGAAGGGTGTTTGAGGGTGAAGAAGTGAGAGCCCAAATTTAGTCTGGGTCCAGGGCTCCCTGGAATATGAAGATACACAGGGGGTTTCTAATTACAGTGCCTTGTTTGCAGATTAGCACCCAAATCGGATCAGGCTAATTACAGTAATTGATTTGACTGCAGAAATGCTTCTGTCTGATGTCCCGCTGTGATTTTTCTCACTGGACAATGGTTAAATTAATGTGACTCTAGCCAGGATGGTTGTGCTGGCTGGAGAGAACCAGCTGCCCCGGGCATGGAGATGGGGAGGAATCAGAACTGAGGGAAAGGGAGGTGTGGCAGTGAGCCAGCTCAGAGCTGTCACCAACGCTGGTTTTGCTACCCAGGTCCAGTGGATATCAACATTGCGGCCAAGTGCAATGCCTGCCTCTCCAGCCCATGCAAGAACAATGGCACATGCAGTCAGGACCCTGTGGAGCAGTACCGCTGCACCTGCCCCTACAGCTACAAGGTACGACAGGTGCCCCCCCCAACCCCAGTTGCCACCATTCACACCCCAGGCTCCTCCTCTGTCTTGGAACCAGGATGGTGCACCATGCTGGCTGACCCTATCCAAAGTGTCATTTCCTAGAACTTTCCTATTCTCAAAACTGGCAAAGGCTGCCAGGTCTTGTCACACTGTGCCAAATAGGACCCCTTATAGTCTTGAGACAGATGCTCTGAGATATGGGGGAAATGTTGCATTTGTATTTTCTTTGTGAAACATGGGGAAATGACATCTCAGGAGAGTTCAAGTGCTTCCAAGTAAAGGCACGCCTTGAACCCACTGACTCCCTTTCCAAGGGATTCCCAGAACCTTCTTTCTCCATCAACACCCCCCCACACACAGTCCTGCCCTAAAAGTGTTGATTTCAGATTGATGAGGATACAGAGATAGGGGTTAAAAGGCCTGGGGGCTGCCAAGCCCACCCACATTGCTGACAGACTTGGGGAGCCTCAGAAGTGAGACCCAGTTCTCCCTTTTGTCCTCCCCAGAAATCCAGGCCAATTCCAAGATAGTCCTTTCCTCCCTCTTCTCACAACACTGCCCAGGAGATGTCACCCTGCTCCCTACTGACATCCAGAGAGGACAGACTGTGTGTCAAGCTCTCTGCATGGCATCTTGCTCATCTCTTCTTTTTAAACACTCCCAGTGAACCTATGAAAAAATCATTAATTCCCAGTTTTCTGATGTGGAAACCAGGCCTACAGCTGTTGACAGGGTTTGACTCAATTTCCCAAAGCTTAGAAGTGATGGTCTACAGGATTCCAGGTCTACAGGATTCCAGAGTCAAAGTGTCAAGGGGGTCTGTAGAGCTGTGGCTCCATCCTCCCCTGCAGAACTTCCCAGATTTCAGCCTTCAGGGCACTAATCTGAGTGCTCTGGACACACCACGAGTCCAAGACAGCCCCGCAATCCATCCAGTGCTCACCCCTGGTATAGGCTGAGTGACAGGTGGCTGCCATAGCCACATCTCCATCCCCAGAGGGATTGTGTGTGTGTAGTGACAAGCTGAAGAGCAGACTCCAGGTGGGGAATGGGAAACTGGGAGATTTTTCAATGGTAGCTGTGCTTCTAGCAGACAGTGTCAGAGTGCCACCTATGGGCCTGGGACAAGACAGGTCAAGGATTCTCTTTGAAGCCCTAAGTCCCCAAGGCCTCAAACTCACCAGAGTCCCAGACCTGTGCATTCTACACCCACACACAGTTACTAGCAGGGGAAGAATAGAGATTGAGAGGGGGCATGCTTGGGAGCCATGCTTCCCCTGAACCTCCCTGTGTGGGTATAGTGGACAAAACTCAAGCTGTGTATTCACACTGAGAAGCATGTGTGGGTCCCAGTTTTTGTCATTCACTAGCTGTGTGGCAATGGCCAATGACTTAGCCTCAGCTCTCCCATCTGTACACCAAGCCCCCCCCCCCACCCTGCCACCATTCGGGAATAAAGTGTACAATAATGTACTCGGTGCATCCATGACAGGATCTGGCCTTCAATCTGCACTGATTTTTACTTCTTCCCTTGCATGCAGCTCCCTCATACCAGCTGTGAGAGGGGCCATCAGAATAGGTGGTTCCATGCTGGTTCAACAGATTATCAATCTGTGACACTGAATAGTCAATGACTTTTGATGGTTCTCCTGGAACTGAGACGTGTATTTATGATCTTCTAGTTCCATGCAAGTCTAGTTCTCTTTGTTTCGTTTGTTTGGTGCTGGGGATGGAACCCAGGGGCTCAGACATGCTAAGGAAGCACTCTAGCACTGAGCTACATGCCCAGTCCTTGTGTGGTTCTCTAATTATTAACTAAAGACCAAGCCCTCAACTAGGCCTTAAGCATTTATTCCCTCCTCTAATTTTTATAATCACCTTCAGAGTTGGAGGTCATCATCCCAATTTTAAAGATTAGGTGAACACACATGCTAATCTGGCTTTCTTCTCTTTGAACTTGGCCTGAATCTGAAAGTCCAGACTACACTTTTCCTCTGACCATAGTCTGACCATTCACATCAGAGGAAAGAGTTCATCTATAGGGCCACAGCGGGATAATGCCAGTTTTGTTTTTGTTTTTTAACTTTATTCACAAGACTCTGGACATCTTATAGATTTCAAAAGAATTTGAACAGAGATTTTGACTTTTAGGAACCTTTGAGCTCAGGCAGTTCAGGGTTACATAATGGGGATGATTATGATGATGTGAGTAATGGTGATGATAATGATGAAGGTGATGATGGTGATGGTGTATAACAATGGTGCTGATGTTGACGATGATGATAGTGATGATCGTGATGGCATTGGTAATGGTGATAGTGATGATCATGATGGCAGTGATAATAGTGATGTTGGTGCTGGTAAGGATGGTAATGATTATAGCAATGATAATGGTGATGGTGATAATGATGGTGATGATGAAGATTATCGTGGTGATGGTGATGATTATAGTGATGGTGATGGTAATGGTAATGGTGATGGTGATGATAATGGTGATGGTGACAATAACGATGGGGATAATAATCATGATGGTTATGGTTTTGGTTATGAAGGTGATGATAAAGGTAATGATTATAGTGATGATGGGGGTAATAATGATGATCATGAGGATGTGATGGTGATGGCAATGGTGATAATAATGGTGAGAGTGATGGTGATGATGATGATAGTGATGGCAATGGTGATGGTGATGATGATGATGGTGGTGGTATCAATGGAGGTGGTGGTAGTGATGATGCTGATGCTGATCATATGGTGATGGTGAGGATGATAGTCATGACTGTGGCAATGTACATTGGCATGACAAAAATGATGACTATCACAACAACATAGTCAGTGTTAGAGCCATCACTGTTGAGTGCCTACTGTGTACTGACAGCACACTAAACTAGCTAACACCACCTTGCATACCTTTCATGAAAGCCTTGGGACACAGTTCCTGATAAATGACCCTTACTTTACAGTTGAAGAAACAGAACATAGCAGTGAGGGAGTGGGATTCAGGCTCAGAGCCAAGTAACTCCAGAACCCATGCTCTTGGCTACTCCATGCACTGCCSATCAGTAAGTTCAGCAATTGCAACACTGAGGGTGACAGTCCCTGGCCATTGAGAACCTGTCTGAATCTTTAGGGTAGAGAAAAACAGAACACAGAATACAGTGGTAGAAAGAACCCCATRTGGAAGGAACCCCGAGAGCCTGTGTCCCCCCTGGCTGCAGGGCCTTGGGCACTCCTGCTCGTCTCCTTGCCTCAGTTTCCTCCAATGTAAAGTGGAGCAGTTTGAGCCAAAGGGGCCATTTCATGGTGCATCTGACACCCTGGCTGAGTTCATTTCACCTGCTCTCCTTCTTGATTGGTTGAAGCCCACTCAAGGGAAACAAATGAAAGAGTAGTTTTGGACATGTCACTAAGCTGACCACAGATCCTTGTCACCCACAAAATCAAGCTCAAGGCCAAGACATTTACTCAGATATCTCAGTTTCTCATTTGACCAGCTGCATGACTTTGGGAAGTCCCAATGTTCCAAAAGCACAGCAAGCCTGTTGCAGGAGCACACACCTATAATCCAGTAGTTCAGGAGGCTGAGGAAGGAGGATCACAAGTTTGAGGCCAGCCTCAGCAACTTAGTGAGAACCTGTCTCAAAATTTAAAAATAAAAAGAGTTGAGGGCATAGTTCAGTGGTAGAGCACCCATGGGTTCAATCTCCAGTGCCATAAAAAAAAAAAAAAAAAGAGGCCTAGCGGGCACTGTTTATCATCTGATCTGCTGGCAGCTCTGTTAACCTACGAGAACACCAGGCCTTTGTGAAGCAGTCTCAGGATGTCACCTCCTACACTGCTCTTAATTGGCCTGCGAAATAAGTTTTGTTGTGCTCTTTTGATACGTGAAGAAACTAAGGTTTGTAAAAACCTAAGAACTTATCCAGGCCCCCACACCTGGGAAGTGTGTGAGCTAAAATCAGAACCAGCTACCTCTTGCAGGAAGGTCTACACCCCTACTCATCACTAGCCACTGATTCTCACCAAGCCTCACTTTCCTACTGGTAAAGGGGAATACTCATGCTCACCAGCTGTCGTCAAGATGGAAAAGCATCACGTTTGCACTTGCCTACCTCAGTGAGAGCATTCAGTAGACATTTCCCACCAGGTGGCTATCTTGCCACTATTCTAAGATTTGGGACATAAAATGTATTTCTCAGCCATTCAGCTTTCTACACACGTTCAGTGTCTCAGAGAAGTACTTCTCAAACTTCAGTATTGTCAAGAGTCACCCGGAGATTTTGTTAAAATGCAGGCTTTGGTTCATGAGACATAAAGTCGGGCCTCAGACTGCATTTTTAACAAGCTCCGTGGAATGCCAACACTGCCAGTCCAAGGACCACACTTTGAGTAGCAAGGCTTTAGAACAGCCCTCCCAGCCCCATCTCAGAAAGAGCTTTCCAGTAAGGATAGATGTTTCCAGTCTCTTTAAAAGGAAGCCAGTATCCTCAGCCATGTCCTTTACACACACACACACACACACACACACACACACACACACACACAGTGAGGAGTAGAAAGTGAGGAAGGACCAAGGAGCATCACATATCTGGAGGATCTGAACAAAACGCAGCTGAAAAGAATTGAAGACTAATTAGCCAGGCCTTGGCAATGGTGATTATTTCTCTAGTCACTGAATTCCCACCTCCAGGCTCAATTACTGYGTCATCGGGTACCAGGATCTGCCCCCTAGATTCCCATGCTCAGCATAGAAGACTGGAGGAGACAGGGATCCCAACCTCCACCCCCATCCCCACCCTAAGGGGAATATTCCACCTGGAGTAGATGCTACTTGCAAGGTTGGACCAGGCAGGGGCTTAGGAGGCCCTGCCCAAAGCTTCTCAAGGTTCTCCTGCCCTGCCCTGCAAGTCCATCTACCCTGCTGCCAACCCTACACATACCCCCAAGCTATTTAACACCAATCGGGGATCCTAAAAGGTATTTTAATCACCCACATGCCACCCTGCCTCAGACCCCAGTCTTTGTCATCCCCGCTGTTACTATGAGCTGCCATTACATGCTTACAGCTATGTGATTTCTAAACAAGTTACTCCACTGGGGTAGGTAGAGGCTGAGTGTCCCTTATCTGAAATGCTTGGGACCAAAGATTTCAGATTTGTTCCGATTTTGGAATATTTACATATACATACTGAGCTACCTTAGGGATGGGACCTAAGTCTACAGTGCAGTTCATCTCTGTTTCATATTCACCTCATACACACAGCCTGTAACTTTATCTGGCATTTTTTCTGCACCTGCATTTTGACCGTGACCCATCACCGAGATCAGGTGTGGACATTTTCACTTATGACATCATGCCAGTCCCTAAAGGTTCAGATTTGGGAGCATTCTGGATTTTGGATGTTTTAATTTAGGATACTTAACTATTATTCTCATTTCACAGAAAATGGAAAGAGGCTCAGGGAGAACTATCATTTCCTCCAGRCAAAACAGCAGCCAACCTAGATTCATGCTCTGATCCACTGCATTCCAGAACCTGGGTTTTAAGAGGATGGAGATCAGTGGTCTAGCACAGAGGCCCAGCACTGGCTTTGGGCTCAGCTGCCGCTTCTATTTCCAACTGTGCAGTCTTGAACCTATTACCTCACTTCCCAAGTCTGTCTTCCCTGTCTGTAAAAATGTGTGTAATAACACTGATATTGATCTGGGAGGGTTCTTGTGAACATGAATATAAAACGCTTAGCATAAGACCTGGAACAAAAGTGTGCTCCATAATGTGAGAGAAGATTATCGTCACAGTTTCTATTCTCACTCTGACTGAGGGCCCTGTGCCACTGTAGCTTAGGATGAACCCAGATGACACCCCAAACTGCATTGGCCTTCCCCTCTAAGACTGACGGCACTCTAACTGTGCTGGGGGCATGAAATGGTTTAAGAACCAGCCAGCCGTGGCCAGCTGCTGGAGTGGCAGCAGCCCTGAGAGAGCAGGAGGCTGCCCTGGGCAGGCTCAGTTGGCAGTGACCACACACCAGGAAGCCCCAGTCCCATTCCATGACAGGCACTGGCAGCAGCAGAAAGGAAAGAGGGTTTTCTCTGGCAGATGGCGAGCAGGTGGAACGGCAGTGGGAGGGCTCCCTAGGTCACCCCCACCTGGCATCCACCCAGGCCACTGAACTGTGACCCAGAAATAGATGCAACAGACCCCTCCCCAGGCTACCGGGTCCTGTACAGGGCTGCTGCCAATACTTGGGTGTAACCCCGGCCCATTAGTCCCAGGGGAGAAGCAGGAGCCAGAGGTCTGAGAAGAGCTGGGCTGCATCCTGGGACACTGGGTCTAATTCTAATCTCTGTCCTGGGGCTGCCCTTCTGAGTGCCCTTGTCCTCACTGCTCCTTCTGCCTGGCATGATCTTCCTCACCTGCCACCTGGTTGGCTGCTTGTCAGCTCCAGCATCCCCTTAAGAGGAGCCGAGCCTGGAAGGGGGAAGAGCCTGGGAGGGGAGGAGCCTGGGAGGGGAGGTGCCTGGGAGGGGAGGTGCCTGGGAGGGGGAGGAGCCTAGCCCAGAGGAACTCCCCTCACTCCAAACTACGCAGTGGTTTCAGCCTAGCCTGACATTGGGCTTACCTGCTGAACTTCAGAACAAACATCCAGACCAATCAAGGATGAATCTCCCGGGGTTGGCATTTTACAGGACACACAGTTGATTAGCCACAGGTCAGCCTTAGTCCATCCTACTGGAGTTGTGGATTAGACCTACCGTGTGCAGCACTTCCTTACACCAAAGCTCTGGCTTCCTTCTCATAACAGCCCTATCAGAGCTTAGGAGGCTTTTGCAAGGTCAAGGGCAGCCAGCAGGAAGAGGTGGAGCTGGGATGTGAATCGGGTTTGGTCATGTCCAGAGTCCACATTCGATACTGCTATTGAGGACCCGAGTCTGTGGATTCCAGAAGTCATGACGCTGGAGCCTGGACTCCTGGGTTCTCCAGGTTTCTTCCTTGTCACTGCAGTGTGACAGAGGTGAAGGGGCGCTTTGGCTTACTCTGAGTCACATGGCAGGCCTGTCCAGGGCCTCCTCTCCAGCACCTCCTCAGCTTCCCCCAGGGAGACTGAGAACTCTCAGTCTGTGTCACAGCAGCCATCCAAACCCCCCTCCCTGGGCATTTCTCTGTCTTCTCCTTAGGGCAAGGACTGCACCGTGCCCATCAACACCTGCATCCAGAACCCCTGCCAGAACGGAGGCACCTGCCACCTGAGCGAGAGCCACAAGGATGGGTTCAGGTACAGCTCACCACAGGCCTCCCTGCCCTCAGGCTCCATGGGCAGAGTCCTCTCTGAGAACGACGTTAAGACCCTGCCCACGTCATAGGGAAGCACGATTATCCCTACTGCACAGACAAGAACCCGAAGCATCAAAGGGATTAGCCTTTGCCTGAGTTAAGTAGTCAGCACTGGTACTTGGATTTGAACCCCGGTGCCAGCCTCAGCTATCCAAGCTAGGAGTCTGCAAGGGAGCTGCAGTTGCCAACTGAAGTCAGGGAAGGAGCAGATGCAGCCTGGCAGCCCCACCACTCTCTCCTGGATCGTGAGTAATGCTAAGAGTTGGTGGCAATGACCTGCTCCCTGTGAGCCAGCCTGATTAGTCATGCACTGTCCCATTAGCATCTTCTCACGACCCCGTCCAGGAGGTAGTACTAGCCCCGTTGAACAGATGAGGAAACTGAGGCTCAGAGATTGGTTTGCTCTAGGTCACRTACCCTGACACTGGTTCCTGGAGCTGGTCTTAAGGTCTCAGAAAGAAAAGGGCATGGACACCATGTAAACTTTTCTTTACCCTGTGCTGAGCGTGAGATTGGGCCTCTGCCTAGACGTCAGTCCCCTTCATGCCTCCTGCCTTCCCCATAGCTTTCAGGTGCCCAGGCTCCCCAGCCAGTGGCCCTGGCAGGAGCCATTGGAAGTGGCTTCTGTGGCACAGTGAGCCGGGCATCAGCTGCTGGCATAAAGGCTTCTGGTGCCAAGCTCTGACGGACATCTTAGAGCTTGGGTTGACATTAATTTCTGAAAGCCCTCTGATCAGGGGTTGCTGTGTGGTCTGTGGAAGATATCAAGCTCTGGGCTCCTGGCTCTCCTCCCCGGGACACCCAGCCCACCCACATGTCCTCCCRCCAAGCCAGCCCCATCCAACCCTGCCTGACTCTTGACAAGTGAGACTCTGGCCCGAGTTCCTGTTCCTGCCTGGAAWAGGCCAAACCACTCACTTCCTCCCGCTCACTTGGAGCAGGATGAGGAGAAACTGCATGGGAATCTCCCAGAGCTGGCCACAAGTGTCTGCCAGGAAGTTCACCTCCAGGCCCAGATGAGGCTCTGCCCCAGCCAGAAGGAGAGAACTGGGGCTCAGGAAGGGAGGGTCATCCCCGTAGGCGATTCTGTGTCCCCTGGTCTCTCCTGGCCATCTTCCATCTTTGAGGAATTTCGAGTGAACAGCAAATGTTCCTGAAACTTAATTTGAAAGAAAAAGGACCCAGATCAACAGGAGGAGGGCAGTGAGGCAAATGCTTGGACCAGGAAGCCCCAAATCCAGGTTTCTGCAGGGACAGGCGCTTTCCAAACCCAACAGGGGAGGGTCCCTCCTTGCCTCTTTCTGGCTTCCGCTGGCGAGCCTGGCATTCCTCGGCACTCAGCCCGTCACTCCAGGGTCTGCCTTCACTGTCACAGGGCCTTCTCCCCTTGTCTGTCTTCACACGTCTGTCTTCTCACGGGGACACCACAATGGGTGTCTAATACGCCCTGCAACAACACTAGTTTCAAGTAGAGTCACGTTCGAGGTTCGGGGCTGCGACTTCCGTCTGTCTTTCCTGGAGAACACAGTCCAACCCACAGCACCTCTTGGGAGTCAGAATTCTGAAAGCATCACACCCGCTTCAGACAGAGGCTTCTCTATTCTTGCTGCACTGTGGGCTCACAAAGGGAGCAAGGACCACACCAGGGAGATGCCACCTGGCCTCAAAGTCCCCGAGACTGACTAATGCTCTTGCAGCTTCTTGACAACTCCTTCAAGTTTCCCAGTGAGGACCGGGAGACTCGGCCCCTCCCCACCTCTGTCCCACAGTCTGGACTCCCTTGGCCAGCCACCATCTATCTCATTGRCCACTGTGGGGCCACCCTAATGTTCTGGGGCAAACCCAAGAAGTTGATCTTCAAGGAAACCTACACTAATGCCTTGGTTTAAGACCTTGAAGTCCTACCCACTCTGTAATATTTTTTTTGAATGCCCAGGGTTTCTGACATTTAAAAAAAAAAAGTCATTTTTCTCCACTATCTCGAGAGCTCAGTCCTCGGCCTTGTGTGGGAAATGTGATATGGTTTTCAGATTGCAGAGGGACAGAAGTAAGGTAGGATTGATTTTAGGACCACAGAATTCACTCCTTAATAGTTTAGTTTACTTTTCAGTGACATCCCAAGTCAGAGCAGTCCCTGAAACAGAGGCCTGGACTTACAGGGTCTGAAGCTGGAGCCGTGCTCATGGACAGGGCCAATCCCTGGTTATCAACTTGGCCCTGGGAAGAGGCAGGTTCCAGGAAGCATTTTTAATCAGAGGCTCACTTCCCACCCACCCCCAGGCACCTCCCACCCCCTTTCCCCTTCACTTCTGCCAGGCTTTATCTGTTCTTTTACATGCCCGATCCTGGGGTATAACCAAGGTCAGGCAGAGGACAAAGGACAAGGGGTGGAAGGTTTTCTCTAAAAGATTTAATGCACCAGAGATGACGAAGGAAATATGTCCTGTTGATTTATTGTGTTCAAGCCGCGCTCACCAGGAGGCCTCGGTCTTGGCAGGAAAGGGGTCCTCCCCCTCGCCCGAGAAGCTGGAGGGGCTCAGAAGTGGTAGGAATACATGGCACAGAGAGATGGCCTCCCTGAGGAAAGGTTGAGGGGGTGTGGTGGTTTTCTCTAGAACTAATGTCAGGCCATGTGCTTAGAGTTTTCCTGTGCACCGTGTTCCCTTCCAAGTGTTTCACTTGTATTATCTCATTTAATTCCTCCAGCACCCAAGGCCAGACAGCTAGAAAGTAGCAGACAGAAATCATTCCCAGGAACCCTGGGTGCAGAGCCCCGTGACCCCAGCTAGGAGGCCCAGCTGCCCCCTCAACATAGAGTGAACCGTCTCTGGAGGGGGTGGGGCGTCTGAGCTGCAGAGGACAGAGCAGGTGTTTTAGAGGACAGCTGCAGGAATTTAAGCCACGCCCAGGAAACCACTTCCAGCTAGCGACAGTGGGGTGGCAGTGCAGGTAGGACCTGCCCCTAAGGCAAGGCAGCCAACAGGTGCCAGGGAGCCAGAACATGGCCTGGAGACAGGGAGCTAGTCAGAACCATCCTGTGGGTTCCCGGGGTCTTCCTGCTCTGGCCCGAGACCTCCCGTGTCCCGGGTGCTGCCTTGGCCCTCGGTCCTGAGACCCAACTAACTGTAGTTCTGCCTCCCTCTCCCCTCCCCTGCCCCCCACTCCCTGCCCCTCATCCCTCTGCCCTCTTCTCACATCCCAAAGCTGCTCCTGTCCTCTGGGCTTCGAGGGGCAGCGCTGTGAGATCAACCCCGACGACTGTGAGGACAACGACTGCGAGAACAATGCCACCTGCGTGGACGGGGTCAACAACTACGCGTGCGTGTGCCCCCCCAACTTCACAGGTGAGGGCTCAGGACGCTCCAGCACACTCTCGTTGGTGGCATGGTGTAGACGGTGTCTCTAGAAGAGTCCCCTTCCCTTAGTGACATTCTTAAAGGAGGAAGGACCCCACCTCCTTTCTCCCAGAGACCAAGATCCCAAGACTGTGACATGCCACGAGGGGCCTCCCCAGCATCCTGTCTGCCAGCGTGTGTCTGGCTCCGCCACCCCAACCACCCACCCCTACAGGCCACTCGCTCCTTCCCCTAGGAAGCAGGTCCCCAGGGCTCTTCCAGCTGTCATCCATTGAGCTAATGGCTGTGCCCTCCTTTGGGAAGCCTAGTGACCCACATGTTTGAGGCCAGCAGAGGCCCTTGAGCTGCTCTCGGCTTTGCTCAGGTGCTGTCAGCTGTCTCTGGAATCTAAGTTCTTCCAGACACTCTGCCAGGAGCTAAGGAGACACACAGGTTCAACAGAATGAGAACACAGCTGTGTAAGCCCAGAGGTCCCAGGACCACTGGAAACCGTCCTGCTGGAGAGTGCGGGAAGGCCCCGCGGGAGGGATCATTGCTCGGAGTTGTCTTTCTACCCACACAGCCCCCAACCCCAACACCTTTGTTTAACCATCAAATAGACTATTAGATTTTAAATCAAAATGATACTAATTGGTACAAACACAACTGACTTTGTTACCAAAGTGACCTGAAGTGGCCTATCCCAGAAAAAGAGCCAACTCGGGGAGCCCTGCACAGAGTTAGACCCTTTTCTTAGCTCCTGATACAAATGAACACACTAGAAGTTCTGAAAACTCCTACTTTAAAGAAAGCTGCCTATGTTTAGCCCTGCAGTTCCACACTCCTTTGAGCTTCCCTCTTATCCCACCTGGAAACCTGCTGCAACCTGGGTATCGTGTTCTAAGTTACAAGTTCCGGACCTGCTGGCCTAAGGCCTAGAGGAAATGGGAGTGAAGTGGCTCGGGACTCCCCGCCCCCCAGCCCGCTGGAACCTGGCTCATCTGTCCAGAATGAAGCGTGCGGGGGTGTGGTGCCCAGTGGAGCAGCCCTGGGGACTGTAGAGGGGGACATGGAGCAGCGCCTGTTCCCTGCAGAGCCTCCAGTCCACTAGCCAGGATGCCATAGCACAGCTTGGGCTGCTGGATTGCCCCACGGCAGCTGAGAAAGCCGCCTGCCTCCTGGGCCCAGACAAGCCCTTGGGTTGAGAGAGCATGCAGGGGCTTCTCCCCTGTGCCTTGCTTCCTCCATCTCCTGAGGGCAGAGTCGTAACCAAGAGCTGCACTAGCAGCAGGTGACTCTTCTCAGGCACCCTTCACTACACGCAGAGCAGTGAATTAGGCAATAGAGACACCAAGAAGGCCAAGGTATGCCCTCAGCCCACAGGGGCTTCCTGAGAAGCAGCGCTGGAGAGAGTTGGCTAGCTGGTCCAGAAGAAGCTGCTCATCAAAATCCCAGCAGCTCAGGAGAGGGCAACGGTGCTCAAAATCAAAATCAGCTCTAGGACAGAGGAGGGCCTCGACTGGAATCCTCACCAGGCAGGCAGGCAGTGGCAGGGGCACTGAGGAGACCTGTCCCCTGCTTCAGTGGAACCCTGCCCCTGTCTCAAGGACCAGGCTGTTCCATATTTGTTGCACTCTGTTCCTGAGAGGAGTGCACTGTGGCTCCTCTGTCCCCCAAAACATCCAAGGCCTACACAAACACTTGGCTGCTTCTCTGGGCGGAGGAGGAGGAGGAGGAGGAGGAGGAGGAGGAGGAGGAGGAGGCGGCGGCCTGTTGAGAAGCTCCCTCTGTGGAAGGTGGAGATAGGCTTATCCCCACCCCAGAAGAGAACAGATCCCCACCCCAGAAGAGAACAGCTCTGGGGCGTCTCACTCACCCTCAGGGCCTTCTGCCCAGGCAGCCTGCTCTAGCTGCAGCTCCCCACCCTCAGCTCTGAGGAGAACGTCTGCCATTAGAAGTCTCCCTCCCTTAGATCACTCTCTACCTGGCTTGATTGGGTGGACTTTGAGAAAGCCCAGAAGTCAGACCCTAGAATCCCGCCCGGTTTGGGAGATGCCTCCTGCCTTACCCACCCCACCTACATTTCTGAAAAACTTTGAAGAGGTTGCACTTATCTGAGCCCCTGTGCGAGGGCACCCCAGGTATTTATGACCCACCAGGCAACACCATAGACATCAAAGTTAGTTATCCAGAGACCAGAAATTCAAATTCCTCTCCTATTTGCTTCCCTTGAAAAACCCAAGAGGCTTCTTGATCTGGAGCAGGTGAACCATGCAGTTAAGCCTTCTTAGCCATTCCAAGGAGCTCCCTCTCACCCCCTGGGCGAGGTTGTGGTCTCTCTGTGCTTCCAGAGTTTAACTCTGTGGCAGCCTCAAGACTCTGGATGGTGAGGTTCTGTCTGTCTGTAGATCTCCCACCACTAGACCCTGGAAGAGGACAGAAGTAGGTCACTGTCTGCCCCAGCAGCTGGCATGGTGCCTCCCACACAGGAGGACTTATTGAAAAGGTGTGAAATTWAAAAAGCAATTGGACAGCAGAGCCCAAGCGGGGGTCCAGGCTGCTGCTCCAGACGCAGCTGCCCTGGATGATGGAGCAGAATCCCCAAGCAGGGGTGCTATGGCAGTGCCCATGGGAAGGAAACTCTAAGTCAAGAAAAACGATACACCAAGAGAAGAGTGTGAGGGCCTTGCTCTGTGACTTGACAGATGTAGGACTGAGGGTCCTGATACCTGAGTTCTTGTCCCTCTCCACCAGGTGAGCTGTGTGACGAGGTGATTGACCATTGTGTGCCTGAGATGAACCTCTGTCAGCATGAGGCCAAGTGCATCTCCCTGGACAAAGGATTCAGGTAGGACTTGCAGTCCAGCCCGCCACTGAGCACTCAGCCTCCAGCTGTCTGGTTGGAAGCTGAGTCTCTGTGTGTGCTGGGTAGGGGGCTTCTCTCCCCAGCCCACTCTCCTCTGGATCTGACTCAGCCATGATCTAAGTCTCTCAGGCTTCCCTTTTCCCTATGTGAGTGTCTCTGTCTTGTATGTCTGTCTCTCATCTCTGCCAATAGAGAGAGACAGAGAGATGTTCTCTTTCCTTTCCTTCCCCCTTTTCCTCTCTTTCCTTGCCTCTTCTTTCCTCTCCTCGCCTCCCCACCCCCTCTCCCCCGCCTCTCTCCACGTATCGTCTTTCCAGAGCTAAAAATGTTGCTCAGAGGAAACAAAGTGTGAAGGGTGTTGGGTGGCCTTCCCAGGGCACAGCCTTCCGGGCCATCTTACCTGGGGCTACAGAAGGTTTGCCAGCTTGCACACGTAGGAGGAAGGGAGTTGGGGGACAGGAGCCCCAGCTGGATTCAGCAGCCACAGCCAGTGGTGGAGCCGTCTCCACAGTGAGCAGCAGAGCCAATAGGTGTAAGAGGAGCACATGAGCAATTCTGAGGTGGAGGGAGAGGCTTCCTCCAGAGAGGGCCACCCATTTCACAAGCCTGAGAAACCAATGGCACTCCTGGGAATTCCTCCTAAGGCTCTCTTCCCACCTTCTCCCTTCGCCCTCTATCATGAAAACTGGTGCCAGTGTTTCTTCTGGAGAAGATGCTTAGACCCTCAAGACCTGGAAGTCTCTGACATTGATAGGATGGTGGAATCCTGCAGCCAAGAATGCTCTCCCTGTCCCCGAAACTGCTTTCCACACACAGTTGCTTCCTCTCCTCCCCAGCAGGCTCTGTCTAGGAGCAGAGGGAGCCTCTAACACCCAGGATCATGGTGCAGGGGAGCAGGCAGAGACCAGGGCAGCTGGGAATCCCAGGATGTGCCCTCAGCTGACACCAGAAACATTTCTACTGAGCTCCCTTAGGATGAGGGACCTGCCTCTGGAACTCAGTGCTGCACTGCCCCATCTCTTAGGAATGCTAGGGAGTTAGGGATTCTCATGAGCCTCTGGACTTGTTCCTTGAAATCTCACTCTGTATTGTAACCAAGACCCCTTGAGTTACAGGACAATGGAGAAGTGAAAGAAACCAGTCAGGCTTTCACAGTCTAGGATATTTTATTTAACTGCAATGTCTCCTTGGAGACACTATCTTGAAAAGGTCTACTGAGCAGCTCAATAATGTTAGCTTTTTATTCAAATGCATTTAAATCAATAATCCTTTCTCCAGTGCAACATTGTATCATCTTATCCCCCTCCCCTCCCATCAGCAAGCAACTCATATCCCATGGCAGCCTAGAAGGGTGTTAGCAAGAAAAATGTGGTCAGTGCGGCCTTTGACTAAGTGGGAAGATATATATCCTTGGAGATCTCCTGGTATGCTCTTCTAATGAGGTCTCAGCAGAGGGCAGATAGGACCTTCCCATAAACACTGAAAATAATCATAAACACAAAGATCACAGTGATCGGCACACACCAGGCAGGGAGCATTCGCATGGAACACCCAACAATCTCAGAATGCACAACTACTGCCCACAGTCCACGAGGCACAGCGGGGTAAAGCAAATCTCCTGGAGACAGGCCTAGAAAGATATGGACTCAGCCCCCCCCAGGCCTGGCCAGTTTCTCAGTTAAATCCAGACTCCAGATGTCCTGCAAACAAGAGTGTCACTGTTTTCTCCCCCTGGTCCACAATGAATGGATCCAGCAGATACTAAAATTGCATTAACCTTTCACTTTAACTTGAAGAAAGATACAGGCAAGACATTTGGAAGCAATAGGAAATGCAGGGTGTCACCAGCCTCTTCTCTGGATGAAGTAGTGTTGTCTAGGTCCTGGCTGCAGGGAATGAAGTCCCCCAACCAGCAGCAGCAACCACACATGGAAGCTTGCTGGGAACGCTGATCCCCTGGCCCTGCTCAGACTCCCTGAATCAGAAGCTACACTTTAGCAAGATCCCTGATTGTTTTATAGGCTTGATAAAATTTGAGATGTGGCCAGGCATAGTGTCACCTGTAATCTCAGCAACTTAGGAGGCTAAGGCAGGAGGATGACAAATTTGAGGCCAGCCAGCCAACTTAATGAGATCCTGTCTCAAAAAAATTTTTTTAAGTTCTGGAAGTGTAGCCCAGTGGTAGAGCACCCCAGTATTTAGTCCCCAGTACAAAAAATAAATTAATAGGTTTGACAGTGCTAGTGTGGAGAGGGCTAGAGAATATATAAAATAAAAAAAAAGAAGAATGTAAACACATTGGCCTCCAAACCTCACTGCTTAGTTTGGAAGTGTGAATAACTTCCCTAATTGCTGATAAAGACCTTATCCATAGCCCTGAACTCCATACTTAAAAGGCTGGATTTGATCCTGTGAAGTGTTGGGCAGTTGTTACAGCTCTGGGCAAGGTCAGAGGGCTTGAGCTACTCTCCAGGTCTCTTTTGAATTCAGAAGAATTCAAAGACACAATCTTTCCAGGGCCAGGTTTCCCATGGTAGCAGAGGTGTGGGCCACAGTATGCTGGGTCCTCCCCCCACAAAGCATTTCATTTATTATTTATCATCAACTGTATTTAAAGATGAAGAAACCAAAACACAGGTCATGAATGGTCGATGCACTTAGAACCGCGTCTGACACATAGTGTAAACTGTCGCTCCACGCAGGACACAGGAGTGACTTCAGCTCTCTGAGCTCTGTCTTCTTCCTGATGATAGACCCTCCTTTTCAGGGTCCTGGGAGGACTCAATGTGACACTCTGGCATGTCACAGCACAGTGCCTGACACAGTCCTGAAGGTCAATTCTAGGGARAAGGTGGCAGAACCACGCCAAAAGCTGGGTGGTTCCACCCCGTGGCCCTCAGCCTGGCTCCTGGAAACACTCCCCCCCCCCCCGACCCCCCACATGAAGCAGACAGGCCTCAATGGCTCGGATCCGAGGCTGTGACCACGAGTGGTACCCGAGTGAAGCCAGGCCAGGCAGAACCTTAAGGAACTTGAGTGGACAAGGGGAGGGAGGCCCTGGGGGGGGCGGGGGACAGGAGCCAGGCCGGGAAGCTGCCCAGGCCTAAGAGTAGCTTCACGCTGCCTGTGTTCCAGGTGTGAATGCRTCCCTGGCTACAGCGGGAAGCTCTGTGAGACAGACAATGACGACTGCTCGGCTCACAAGTGTCGCCATGGAGCCCAGTGTGTGGACGCAGTCAATGGCTACACGTGCATCTGCCCCCAGGGCTTCAGGTATGGCAGAGAGCCTCCTCAGGACGGTGACAGTCCCTAAAGCTACCAAAAGGGACTTCTTAGAGTGGACTTAGGTCCCAGCCCACGTGTCAGGCTCGCATGTGATGCCGTTTAAGGGAGGACACCACCATCTTGGAGCCCAGATTGCAGGGTGGTGGAGCCACCTGCCCACGTGGCTGGGGTCTGACTTGTAGGTTGGAGAACACAAACATTGTGGTGTCCCAGTGGCAGAAAAGGGGAGGTCAGAGGGAGGGCTTGGAACAGTCTGTGGAATCAATGAAGCCAGAGGAAAGGGGAGGCCTGGTCCGGCTGCTGAATGTCTGCAGGGGATGTAGAAGGAGAAACCTGGGCTCCTGGTCCAGCTCCTACACTGACTAGCAGGGCCGGGAGGAAAGGATCAGTGGGGGTCAGACTGGACACTGGACACGGTGCCATGCCTACCAGTGCTCACCAGATGGCACAAACCTAAAATGTGCAAATAAGCTTTACACATAGACTCCAAGGTCCTGAGCCTAGAAGGAGCCACAGAGTTCTCAAGGCCAGAGTTTCTAAAAGCTGGACTGAGACCCTCCACATCCAAGGCTCGTGAAAATATTGATTCCTGTGCCCCACGCCAGAGCTACTGAATTAAAATTTAGAAAAATTAAAATAGAAAAAAGGGGGGCTAGAAAGTCTGTACTTTTTTAAAAAAATCATGATAAAATAAACATAACAAAATTTACCACCTTACATATTTTTAAGGATAGAGCTCAGTGGCATTAAGCACATTCACCTTGTGGTGTGGCCATCACCAACATCCATCTCGAGAACTTTTGCCTCTTGCAAAACCATTCCATTAAACAACAGCCCTGCATTCCTCCCTGTTCACTCCCGGGAGCCCACGTGATTAGAACCTGTTACCCTTCATGTCTGGCTTATTTCGCTCAACGTCCTGTTCCCAGGCCCACCTGCTGTAGCAYGTGTCAGGACTCCCTTCCCCCGTAAGGGCCAGCAGCATCTCACTGGGCGACATGCATTTGTTTATCCCTTCATCATCTATGAACAGGAACAATTAACAATTGACAATTCACCCCACGCATTCTGATGACACTGACATTCGGGGACCTGTCTGACTCAGTTACTTTAAAAATGGGAAAACTTGGACTTAAAGGAAAAAAAAAAAGGACTTGCCCCAGGTAGTGGCAGCAGGGCTGGAACTAGACCCTGGAACCGTCTCCCCCCATCTCACGGGCTCTCTGCCAGAGGCTCCTTGTCGGTAACTGATTGTCTCTTCTCCCCCCTCTGCCCCGTGCTCCCCCCATGCTTCCCTCCCCTCCTACCAGTGGACTCTTCTGCGAGCACCCCCCGCCCATGGTTCTGCTGCAAACCAGCCCCTGTGACCAGTATGAGTGCCAGAACGGGGCTCAGTGCATCGTGGTGCAGCAGGAGCCCACCTGCCGCTGTCCCCCGGGCTTTGCTGGCCCCAGATGCGAGAAGCTCATCACTGTGAACTTCGTGGGCAAGGACTCCTACGTGGAACTGGCCTCCGCCAAGGTCCGGCCACAGGCCAACATCTCTCTGCAGGTGCGCCTGGCCCCGTTCTGCCCTTGGAAGGACCCAGTTTGCCCCCGTCCCTGAATTGACAATGGCATCCTTCTCTACAAGGGAGACAATGGTCCCCTGGTGCTGGAGCTGTACCAGAGAACCACCAGGATGCCTCATGTCTTAGCAGTTCTGCTCCTTCCCCCAAAAAATCATCCAGGACAACATTCAGCTTTGGGGAAGCAGGACTCGCTCTGTCTAGATAGATTTCTAGATGCCTCCTGACCAGCCCTCACTGCAAATGGCAGTTCCCGTTTCTAGTCTTATTCCCTCATTCTTCTAGAAAATATTTGTTCAACTATTATATACAGATACTGCTGTGAAGCGGGGATTCAATCGTAGACAAAACAGAAAAAGCACCTTGACCATCCAGGAGGGCAAGGAGAGAGACAGCGGCACAAGGGTCACTGCGGGAATGTGCTAGAGGGGCAGCAATCCCATTCTGCAGGGAGAACCAGAGAAGGCTTCTCAGAGGCGGTGATGCCCAGGCTGAGAGGTGAAGGATGAGTAGGAGTTTTCTGATGAAAGTAGAAGAGTGGAGGCCAAGGGAACAGGGTGAACGCAGACTGGAGAGGACCAGCAGATTGCTCAGCAAGTGCAGAGGCCCAGAGGACAAACACAGAACGCGTTTAGGGAGTGAAAACCCATTCAGGGTGAACAAGTTCTTTTCCCAGTAGCTTCGTTCAGGTTCCTTGCTTTGGACCTGAGCCCATGTATTCTGGACTATATTTCTGGTTAAGCTAAATGCTGTTCTGGAGGTGGGTGTGGGCAGGGAAGGTGGAGGATGGGCCAAGAACAGGCCCCACCTGCAGGCTCCTCATGGAGGAGGAGACCCAGAGACGTACCAGGATGGTGATGACCAGGTAGTGGCCCCTGCCTCTGGGTTTGGGTGCTGCTGGGCACTCACTGGGGCTCGGTTCTCTTTCTGGTTATGGCCGATTAGCCCAGGTTAAAGTTGGAGTTTATGGGGGAATACTGCTCAACAAACATCTAGAGAGCACCCATACATCCCAGGGACTCTTCCAGGTGCTGGGGTTGCATTGACACAGTGTTCAAACTCCTCACCTGGCGGAGCTTGCAGCCTGTGGGCAGGCCCCTCAGCTGAGGCTTGGCCTGGCACAAACAGGAAGGAAGCTCTACCTGCCATTGTCYCTGGACCCCCAGCTCCACCCAGAGACCTGACTGCTGGGTCCAACCCCAGACCTCCAGGGTCCTGTCAGACTTCCCTGCTTCACATCCCATTCACAGCTACACAGGTGCCGGCCATGAGTGCAGGTGGCGGGCAGAGGAGCGCCCCTGGCGCTCAGCCTTGGCAGTATTTCAGAATCCCCCGGAGGAGTTTTAACCTACCTGCCCGAGAGATTCATGTGAGCTCACTCTGGGTGAAGCCAGAAGCTGGTGTATCTTAAAGTACCCCCAGAAGCAGCCATCTGGAAGAGGGTGCTGGGGAGAGGGGTGGGAGAGGTTGACCTCAGGTAAGCCCTAACCCACGTGCCCGGCCCTCTCTCCAGGTGGCCACTGACAAGGACAATGGCATCCTTCTCTACAAGGGAGACAATGATCCCCTGGCGCTGGAGCTGTACCAGGGCCACGTGAGGCTGGTCTATGACAGCCTGAGTGCCCCTCCAACCACGGTGTACAGGTGAGGACCACGCCCCCAGCCACCACTCACCTCCACGCCAGAGCAGCCAGGGTGAAACTAATACCCCACCATGCATGCGCGCGTACACACACACACACACACACACACACACACACACACACACACTCTTCCTGCACAGAGTGGCAGGTGGGAGGGAGAAGGGCAGCACTGGAGGCAGAGGCAGGCCAGGAAGGCAGGCTCCAGCGGGAAGATGACACCTCATTACCATAAGATAAATGGCCAGCTGGCTACTGTGCATGGAGCCAGGTGCTCCAATGGGAATGAGGCTGCTTAATGAGACGCCCTTTTCAAAATGTCATTCTAATCTTTTATTAGTTTAAGAAAGAAAACGGGGCAATTAGCATGCAATACAAGGRAAAGACACTCAAGAGCATTGGGAAACAGGGCCACTGCTTCAGTGACCTTCAAATTGCCCTGAAGGACAACTTCAGAACACAGTCACCCTGTGTGTTAGTCAGCTTTCCACTACTGTAACAAAATGCCTGAGGAAATCAACACATAAAAAGGAAAAGTTTATTTTGGCTGACAGTTGTAGAGGTTTCAGTACATGGTTGCTTGGCCACGTCACTTTGGGCCTGTGCATTGGCAGCACACCATCACAGGGAGTACGTGAAGCAAGCAGCTGGTGTCTTGGTGGTRGGGGAGTAGAGGGAGAATGAGAGGAAGGGGCTGGTGTGCCAATATCCCCTTCAAGGTCACACCCTCCCCCAGTGATGGGAAAATCTGAAATTCTCCAAAATCTGAAATTTCCTGAGTGCCAACATAACACTCAAAAAGTTTTCAGAGCATTTTGGATAAGTGATGTTCAACAGGTAAAGTCTGTGCAAAAATTCTCAAATTTAAAAGAACTACTAAACCTGAAACCAGTACTAAAGAGCTAAAATATAAAATAATTTTAGTTACAAATGCCTTTATAATAATTCTTAAAAGTAACCACTAGAATTTTTAGATGTCTTTGTTACCCCCAAATTGTGAAAACCACTAGTGGGAGCTGAGACTGTGGTTCAGTGGTAGAGCGCTTGCCTAGCATATGTGAGGCACTGGGTTCAATTCTCAGCACCATGCATAAGTTGATGAATAAAATAAATGTCTACACATCTAAAAAAATATTAAAAAAAAAAAACCCACTAGTGGACCAGGAGCAGAACTTGGGGAAATCCCAGAACAAAGTAGAGCCATGCTCTTCGCCATGGAGGCAGGAGTGTGTTCCATTGGGGTTGGTGAAAAGAAGAAATAGTTGGACTTCCTCTTCCCCCCAACTAAACCTTTTCTTCAGTTGAAACTTGATATTGAACTCAAGAGTATTAAATGCATAGAGGCCAAAGTGCCCTGGGGGCCGGGGATGGAGCCACGTTCCCACCCTAACCATTCAGGCCCCAGATTCTCCTCCAACAAACCCAGTGGTTACAACCCGTGGTCTGGCTGGGGATGTGGCTTGGTGGCAGGGTGTTTGCCTAACAGGCACAGGACCCTGGGGGGCATCCCCAACACCAAAAACAGTAATGGGAAAAAAAAAACAACAGTGGTTCTGAGTGTGGCCCTGAGGCAGCAGCTGGTGCCTGGGAGGTAGTAGAAATGCAGAATCTGCCCCAGCACTTCTGAATCCAACACCTGGGCCCATGTGAGGATGAGGCTTGTCCCCAATAGATCTGTGTTTTAAGGACCCTTCCAAGTGATTCCRATGCGTAGGTCTGAGGACCACCAGTTCACACATGGGAACTCACCGGAGAAGCAGCCAGTTGAGTTGCATCTTTTTTTTTTTTTTTTTTGGTATGGGGAAGGAACTCAGGAGCCCTCAACCACTGAGCCACATCCCCAGCCCTATTTTGTGTTTTATTTAGAGACAGGGTCTCACTGAGTTGCTTAGTGCCTCACTTTTTACTGAGGCTGGCTTTGAAATGGCAATCCTCCTGCCTCAGCCTCCTGAGCCGCTGGGATGACAGGCGTGTGCCATGGTGCCCGGCTTGAGCTGCATCTTGACGAAGGCGAGGAACTAGTATGAGCAGAGAAGAGGTGGCATGCCAGGCTGGGACAGCAGCAAAAACAAGAGGGCATCAGCCAGACAGGAAGATTAGCCTGGAGGGCGGGAAGCATCAGAAGCATCCCGGGTGGGGAGGACTGGGTCAGTGGACATGGAGAAGCAACTCGCCCGGTGGCCTCAGTGCTCCCTGGAGACGGGGCCTCCTGACATCTCTTCCTGGAACAAATGGCCCTGCTCCAAGCAGGAGGACAGAAAGCCGGGGGGGGGGGGGGGCGGGGGGCAGGGCCACCAGCAACCCAACAACCTCTTGCCTGGCAAAAAGCTTCTGGTGCTACACAGACCTGGGTGTGGGCAAGTGACCTGCCTCCTGCCCCAGCTCCCCCTCTGTGTGCCATGGACACCACAGGAGGCCCTCCTAGGCACTGCTGAGGGTTGGGACGGTGCTTGGCCTGCTGAGCTGGACACAGACCTGTTGAGGAGGCGGGGCCAGCTTCCAGTGCAGCCAGGCCCCTGCAGAGCCTGGGCCTCCTGAGTGGAGCCCCCTCCCCAGCTGACCTTGGCCGTGGTGCTGTGGCTTAGTCAGGGGTAGGCTCACAGGAGGTGCTGGCAGCGTGCTGAGAGCGCTCCTGTCTGAGACGTGGCACAGGGGCATGCCAGGCTTCTCCATGGGAAGATCCCAGTGATGCGCATCCAGGAAACCCCGGCCTGGAGCCCCACGCCAGCTGGGGGACAATCTTCACTGCCCTTCAGCTCTCGGTTGTAAGGAGCCCCAGGCTCCAGAAATCCCACATTGAAGTAGTTTTGCTTCCAAATCCTTTTCTCTGAGGCAGCCCTGTTTTTGTCCCAGGCCAGATTAAGTATCCCTTCTCCAAAATGGTTGGAGCCAGAAATGTGTTAGATTTCAGACAGTTTTCAGATTGTGAAATATTGGCTTATACATAAGGAGCTATCTCGGGCATGGGTCTCAAGTCTAAATCCAAAATGCATTTCTATTTCATATACACCTTACTCAGCCCAAAGGTAATTCGTTGTTGTTGTTTGTTTGTTTGTTTTGTTTTGTTTGGTACTGGGAGTTGAACCCTGGGATACTTAACCACTGAGCCCCACCCCAACCCTTTTTATTTTTTATTTTGAGACAGGGTCTTACTAAGTGACTTAGGGCCTCACTAACCAAAGGTAATTTTTATTGCTCCTGTATTTTGACTGTGATGCATCACATGAGATCAGGTTTAGAAATTGCTGTTTTTGACATCAGTGAGTGCTCACAAATTTTCAGGTTTTGAAGTATTTTTGAGTTCTGTATTTTTTGATTAGGGAAGTTCAACCTATAGTATTCTCTTCCACTCTTCCATTGACTCAGAAAACACAACTAAGCACCTCATTTGGGMCAGACGCAGGCCCAGAGTAGGAGACATGGAATCAGGCACACACAGGCCCAAGAGGAAGACACAACTCAGCACATTACACCCCCATGTTTCCAATCTGTGAATATTTCAATGAAATCAACAAAGGTGCATTAAAATATGTTGGAAATAATAATAATCTAGAGCTTATTGGTATAATAGCATTAATAATATTAGTGATAGCAATAATTTTAATGAATATTATCACAAATCATTTACCTATTACTTTTCTTAAAATATTAGAATTCTACAAATACAAATATGTGTTTCAAAGTTACCCTAAGGTGTTTGTTGCTCAGTGTAAATTGTCCAGGTGTTCCAGAAATGGGACTTTATGGGTTAAAGAAGCAGTAGTTACCTGGGGAGAAGCAAACAGGTGTCCCTGGAGACACCGCAGCATGCGGTGGGGACACTTCTGAAGAAGGAGCAGATACTTTTCTGGGACGGGGAAGGGTCCCTGGAGAGGAGGCAGTGTTCCAGAGGCTTCTCCACACTGAGGAGCATCTCCACAGACCAGGAGAAGCCCTGGGAGGGGGACGCCATCAGAGGATGAAGGGCACAGGATGAGGTGACAGCTGCAGAGGAGCTCACAAGGCCATTCCAGCCAATAGAATTGGATCTCCTCAGGGTGACTACAGTGACCTCTTGGCACCAGCCTGCCACCTCAGCCTTGGGGCGTGAGCCAGGGAGCCATGCCAGGGCTCACCCATGGAGTTGGCAGCTGCAGACTCCTACGGCCAGAGACGCCCATGAGCCAGGCCAGGGCAAGGGTGAGCAGCCAGCGGATTTACAGAGCTGGAGCAGCTGGCTTCCAGGGGCTCCCTCCTGCCGGTGCCTGCTTTGTTCGCCTGCCCAACTGTGGATTTAAGTCCTGCCTCTTCAGGTGGTGAAGGCACAAGACCGCAAAGACACAGGAAAGCCCACTTGAGCCCCTCCCTGCCCCAGAAGGGGACAGACTTCTCTGATGCTCAGAGCCAGACTTGTCAGAGGCAAGCTCACCCGTCTGCGAGGCCAGGGGCCCAGCAAGGAGCAGACGTGGGACTGTAGATGGGAGTGCACTAAGGAGCAGTGGAGACTGCGGCAGCCTGGAGGGGGCAGCCTCATGCGAGGGCAGATGACCTCAGCTTCAGCAGATGCGACCACTAAGGATTCTGAGCACCAGGAGGGGCTGGAAATTTGAGGTTTGTGTAAATATCCCAGTTTTTAAATGTTCGACTCTTTAAAAAACCAGTATATGCAAGCAAGCTCTGCCTGGTGTGGCACATGCTCCTAGAGCCGTAATTACCACCATTCCGTTTACTCTCAAGGCCTTCGTGGTCCTCAGCACAGGCCCCGGGCAAACCATCACTCCTCTTCAGGGGGATGAGAAGCCTACTGCTCAGAGGAGGCCAGTAAGTGGCAGAGTTGGGGTCAAACCCTGGATAGGTGTCCACCCAAGCCTGCTCTCCCTCCGTGCTGGGCCCAGAGCCAGAAGAAAGCATGACCTGTCCCTAGGGTACAGCAGTGGGGCTGGCTGCAGTGGGGCCGAAGTCTCAGGCTGCTGCCTAACTAAAGCCCAGGGACTCTGTTCCTGCGGGGCTCTGTCGCCACCTACTGGTCACACTCAGCATACAGGTAAGGGCCTCCAGCACCTGGAGGATTGACCACCCTCATAATCCCCTTCCTGGCACAGTGGCCTCAGGTCCCTTGGCTGGGAACATGGATTTAAGTCCTGCCTCTGCTGTTTCCACTGTAATATGGAGTATCTTAGTCTCTGGGCCTGGCGTCTCCCTTTTCCAAATGGAGGAAAAAGTGCGGCCCCACCTTGGGGTTGAGAGTGCTCAGGGAGAGAAGGCTAGTCCTGTGCTTTGCATAACAGCCGAGCTCCTGGCTCTACCACCCCGGCCCCACCACCTCTGGCCCCACCACCCCGACCCCACCAAGCCCTCAACACGTGCCCACCCACCATAGTTTTTAAGGCAGGAGAGGACCCACCGGCCACTCTGGCCTGTGGGCGTGCTCACCCCAGCCCCTGCAGGAGCCTTCCAGCCAGCTCTGCCACCTGCAGTCCTCTCCGTCCTGCACTTGATGCCAGTTCTGTCTGACTCAGTGGATGATGAGGAAGACTCTCAGGGCCCTGTCTTCTCCTGACATCCCTACATATGTCTCTAGGGGACCGATGACCAGGGCTTGGAACACAGTGTGGCCATTTCTTTTAAACCAAACACTAGGTTTTTGTTGTGTCTTTTCAATTTTTTTCTCTTCTTTGAAAGCAGCAAAGCCTTCTTCCCATTTATATTTTATCTTTAAGGCCAAGAATTCTGTATTTTTTTTTAAAGACAGAAATGAAACCAACCTGATTTGGAAGAGATGGTAAAGAATCAGAACTTCCAGCACAGTGCATCCCAGACCTCTGGAACCCACAGCTTGAAAAGCACTGGCTTTGGGCATGATAGGCGCCCCTGGTTCAGATGTGCCTGGAAGAAGGTGACCTGTCAACCCATGAGCATTTGTTGTTGTGGATGTGGCCATGAGAGCTTTGGGTTGCAATCAGTCCTCAGTTCCACCACTTTCAAGCATTGTGGTCTTGGTCAAGGTCTTTAGGTTCCATCTCTATATAATAGGGGGCCCACAAGAGTACCCCCCTCAGAGGTGGCGATAAACCAGTGAAATGATAGACTCTCAAATCCCCCATGGCCGTGGAGTTGAGAACCCAGCAGACAGGCTCTGTTAGGGTCCACCAAGCTGCGCTCCCAGTCTCTGCCACACCCAGACTTGGCTCCTCCACGCCCACATCATGGAGGGGGAAGTCACCATTTCCACGGTTCCTGAGAGCTTCTAAGGATCTTGCACTGCCCACTAAGGCCCAGTGAAAAACGAGTTCGAAACTCATTGTGTTCAAACAGAAACTGGGCTCACAGAAGTGGGAGGAGCCAGGGTGATAGATCCTCACCCCTGAGCATGAACTGGCAGGAGAAGGGGCCTGTCTGCAACTCCTCTGGAGAGCCAGGCTCTTGGGCCCTCGAGAGCCCAGCTCTTTGTCTGGGACAGGAGCTGGCAGCCATAGCTCCCTACTGCCGCAGCAACTGCCAAACCACTGTCTCCAGGAAGGTTGCCTTCGAGGCCACGCACAGGCCCTGGGCTGAGACCTCAGAAAGCAGAGAAGAGAGAAGGCTTGGAGCCAGCAGCCAGGAAGGAGCCAGTGGTGTGTGCTCAGCGCGGCTGTGTGTGTCCAGAATAGGAAAGAGCTGCCCTGCGCCCTAGACCTCGGCACCCAGGAAACACCAAGACTGCCTGCCTGCCCAGAGCCCCCAGGACAGGCGGCTGCCGGCGTCCATTCAGACATCTCTAGGGTAGGAGCCGCCATAGCTTCAGTCTTGAATGTCCTTCAAAGGTCCATGTGTTAATGACTTGGTCCCCGTCTGTGGCACTAATGGGAGGGTGTGGAACCTTTGGGGGGGGCCTAGAGGGAGGAAGTTAGGTCACGGGGGCGTGCCCCTTCCTCTTCTCTGCTTCCTGACCACAGTGAGGTGAGCAGGCCCCCTCTGCCACACTCTCCCGCCATGATGTCCTGTGCACCAGAGGCCTAAAGCAGCAGGGCCACTGGCCRGGGACAGAAACCTCTGAAAATAAGAGCCAAAGTCCATCTCTCCTTCCCTTAATGGATTGTCTCAGGTGTTTGTCACGGTGACTGAAGGCTCACACAAGAGCCAGCGTGCATTCAGGACGTCACTGAGAGATGGTCCAGGGTGTGTCTGCTTGCACATGTGGTTGCAGAGTGTGAGGGTCTGTGGTCCCTGCACACCTGCCGCCCCCTGTACACACTCACCAACTCTCTGAAGGATCCCGGGCTCGGCCTTGTCCTGGGCTCACAGCTTAGAGCAACTGGAGAAGCTTCTGGAATCAGGCAACTTCACCTCCAGGCAGCTGCCCAGCTTTCTATCAGAACCAGATTCCTGCTGGTCTCTCTCAGTCCCACTMTTCCCACCACTCCCCTGTGTCATGGATGTGTATAGATAAGCTGGCTATCTGATTTAGAGGAAAGACTGAGGCAGGAGGAATGTGAGCTCTGTGAGGGCAGGTGCCCTGTCCATCCTGCGCCTAGGACAGTGTGGCCTGCATGCACCCTCAAGTGGATGGACAGATGGATCATGGATGCATGATCAAGCAGAAGGGGGAGAGATGGGAGGGAGGGGAGGCGGTGGATGGGTGGAGAGGAGGGAGCATAGGCAGATAAATGGTGGGAAGATGAACAGATGCGAGAAGAGATCGCCCACTGCGTGGGTGGGTCCTGGGGTCCTGCATGTCTCCTCSGCCACCTCTTTCTTCCAAGAATCAGCACTAAGTAGGACCTCTATGTTTGCAGGCAATGATAGATTCTTGGTATAAATATTCTAAATAACACTGATAACCGCTCACATGGTCCCAGTAATTTACAGTCTGCAGAGCACGACCACGTCCTCCTCAGATTTGATCATCACAATAATTTTGAGAGGTTTTCCCCCCCACCTGCGTCTGAGGGAATCAGGGTGGTCTGTCTCCATGACTGCTTGACTAACCGTGTTGCCACCCGGCAGCAGGGATGAAATGGGCTCTGCTTTCCCCACTCCAGCCCAGCCTTGCCTGTCTTCCCTGGGTACATCCCACACACTCTCTCTCCAGCTGAAATTGCTAAATCTGGGTCACTCACTGAAACTGCCCACCTGAGAAATCAGTGCCACCCCTCCCTCGAACCCTCTTGTTGAAGGCTACAGGATTCCCCTGGGAGATTGCAAGGARAGAGGGAGTGTGCACAGACCACCACACCTGGATGAGCAAGATTGGTCCACCCAGTGAGCCCTTGTGTTCAGGGAAGAAGGAGGTGGCACATCTCCAGAGTCTTGCCATCTACCATCGCTACTCCTTCCCAGCCCCGGGAACTCCCAGCAGAACCCTCAGCAGAACTCTGGAGTTAAAAGTTCTCCCTATGAATACTGTTCCTGGCATGTATTAGCTGGGTGACCTCTGACAGATCACCTAGCCCCTCTGGGCCTCAGTGTCTTTTCTGTGAAATAGGATATCTCGTATCCACTTCATAGAATTATCTCAACAGTCACATAATGGGAGTGAGCCACTTAGCACCATGCCTCACCATGCCCATAAGCCCTCCGTGAGTGCTTGTTGGCACCAGCAGAGGCTGGAAAAGGGGCGGAGGGTACCTTCATTCAAGTCCCTGCTGAACCACTTAGTAAGACCTTCAGGAAATTTCCATGAGCTTCCACCTTCTCATCTCTGTACTTGGGACAAAAATCTTAGCTGGCAGGGGTGTTGAGACACTTAACTTCCAAATGTGTGATGCATATCCCTGGAAGCCCATGAGATGAATTTAGGTGAAATGAAGACACACTACTGAAACATTGACTGTAAGAGAATGTATTTTGGATACTGGGAAAAAAAAAATTTAAATCACAGCCAAACTTTTTTCTTGAAAAATATTTCTTAGAACAGGGCTAACCTTACAGGCTTACTGGTATTTGAGGGGGAAATGGGGCCATCAAAGGCAAAATTTTGTCAAGTAAATAATGCCCGGGTGGTATGCAGGTGGCCTGAGGAAGGAGGTGCCGAGCTCTGTGAATGACAGAAAAAACACAAAGATTGCCAGGTGGAATAACTGCCCCTGGACAGGATCTCGTACTAGAAGGGAAATGCCACAAGGGCCCTGTTGGATCCTTTGGAAAATTAGATGCTCTGAGGTACAGTATGAATGTTAAGTGGTTCCCACGTTGATGACTATGCCATGCTTACATAAGAAAACATTCCTGTCCTTAGGGAGCACAGACTGAGCTATCTGGGGGTAAAGGCCTGTGGTGTGTGTATCTTCCCTTTAAATGATTCAGAAAAACTGTGTGTATGTGTGTAAAGAGAGATAAATAGGGATAATAGGAGAACCTGGGTAGTAAGTATTTTCTGTAATATATTTAAGTATTTAAGTATTTGGGGCGTATGTAATCTTGAAGCTATTTCCAAATAAAAAGTAAAACAAGATGCAAGTCATGCAGGCCAAGTTTGCAGCCCAATATTGGCTGTGGAAGGCCCTCACTGAACCTGTCTCTTTCCCTCTCTCCCYGCCCAGTGTGGAGACAGTGAATGATGGGCAGTTTCACAGTGTGGAGCTGGTGATGCTGAACCAGACCTTGAACCTGGTGGTGGACAAAGGAGCCCCCAAGAGCCTGGGCAAGCTCCAGAAGCAGCCTGCCGTGGGCATCAACAGCCCCCTCTACCTTGGAGGTAATGCCCCCTCCCCACCGTCTCCGGCACTCTGCTCCAGCGCTAGACCCAGACCTACCGCAGGGCTCCCCTGCTCCCCTCTCAGCACCCATACAAAGCCAGTCAGGGAGGACTTCCTGAAGGAGGCGACGACCTGGGCATTATAAAAAGCCACTAGAGCAGCTTGGTCAACACAGGGATCCCTGAGACTCCACCCAAGTCACCTCAGGGTGCTGGCCCAGGCCCACAGTATGCCCTGGGAACAGGCCATTCAGGTGCAGGGGACCAGGGAGTAAGCCTGACCCAGAGCCTCCCAGAAGGGACACCGGGCACAGCTTCCCCCCAGAGGAAGACAGCTGCTCCTCCCCCTCACCTGCTCCCCACCATCTCCTGCTCCCCCCTCACCTGCTCCCCCCACCTGCTCCCCCCTCACCTGCCCCCCCCACACCTGCTCCCCCCACCTGCCCCCCCCACCTGCTCCACTCATGGCCAAAACAACACTTCCAGCCTCAGGCCCAGCCACAGGCCCCCAGCAGGGGGTGGCGGGAAGTGGCGTGGAGCAGGAAAGAAGACCAAAGCAGACCTGGTGGGAAGCAAACCCGGCCTTTTCCCACTGTGCCTTTCAGACCCGGACAAGGGGGACAAAGCACAGAGGGTAGTAAAGGCCAGAGGACCTTGAACCCAGAGTTCCACTGGGCAGGTTGCTCCTCCGCATCTTCCTTCCTGCACTCTGGCTGGGCTGCCCTGGGTTCTCCCGCAGGGTCTGGARGCCCTCAGGGTGACCTGGTACCACCCATCCCTTGCCTAAGCTGATGGTCCCTTTGATTGAGCCAGTGGTCCACATGGCAGTGCTGATCTCTGCCCCTTCATTTTTTCTAAGGAAGATCAAAATACAGGATTTTTGTGGGGTAGTTTCTATATTTAAGCATTGACAATAAATTCAAGTGCTGTTTTGTTTTTCTGGGAGGGGGGTTGGGGGGGTATTGGGGAACGAACACAGGGGCACTTAGCCACTGGGCCACATCTCCAGTCCTTTTTGGTTTTTATTTTGAGACAGGTCCTCCCTAAGTTGCTTAGGGCCTCACTGAGTTACTGAGGCTGGCTTTGAACTTGTGATCCTCCTGCCTCAGCCCCCCAAACCATTGGGATTTACAGGCACGCACCACTGTGCCTAGCTGAATTCAAGTTTCGCCCCCAGTGCAGGATCAAGAATGCAGGTCTTTCCCAGGATATGGCCCAGGTGTAGGCTATCATCTCAATCGGAATAGCAGAGGCCCTTAACTAAGAACGTGTGAAGGACATCTTCTCATTCAGTACTGGGYTGGGGCCTGGAAGTCCGGTGGGAGGAGGGGCTCAGGCTGTCCCTCTCCCCTCCCACAGGCATCCCCACCTCCACCGGCCTCTCGGCCTTGCGCCAGGGCGCGGACCGACCCCTGGGTGGCTTCCACGGCTGCATCCACGAGGTGCGTATCAACAACGAGCTGCAGGACTTCAAGGCCCTCCCGCCACAGTCCCCAGGGGTCTCACCGGGCTGCAAGTCCTGCACCGTGTGCCGGCATGGCCTGTGCCGCTCCGTGGAGAAGGACAGTGTGGTGTGTGAGTGCCACCCAGGCTGGACTGGCCCGCTGTGCGACCAAGAAGCCCGGGACCCCTGCCTTGGTCACAGGTCAGTGTCCTGACAGTCCCAGGCTCCCAGCATACATGCTGGCCCTGTCCCCACCTGAGGAGGGGGTACTGATGGAGGAATGTGGTCACGTGGTGGATAGTGCCATGACTGCTCATCAAGAGGCTGAGCTTGCGCATCCAGGCTGCAGGCCTCACTCAGAGACGTCAGCACAGAGCCTCACTCAAAACACAGGGCGCCAAGCCGCCTGTGACTCTGTCTGGAGATACCACCAGCTCCCGAGATGCCTCTTGTGATTAGAAAAAGGCACCCCTTTGGGTACATACAGCCCTTGAGCCATTGAAGGGCGAGTAGAACAAGGGTGAATTCAGCCCCAGGTGGCTGCCCCTCAGCCAGTGCCCTGGGTAAGGCCCCAGGTCTGCATGACCACACACAGCGCACGCCTGATGGGTTCTCATTATTACTCATTCAACAAACATTTATGGAAGGCCTACTATGTGCCAGGCCWATGCTTAATATAAGAGACCTGGTTTCCCAGTGTTATGAAATCTGATTCAACCAAAAATGCCTCCAGAGCCAAGACTGGTCATTTGTTGCCTAAACAAACTGGAAACAACATTTTGGATTAGAAAGAGGGATGGCTGTAAAGGGTTTGAACTTCCTGTGTTACTCTTGAGTGTGTACATTTGAATCTGAAATAGCATGAATCCTGGCTCTGAATGTCATCCCATTAGGGAAAATGATGCATTGTGGTTAAAAATGGAGTCCTCACCACCAGTCTTCCCACCTAGGAGACGTGGATGAGGCTCTCCTGGGAGCTGCAGAGGTGTGGTGGTTGTGGCAAAAGAGCTTACCTCCAAGCCTGCCACACAGCAAGGGGCCCTGCCCAGGGTACAGGTTAATATAGCTCTTGGTTGAAAAGCCTGGGCCCAGAGGTGTTTTGGATTTGGGGTATTCTCAGACTTTGGAATATTTACGCACGTATACAAGGACTGGCAGACATGTTGGGGGTGGGACCTGAGTCTAAATAAGAAATTCATTTGCTTCCTATATAGTGTGTACACATAGCCCTAAGGTAGTTTCAGTCAATATTTTTAGAGCACCTGCATTTTAACTGTGACCCATCCCACGGAGTCAGGGGTGCAGTTTTCCACTTGTGCTATCATGTTGGTGCTCAAAAGTTGTAGGCTTTCAAAGCCTACATGTGGGATTTCAGATTTTTGGATTAAGTATGCTCAACCTGTAGTGGCAGTAGTAATAGTGTTATCCTTTAAGGTGATAGAGCCATGGAAATGTTTACAAAAAGCTTACTTTCCTCCAAGCACTGTGTGTGTGTGTGTATGTGTGTGTGTGTGTGTGTGTGTGAGAGAGAGAGAGAGAGAGAGAGAGAGAGAAAGAGAGACTATTGGCAACTGAGCCTGTTGTCACAGCTGGTAAAGGACATTGGGGGAGGTTGCAGCTAGCCACTGGGACAGGGAGTTTGCAAAAAGACAGATGCTCGGCCACTGGGCTGGCAGAGGCAGACCATAGGGCCATGCCTCCCAGGCTGCACTCAGCTCGAGATCCCACAGTGCCGGATCCCTGGTCCCTGGCTGGGTTGGACAGGGAAGCTTCTGGCAGTTACCTGCTCTAGTTCCTACCTCCTCCTCCTCTCTGCCCCCAGCTGCAACCATGGAAAATGTGTGGCCACCGGAAGCTCATATGTGTGCAAGTGTGTCGAGGGCTATGGAGGGGCTTTGTGTGACCACAAGAACGACTCTGCCAATGCCTGCTCAGCCTTCAAGTGCCACCACGGGCAATGCCACATCTCAGACCAAGGGGAGCCCCACTGCCTGTGCCAGCCAGGCTTTAGTGGGGAGCACTGTGAGCGAGGTGAGTCTACTGTGCTCATGGGAAGAGCCCCGGGAGGGATGCAGGAGTCTGAGCTCGACTCCATGCCCAGAACATCTCAGTCTGGCTGTGCCATTCAGGTGACATGTGCCCTTGGTTCAGTCACACTCGAAGCCTCAAGACCCTCAACTTGAAAATTAGGGCAATTCTATAGCTTTCTGTATCAGATTCCTACTGCTATATAACAGATTGACTCCAAAACATAGCAGCTCCAACCATAGTATTTGTTTCTATCTCATATGGTTTGCGTGGGTCAGAAACTCAAAAAACGGTTTAGCTGGAATCGGCCAAGGTTGGATTTAGCACAGCAAGGGCTGTGGGTTTCCAGAAGCTGATCCAAGAAGCAAGACCTGCCTCCACTTTGGTGCATTTCCATTGTGCTGGTTGTTGGCAGGGGCCCTCAGTTTCTCCCTATGTGACATCTCTACCTGGGATACTTGAGGGCTCTCACAACAGGGAGGCTGGCTTCCTGCACAGGGGGAAAAAATCAAGAGAGCAAAGAGGAAGCCACAAAGCCTCAGTGTCCCCAACTCACCTTGAAAAGAACTTGCATCACCATTTCTGTATCATTTTGGTTCATGGGTCAAGGGCATCCACTAAGGAAGGGAAGTATATAGAGAATGTGGATACCAGGACGTGGTGGTCAGTGGGAGCTATTTTAGGTGTTGGTCACCATACTGCCTTGTCCAGTTGTTGGACTACATGAGCTGTAAAGTATGTGGTGCCTGTTACACTGCTAAGAATTCAGAAGCTGAACTACATAAACTAGTCTCATGAAAGTCTAGGCTAAGAGTCTGAACAGTTGGAGGCACCATAGTGGCCATGAGGAGGAAGGCCAAGCTCTGCCACTTGGAACTTTTGTGCTTTGAGCCGTACACATTACCTCTCTGGGTCACAATTCCTCATTTAGAAGTACAGATGACTCAGTGCCCCTGCATAGGTTTATTAGGAGGATGAAGTGAGAACATAGTGAAGACAGGATTAAAAGTTCAGACATTTGGGTGACATCAGCAAGTTGACTGCTTAGAGCTACCTAACAGATGCCTCCTCCAACACATAAAAGGACTCAAATAATGAATGAATAAAGAGCTACATTTTGACTAGAATGTCTAAGGGAGCGTTGTGGAGCATGGTGAGGGAGCTGGGGAGGAGCTGGTGACCAGAGAAACGCCAGCAGCATACAGAGTGGAGTGGAGCACCTTGCTCAGCCACCCCACTTCCCAGGTGGGCTCAGAACCAAGACTCCTACCAGCTGAGAACCAAGGGGCCCCCATTGACACCTAYGGCCTGAGCTCCTACCACAGTGTGCCCTGGCCCAGGAGCCAGGAGGCACCACATCCCTCCATCCCTCATCATTTCTCACACTCACATAAATGATGGCAGCACTAGGACAGCAGCTGCTCAAGTCCAGGGGCAGTGTGGCAGCTGTGACCTTGGCACTTGGGCCCACAATGCATTCCTCATGACAGGGAGGCTAAGCCTGGTCTGGACGAGTTGCCACACTTGGCTCCTCAGCCAGAGAGCCAGCATTGTTCACTCAGTGACACCACACTTGTGCCATCACAACTCCTGCACTGAGACCAGAAGCACTCAGGCATCACAACACTGGTTATAGAAGAAAAAACTGCAGGGAGACCACACTGTGGCACCAGTCTAGGACCAAACCAAGACACCTGCCTAATTGACACCYAAGGGCTCATCTATGGAAGAAAGTCTTCCTCTACTTGAAAGAGTAGAGGAAGAGGTGACTGTTGAAAATTGAAAGAGGTGACTGTTCTACCTGATCACAGAAATCAATATAGGGACAAAAGAAATATGAAAAAGCAAGGAAACAYGACACCTCAAAAGAAGCAGAATAATTCTTCCATAACTGACCACAAAGAAAAGATGGATGTATGAAAAAGAATAGGAAATAATGAGCCTAAGGAAGCTCAGTGAGCTATAAGGTAATACAGGAAGATAACTCAATGTAGTCAGAAAAACAGTTCATGATCTGATATAAAAATAGATATTAAAAGATTTGGAAATAAAAAATAAAACAGAAATCTTGAAACTGAACAATTAAGTGAATGAGATTAAAAATACATTGTAGAGTTTCAACAATAGACTATCTCAAGTGGAAGAAAAATCCTAAATTTAAAGATGGGTACTTTGAAACGAAGAAGAAGGAGGAGGAAGAGGAGGAGGAGGAGGAGGAGGAGGAGGAGGAGGAGGAGGAGGAGGAGGAGAAGAAGAAGAAGAAGAAGAAGAAGAAGAAGAAGAAGAAGAAGAAGAAGAAGAAGAAGACAGCATACTCAACTTATGGGACACCATTAAGTAACAAATTACCACATTAGGGTAGTAAAAGAGGGAGGAAAGAGAAAGGCACAAAACACTTATTTGATGAAATAATAGCTGAAAATTTCCCAAGTCTTAGAAGAGATATGGACGTCCTGATTCAGGAAGCTCAAAGATCCACAAACAGATTCAACCCCAAAAYTTCCTCTCCAGGCACATTGTGACCATGTGGTTACAGGTCAAAGAGTGAATTCTAGAAGCAGCAAGAGAAATGTGTCCAGTCACATGAGAGATTCCCCTGAGACTATCAGMAGATTTCTCAGCAGAAACTTTGGAATCTAGAGAAAAAAAAAATGGATGACCTGTTCAAGTGCTGAAAGAAAAAACACTGCCAGCCAAGAATACCATACCCAGCAACGCTATCCTTCTAAAATGGTGAAGAAATAAGGTCATTCCTAGACAAGGAAAAACTGAGGTCATTCCTTACCCCATCACATAATAAATGCTTTAAGGGAGGGCTTATGCTGGAAGTGGAAGGGCAGTAAGTACTATAATGAAAACATGAAAGTATAAAACTTAGTGATAGAGATAAACTTATAATCAAATTCAAAATATAGTGGTATACAAATCTTTCAAATTTCTATTATAAAGGTTTAAAGTCAAAATAGTCAAGGATAATGTGCCTAAAATGAGTTGTTATGGAATGCAAAATATAAAAATGTAGATTAAAGTAACAGCGATGTAAATTTTGAGGGATCAAGGAGAAAGAAGAGTATTTATATGTGACCAGAGTTGGGTTCAATGTAGTCTACTCTTACTGTGAAAGTCTTTGTGTTTACCTCTTGGTAACCACACACACACACACACACACACACACACAATTATAATTGATACACAAATAAGAAAAAGGATCAAATTATAGAAATACAGAAAACCACAAAGGTGAACTAAAAAGAAAAGACAAAATAAGAAAAGATCTACAAACGACCAAGAGGTAAGAGTAAGCCCTTACCTAACAATAATAATCTTGAATATAAATGGATTAAATTTCCCAGTTAGAGTATACAGATGGKTTGGGGGTGTAACTCAGTGGAAAAGCACTTGCCTAGCATGCATGAGGTTGTGGGTTTGATCCCAAGCATTGCAAAAATAAAAGCAAAAGATTCAGAGTGACTGAAGGGATTTAAAACATAAGACCCCACTATATGCTACCTACTAGATGCTCACTTCCCTGTAAAGACAGAGAGTGAAGGGATGGGAAAGACATACCATGCAAAGGAAGCCAGAAGCAAGCAGGAGTAGCTATATTTCTATCAGATGAAACAGACTTTAATCAAGAGTTATTAAATGAGACAATGCCATTACATAATGATGAAGGGTCAATTAAGCAAGAGACTGTAACAACTGTAAATATACATGCACTCAGCACCAGAGCATATATAAAGCAAATATTAATAGATAGAAACAGAGCAATAAACTGCAATACAGGGTAGTAGGAGACCTCACTCTCATTAGCAGACAGATCATCCAGACAGAAAATCAACACAGGCAGACTAGAATTAAATTATACTACAGACCAAGTGAAACCAACAGATATTCACAAGTCATTTCATCCAACAGTAGAACACACAGTCTTCTCATCCGTGCATGGACATTATCCATAGCAGAGCGTGTGAGGTCACAAAACAAGTCTTAACAAGTTCAAGAAGACAGGTATGATATCAAGTGTCTTTCTACACCATAATAATACAAAACTAAAATAACCAGATCAACTTTGGAAATTTTATAAATACATGGAAATTAAACAACATGGTCCTGAGCAACCAATGGGTCAATGAAGAAATTAAAAGGGAAACTTTTAAACTTCTTTGGGACAAATGAAAATGGAAACATGTTATACCCAAGCCTATGGGACATAGGAAAATGGAAGTGTATAGCAATAAGTGCTTACATCCCAAAATAAGACCTCAAATAAATGAAAATCATGCCTCAAGCAATTCGAAAAACAAGAACAAACTAAACTTGAAGCTGGTCGGATAAAAATTAGAGACTACACAAGCAATGTAGAGACCAACAAAATGAAGAGCTAGTTCTTTGAAAACACTACAAAAACTGACAAGCCTTCAGCTAGACAAAGAAGAAAAGAAAACTCAAGAATCAGAGAAGAAAAAGGAGACATTACAACTGATACTACAGAACCACTAAGGGTCATCAGAGACTATCATGACTACACATAGACCACCTAGAAGACATGGATGAATTTCTGGACACAAGCTGCCAAGATTGAATCATGAAAAACCAGATCATCCAAACAGACCAAAAACAGTAAGGAAATTGAGCCAGTAATGAAAAGCTATCCCATCAAAATAAGGCTTCATGACTTCACTGCTAGGTTTGATCAAACACTAAAGAAGAACTAATGACACTTCTTCTCAAACTATTCTAGGAAATTGAAGAGGTCAGAATACTTCCAACTCGTTCACCAGGCCAGCACTTCCTTGAGATACAGACAAGGGACAAAAACCACAACGACAACAACCTCCCTCCCAGGGGAGGGAGCTCTTTCCCTTGTCCTCCATCTCTCTCCTCTCTCTCTTCCACCTGTTGGTCCTTGAGATGCCTGGCCACTGCCAAGTTCCTCTGCAGTCTCCGTCCAGTCCCCCTGTTGCCGTGGGTGGTCTGACCCATTCTCTTGAACACCCACCTAGTGGCACGAGGGAGTGGCCCCCTGGCTGCGGTGATTGGAGGTTTTTCTCCCACAGGGACCCTGAGAAGTCCTCTTCCCTGCCACCAGCATGCTATGTGGCAGCCGGCCCCCGTCACTAGAGAACTCTCACATGTCAAATCCAGAGGAACTACTATTCTCCAGCAAAACTGCCCATTTCTTCAACTTTATTAACTATTTTTAAATAACCACAGGAAAGTCCTCAGGGTAGTATGAACAGCTCCCATAGTCCCTGGCCCCAGCTGTCACATGTTGACACACGGTACTCTCCCTCCCCATCCCAGGTTGCTCACACTTGCACACACATGCACACCCATTGTCACTAGACTCTTTCTGAATCTTTAAACCACCTCATGATTTTACAGAATTATATGTATCTTAACACAGATCCATTCACCACCTTCAAATACCTGAAGCCTTAAAATGCAGAGGGCCCTTTCTCCTTCAGTCTCCTCTGATGCTCACAAGAGCTGTGAACTAGTAGGAAGAACAGGCAAACATGTCACCATCTTCCAGGCCAGGAAACTGGCTCAGGATGACCAGTGACTTGCCCAGGCTGTAAGGGGGAGGGTCCTGGTTCTGAGTCATTACTGCCTTCCTCAGCACCTGCTCCAGACATAGCTCWGTGTCATGGGAACGGGACAGGGCTGAAGGAGAAGAGCCAGGTCAGGGTTGAAGATTCAAGCAGACTAGGGTCCCCTGCCCAGCCCTCCWGTTAGTTCTAGGCCTTTGGGGAAATCTCGCCCCAAAGGCCTAGAACTAGATGGCCCTTTGCCTCATCAACTGTTACTCCTGTTCAGATCTGAACTCCCTCGTCATTTCCCAGAGAAGCCTCCCTGGGCCAGGGCAGGTTCCTTTGCCATATGCTCTTATATCAACGTGTCCCACCTCAGTTTCCCCTTACAGCTATATCCACTTAAGTGATCCTGTAATTCGTCTCTGCACTCTGGACCAGGGAGACAGGCACTGAGGTCGAGGGACCCGGGGCAGCCTGGAGATCTCCTGGCCCACCAGAGACCTCAGCTCCCACCCATCACTACAGAGCAGGGAGGCCTGCCCAGCCTCACCAGACTTTCTGGTTTTCAAAGAAGCCAGAAAGTCAAAGTCTTAAGTGAAATCTGGCTTTTAAAAAAAAAAAAATATTTTTTAGTTGTAGTTGGACACAATACCTTTATTTTATTTATATATTTTTATGTGGTGCTGAGGATAGAGCCCAGGGCCTCACACGTGCTAGGTGAGCACTCTACCACTGAGCCACAACTCCAGCCCAGAAATCTGGCTTGTTGAATGTTGGTAATTGGTTTAGTTGTTAAGCATGTGTCTGGGGACAGGATTTAGGCCACAGTCCACCAGTTGGCCTTTATCTAGTTTGGACTTGAAGTTCCTTGAAGGAAGGAACCAAGCTGCTTCCTCGTGTGCTTGAGGCTTGGTTGTACTTCCTACAGAGCCTGGCACAGAAAAGGCATTTAATATGGAGGGCTGCTGGGTGGGTGGGTAGGTGGATGGATGGACAGATGGCCGCATCAGCAGGTGGCAAGTGAAAGAATAAGTACACGTGGTCTTCAGACCACCGTGTTCCAGAACCACCCAGCTGGGAACCGCTTCTGGTCCTGCCAAGGCCCCGCAGTGTCCTGAMCCACCTCTTCTGCCCTCTGCAGAGAACCCATGCCTGGGGGAGGTGGTCCGTGAGGCCATCCGCCGCCAGAAAGGCTACGCATCCTGTGCCACAGCCTCCAAGGTGCCCATCATGGAATGTCACGGGGGCTGCGGGTCCCAGTGCTGCCAGCCCATCCGCAGCAAGCGGCGGAAATACGTCTTCCAGTGCACAGACGGCTCCTCGTTCGTGGAGGAGGTGGAGAGACACTTGGAGTGTGGCTGCCACCCGTGTTCCTGAGCCCCGCCTGCTGCCTCTCAGACTCCAGCTCGTGGGGTCAGGGACAGCCACGGGCCCCTGTAGATTTTGGAATGAAGGAGAGGAAGCAAAAGAAGAAGAGAATATTAAGTATATTGTAAAATAAACAAAAAAATAGAACTTATTTTTATTATGGAAAGTGACTATTTTCATCTTTTATTATATAAATCTATCACGCCGTCTGAGTATATGTACTATATCGTGAGTTATTTTTACCGAGGTTTGTTTTGTGTTGTGTATTTGTTGTGTTTTTATAAACAGCTGTTTAAAATTTTAAGATTAAAAAAAGACTAATAAAAAYGTTTTAAACAAAAGGATAAGAATAATGAAACGAGAGCCGGCCTGAGGAAGAAAGAGGAGCCTTTGTTTGTTTCCCAAGCACTCTCTGCCCTGCCCGCAGGGACCAGGACCTGCTTACCTGCTCAGGAAGTGAGCAAGGGGAAGAGAGAGGAAGGACTGTTCTTTGTTTCTTGGTCTTAACTCTTTCTTTTCTCTTCCTAAACACGCTTGCAGCTTTTAACAGCCCAGGTTGTCTATGCCCAAGATGCCCATCTCTTCCCAGAAAAGCTTCGGGAGGTCTGGCTGACTGCCCATCTGCCCTGGGGGCTGCGGGGTCTGAGCCCACAGGAGACCCCTTTTCTCCTTCCTGGATGGCCCTGGTTTCTATTAGAGGACTGGCCATTTGAACTTTGCCCAGCACTTAATCTGGGCCTGTTTTGCTGAGTTTTGAAACAGCTGCTCTTACCCTGCCCCTTCTGGGTCCTCCTGGTGAGTGGAGGGAAGAGGGCATGGCAGTCCCCCAGGTCCCAGGCACTGGCTCTTCCCCAGAGGGTCCCAGCCCATCCTCCACCCCCAGCCAACTCCACACTGGAATGCAATAGCAAGAGAGGAAACAGTGAGGGCCTCCGCAAGAGGGAGGCCATAGCCAAGTCTGCCCTCAGCCCATAGATGTCCAGCCAACAGGCCTCTGCCACCTGTCCTTCTGGCCCTGTCATGGGGACAAAGACCCATTGTCTGCCTGCAGCATTTACTGGTGCCTATCTGGACAGCACCTCATCTGTCAACCCTGCTCTCCAGGGAGGGTAGAGCAGTGAGCCCATTTCAGACAAGGACACTGGGTCCTGCCCAGGCTCTGTAAGTTGCCATAAGTCAACCATCTGGCAAGTGGAGAGCCAGAGCCGTAGAGCAGCCCTGAAGCTCCATACTCTTCTCTGAGCAGGTAAATAGGARGTTCAGGCAGGCACCAGGAAAGGAAAGTGGATGCTTCCTTGCTCTTCCCTTCCAGCCCTATTCTGCCTTGTTCATCCCTGACTCTGTCTTCCTTTACACAGAAGAACTCTAGAGAACTGTGTATCTAGGAAACATGAGCAAAGGGAGCTTGTTTGGTCTCTGTTCCTAAAGGGCCTTCCCACTCCTTCTTCCACTTCTCCCCCCTGCCCACCCCTGCCCCCTCGCACCCCCAGTGCACGTCTCCAGGGTCCCCACTCTTTGCACCAACCTCTGGCTCCTGGCTCCACCCCTCCTGCCAGGAGCTTCCTCTGCTGGAGCTTCAGGAAGAGAACTTGGGACCTTCCAACTCAAGGGCCCCAGAGGAGCCCCGCTGCTCTGTGAGCATGAGTGGTCGGCCAGAGACTCAAGGAATAAAGAAGAGAGGGAGGAAAGGAAGATGGAGGGACACAAGGCAAGTGGGAGACAGGACGAGGTAGGGACAGATGGAGGCATTTACTCAAAATATGCATGTGTACTGTATCCAAGGTGCTGCACCTCATGATGGGCTTGCTTCCAGTGTTCACAGATGTATTTAGTGCTCACTGTATTAGACATCAGATATCATTCTAGTTGAGATATGTATATGTATTATGTATATAATACATATACTCATTTAATTCTCTAAACAACCCTTTAATAAAAACGTTATTAACCCATTTACCAGTTGAATAAACTGAAACACAGAAAAGTTAACAAAATTGTCCAAGAGAAGATGGTTACTGAATTGCACAACCAGGATTTGAACCCAGGTTGTTAGACTCCAGAACTTGCTCACCTAACCACGCCACTTCTTATGAGAAAGAATGTGTTCTGCCCTTAAAGAGCCTCTGGTCTGGGTCAGAAGCAATTCCTTTATTGTATGTAATAGTTCCCTAATGGCAGTAAAAAGAGGAGGCTGTCCAGAGCAGGGAATTTCCAGTCCTGGGTCTTAGAGGAACAACGGTTGGCCAGGGTCAGGAAAGGGAGCTGAACTTTCCTGGGAATGGCTTTTAAACAACAGTGGAATGTGGAAAGTCCTGGTGCAGGAGTGTGAGACACACTGGGGAGCAGAGAGATGTGGGGTGGAGGGAAAGTCAGGGATTCGACCACAAAGAGCCACACATTCCAGCCACAGAGAGCCAGAGGGTTTGGGGGGGCAAGAGCCTAGCAAAACAGGGTCTGAAAAAGGGACAGAACTGGTGGCAAAGTAGAGAAAGGCTTGGACAAGGAAATGAGCATCTCTCACCAGAGTCACCTCGGGGGACCTGGTTGTTAAYTTTGAGGCTAGAAAACACTAATTTCAAGAAGGAGCCCAGAAGTCTTTAGGTAGCTCAGAAGGGGCATCCTGGGATTTATCCAACACTCCTCCTACCCCCCATTCCCCTCCAGACACCCCCATTCTGCAGGTGGRCCTGCCCTTCACTACCCTAGCTAGCCTCTCCCCATCCAGCACAAAGCCCACTCAGCTGCCCCTCAAGGGCCCCACCAGGGKTGGCTGATGTTCTGGAAGGACTCATCAGGCTACTGGCTTTCCATCTGCTTCCCCCCAGGACCCGGACCGGGGCCTCCCTCTTCCAATCAGCCCCTTTGCTCAACAGTGAGCCAGATCTGTCTCTCAGCGTGGTGTTGGTGGGGAGGGGTGGAATTTGAGCCTCCTCCTTAATTTAGGAAGCCCTGACTTTAAGAAATACCAAATGCAAGGACTATTAAGAAAAGTCCTTCCTAAAATGAAGATTCTCTAACAAATGAAGTTTTAAATTCACTCTCCCCTTGAGCAGCCAAATTCTAGGAGCAGAAATCCCCATGAGACAGGGAGAGTTCAGTCATTTAGTTTGCACCTGAACGTACTCTTTAACATTTGTGTAGGGACACGCATGAGCAGAAGGGACCACTTAGCTCAGGAAAGGGGAGGAGAGAGTCCTTCCAGACTCATCCAGGGGCCCTAAAATAGCTGATGAAATGATGTATTTAAAAGCTTTTAAAATATAAACTTAAAACCTTAAATGTAAGATGCTGTTATTACTGTTGTCATTGTTGTTGACAAACTGAAAGGTGCTTTGTAGAAGAAAAATTTGTCTTTTCAAACTCACTTTGTGGCTAGAAAATACTAACTTCAAGATGGAGCCAAGAATTCTCTGTGGTAGCTCCGAAGCTCAGCCCTGGAAGAAGTATGGTGTTTCACAAAGAGGAAGAGAGGAGGACAGGGGGCAGAGAAAGAAAGGGAGCCTCCCAGGGCCAGAGAAAGAAAGGAGACAAGCCCTCAGGTGACTCTTGGAACCCAGGAATGGTCAGGAGGGGGCTTGAGAAAAACTTGTCCTTCACCAGAGATGAAGCTGTCACCAGACTGTCGTAAGACCAAGCAGTCAGCCGCTATCTCTGTTGGAAGCAGAAGCCCATGGCAGTAACTGACCTGATCCCCAAAGACTCACGGGACCCCAGATACCAGAGCTGGAAACTTGGGGTTGCTGGGGGTGGGGAGACTAAGGATCAGAGAAAAGAAAGGAGTGGAGAGACCGTGCCACAGACCAGAGGCAGAGAGAGAGCCAGGTGTCCACAGGCGCAGGTCCTCCTGTCACCGCATAGTGGTGTCCAGGCAGAAGGAAGCCCAGGACGGGCCTTGCAGCACAGAAGTGTCCTGCGCCTTCCCTGACACCTCCCAGCGTGCTCCCAGATGGTCAGGAAGCTGGGCATGGTCTGCTTTGGTGGCACCACCCATCTCTTCTAGTGTGGCTTAAACAGTGCCAGCGGAGACACCCAGAGAAGTTGGTCAGAGGTGCCAGCTAGCAGGAGCAGGAAAAGCAGACCTGGGCCTCGGCAAAGCTGGTTTCTAACCCAGCATAGGTTCTAATGGGAAAAGTTTCAACCTTTTTTAAAAACGATGTTATAGTGTTGCTTCTCCATGTGGAATAACTAATGTGCATTCCTTTCCCCACAGACTGTCATTTTCTGATGTCATTTAAATAAATGGATGAGTCACAGAGAAGCTACCAGAGGCTCTCGTGAAACCATACTCAGCCCTGCTGTGCGATGTGTGCTTTCTTTTTGCCCCTTCCGTACAAGATCACTGCTCGGGCTGGGGATGTGGCTCAAGCGGTAGCGCGCTCGCCTAGCGTGCGTGTGGCCCGGGTTCGATCCTCAGCACCACATACAAACGAAGATGTTGTGTCCGCCGAGAACTAAGAAAATAAATAAATAAATAAATGTTAAAATTAAAAAAAAAAAAAAAAAAAGATCACTGCTCACATGGAGTTGGGGCAAGCCCGGGGTGGAATTGGTTGATAAAATCCATTTCGTGGACCACAACATGAGAAGAGTGGATCCAGAGTTCCCCCAGAGAAATGGAGACCCAACATATGGCTTGGGGTCCGCGGGTCAGGACTCTGGGGGTGACCAAGACCAAGTCCTGGTCCTCCTGAGGGAGCATGTCAACAACAAACAGGGAAAGACATGATGACAGCAGCAGCAGTTCCCTGCGGACACTGGAGCAGAGGAGATGGCAGAACGGCTGTGGCTGCTTCACCCACTGAGGTCCAGGYCTCTGAAGAGCTGGGTCCTGGGGGTGAGGAGAGTACCAAGGAGTGAGAGAGGGCAGCCTGCCACACAGCGCTTGCCCACGCTGCCCTGTGGGGTGCTCTTAGGGAGATGGTGCCCAAGCTTGGGCCAGGGAGCTCAGCTCTCAGCCCCTCAGCCCTGGGGACCCTCGAAAGGCTGTGGACGTCTGAGGTGAGGGTAGCCATGGGTGTGGAGGCCTCACGTCCCCTCTGTGGAGACCCAGAGGAGAACCTGACACTTGCAGGCAGCTGGTGCACCAAGTGTGGGCCAAGGGGCCAGGTACAGTGGCTCCAAGCCTGTGGCTCTCCCTGTTCTTGGTGCTCCCTGACCTGGACAGGGCCACACCGCCCAGGTGACCTCAGCAGCGATCAAAGACCCACTTGACATTAGTTTCACATCTTCCAATGTGAGGACATCCCATGGGGTGGGTGGACATTGAACCGGGTGTCCTTGCAGGGACACTGTGGCC